TTGTTTTTAATCTGTTAGATTATAGGTCTGGCATACCTGTATGCTCATCATCTTTTTTTTCCTTCCAAGGATTGTGGAGCACCTGTAGTTTTTTTTTTGATCATGGGCCCCTTGAAATCTGATTAAAATTGGGAAATCTTACCTACCACAAGAGAAAACCCACACATGTCTATACCAAACACAGTGTTTTTTCACATAGCCTCGGGGAATCCTGACCTCGCTGTCAGTCAGGACCTGCCCGCGTAAAGCAGTTGAGTGTGAGCCAGTGTAGTAATTCATCTGTAATGCTAATTCCCATTTTAGATTTCTCAGTTTCTGTTTGTGTTTTGACAACACTCAAGAGTTGTTATTATAAGGAACCAATACCGTATATTCAGTGTTGGTCAGTATCTGGTTCATACTGGATTACAGGTTTAGTTCAGAATCCATAAGTCTTGCTACTCTCTGAACAGTTTTGTATAGGTAGGAGGCACTAGTGGCAGTGTTTAAATGCTCGTATTATCAGATGAGGCAATAAAATGTTGTAAGAGTTCAGAGAAGGTGAAAGTAATTTTTGTTTTTGGTAATGGCCTTGTTGTACTCTGCTGTTAGAGCCAAAGTTGAACTTGACCATTAGAGGATTTTGACCATACTGATTCAGAAAGAGTCCTAAGAAATCAATTGAGAGATTACAGTAGTAGAGTTAATTGCATGTGTGAAAATGCTGTTAAATTCAGCAAGAACCACTGTAGAGTCTTCTCAGTATTTCTGAATCCTATTTATTTCCATTAAACCTAATACCTATTTTGCATGGATTATTTTTCTTGCTAAGTTTGCTGAGAGTAAACTGTTCTCTAAGATTCAAGTATAAAAGTATGAGGGCAAGATAGGCCCAGAGCAATGGAGGCAGTCCCTTAATTTCTACACAAGTAAATATCATTTAAACAATGCATGCAATCCAAGTGGATTTACATTAGGGAAGAGAGAGAGTGAAAATATTATGGTACTTTACAGTAGCAGATGATAAAGAGTAACACAGCTCTATGTAGAATTTTGGCATCGAGGAATCATAGTCCTAGTGAGGTTATGTTCTCTCTCTCTTTTTAACCCTGGAGAGATGCCAAATATGGCGTTTTCTTTTCTTACTATCCCTAATTGTTTCAGCTCTGAAGCCCTCCTACTTTTCAAAACTTTTCCCAAATCGTTTATAAATGTCTGAGATTTAGCCTAATCACTATTCTTTACTCTTAACAGCTTTCCATGATTCATCTTTTTTTAAAAAAATAACAAAAACATTATCACTACATCTTCCAAATTTGGTAAGAAAAATCTTACATTCTATTCACACTCAGCTATGGTAAAACATAAATCATGCATTAAAATCATATTGCTGTGGTTCATGATCTGGAGGCATTTGTGAATACATTTGTTCAGAAGTATTTTTTATTCACTACGTGTATTAAGGCATTATCATGGTGGGCCATCTGGAAACAGAAATCATTTCACTGTGTAGAACTATACGTTAAATTGCCATTTTGTGCACTTGACATGTATAGCAAAGATCTTGATGTTAGGATTTTTCCTAAGGTGTAACTAATAACCAGATTAAGTACAGACTTTACAGGATTCCGTTTGAATATAATGAATGAAGGATCATTTCATTAGTTCACTGTTCCAAAGCCCTTCAGTTTGAACCTCGCTGACTTGTCCAGTCTGATGTCCCACATTTCTCCTTTACTTACTTTACTGTGTCGTCTAGCCCGAGGGAACTATTCCCTTCAGTTGTCCCTCCAATCTCTGAGGTCCTTGAGGACAAAAACCACATCCCACTTGTCTCTGAATACTCGTAGTCCAGCTGATTGCTTAACTCTAAGTCACGTGATGGTTTTAAGTAAATGAACAGTGAGTGAATAAATGAGTTATGCTCTGTGTACACACTTAACCTTTGTACCATGTTCATTAAGTCTAAATCCTTGGAGTTCCCCACCAAGACCAACATAGATAATGCCTCCTGAGAACCTTTAGTGAATGCTCCAATTTTCTCTGAACTATTAATAATAATGTCTTATGTAAAAATTTTTATAAAGTCAACTATATTTCAGTGAAAAAAAAGTATGTTCAAATTAGCAAAATAAAAGTTTAATGGCAATGAGAAATCAAAGTCAAAATTAGCATGAAGTTAGTATCCCACTGCTCACTGTCTTCAGGGAGAACTAAATTTCTTAGGAAATCTGTTGATGAGCAAATCAACTCTGACAAAAGTTTGGTTTTCTTTTTAGATACTTTTGGTATAATATGTCATTAACCCCCCCATTCTATGTCAAAGCATAATTTCGGGGCCATTACCAAATAACTTACTGTATGGTCATCTCAATATTCATAGTTTTTCAGAAATAAAAGCTGTCGACACAAAGAAGAGAAAAATAATGTCTGTATTTACCAGTTTACCGTATGTGGTATAATTTCTTTGATACAGGCCTTATCCCATTTCCCCTAAAGGCTTTTTGTGCTAGTCAGCTTTGGCTTTGAATACTCTACCATGTGTATTCTTGGATAGTCGTCATCTTTTAAATGGTGACTATGTTATCTATACCTTGGATGGTTACCAGGGTCTAATGAGATAAAAGTATATAAAAATCAGCTGACATTCGGTAAAGAAAGAACAGAGAGGCTGGCAGACATGGGACTCTTGGTCAATATTCTGCTGCTTCTGTCTAATTCTGAGCTCCTCCAAGCTAGGAGTTAATTGTGTTTCTTTTTAACTTATCATTTATTTGTGTATACTTAATTGTGTATGTTTAGACTTTGAAGGAACCTATAGAATAAACCTCTGATTGTTCAAAATCAAAAAGATGTGATGATAAACACATAAGTTAAAATTTATCAGTTTTTATAATTGATAGAAAATCTTTTTATAGTAGTTAAGTGGCTAATGAATGTTGAAAAATAAAGGACAACCTTATTTGTAGGCTTCCCTTAATACTATTGACATTTTTTTGTTTTAAAAACCAGAGCAGCAAAAACAAATCACAGCAACACTGCAGAAGACAAGCATCACAGCACTGATTCTGGATGAGTGGAGTCAGTACATCCACCTCAGGGAGTAGGTTAATCCCCTAGCTTTTCATGTTTTCATGTTTTTCTTGAACGGAATGTTTCCTCACACACCTCTCCTCCCTCAAAAAGACTTAAGAGGAAGATCTAACTTAAGGTTATAATCGAGTTGACAGCCTTCTTAGTTCTGAAGAACTGTGCAGATTTTCTTTCTTCAGCGTCCCTTCCCATTCATGTCGAGCATTCCCTGGGTGGCCAGCGTGTGTCTGTCACTGTGCTGAGTGCTGGGGGTACAGAGATGGGCGTGACTCAGTTATTCCTGGAAACTCCCAGGTTGGAGTAGTTTCTAACGTCATGTTCCTTAGATCTCTGCTATCTCAGGAGATGTTAATGAATAATCTGTGATGAAAGGGTCACATGGCTTGGTAATAGTGAATAGTTGATTTCTGTTTTGTTGACAGGACCAAGAAATCTTTCAGTAAAGAAAACAGCTTAACTTTATTTAATCCAGTATTTTCGTAGCTTATTTGACCACAGGACCCTTTTTGTGTGTGTGTCACACATATTAACGTCTCAAGCCCCACAGCACAGTTCAGGAACCTGCACAGAGATGATTGTGATGACTTGGGTGTGGTGAGAGCCCCAGGGGAGGGGGTCGGGAGGTCTTCACACAGGTGGTTATGTGTTAAACCAAGTCTTGTATGATGAACATACAAAGGAAGGAAAGGGGAGCTTAGGTCTAAGCAGAAAGAACAGGATGTACAAAAGCACAGATGTTTGATACAGCACGGTGTGTCTGCAGAAATTCCAGGTAGTCATTGTCATTAAACCAAAGTAAGGAGAGAAGCCATGCCAGGGGATGATTCAGGGCCCTAGTGGGTAGAAAAAACCTTGAATATGTGAGTGATCTGTGAAGCAGGTAGCAGTCAGTGCCTGAATTTCAAAGTTACGTGAGCTGTGTTGTGCTTTACATTTATATGAATATTTAATATAAATATAAACTTAAATTCATTCCACAGGGAAAATTAAAAATTGAGATTTATCAAGAACTAGCAAAAACATGAGATAACTTACATGGCTGAGCCATCTACCATGTGCTGCTGTTGAGCTCTTAATGCTATTTAATGTTATTTTTAAAAAAATACCGAGTCGCTGTGAACATTTAATACAGTACGTTAGGAATGATGAGGCATTTTTTTGTTGAAAGTTTCAAGTTAACTGATTTCTGTTTTGGAATTAATTGTAGGAGAATCAGCACACATGAAGACAGGACATTGTGATGTTATTTTTATGTTTTTGAATTTAAAGTTTAGCTGAGTTTACTATCATTGATGCTCACAAAATATTGGAAAGTATAGAAGAATAGAAAAGAGAAAGTACTTTTATGCCATATACAGACAAATGTACATGTTGATATTTTTTGCTAGACAAATTTATTTTATATACTTATTATTCTGTTGAACATAGTGCTATTTTTTTACATTTTCCTACACTGTAAATTCTTTGTAAATAAGACATTAAAAATCTATATACTATTCCATATAGTGGCTATTGTTTCTATAGTTACAGTCTTCAGTTTTTCTAACCATATGGTTTCTGTTTTTTTGTTATAAATGTTTTGTATATATGGTTCCAGGATTGGAATTATTGGGTCAAAAGGTAGGAATATGTTTAAGGCTCTTGATGCATGTTATCAAATTATTTTCCAAGACAGCACAATTTGTATTACAAATTATATAATTTATATTTCCACTGGGAGTGTATCAACTGTTTATTTCATTAGATCTTGAAAACAGTCATTGAGAAGAAAAGACAAAGAATAAAGCAAACTTTGCTGGTTGAGTAGTTTAAAAATATGGATCCATATTTTGTTTATGGCTGTAATTGTAAGCAGTATTTCAGTTAATACTTAGTGTAAACAAATGTAAGAATTTTCTCTTGATATGAAGATTCTTTTTATTTTTGAGGTATCCATCACGAATTGAAAAAATTGACTATGAGGAGGGCAAGATGTTGGTCCATTTTGAGCGCTGGAGTCATCGTTATGATGAATGGATTTACTGGGATAGCAATAGATTGCGACCCCTTGAGAGACCTGCATTAAGAAAAGAAGGGCTAAAAGATGAGGAAGATTTCTTTGTGAGTAGCAAACCTTTTCTGTTTGCCAGATTGTAATAATGTATTTTAAAAGAAATTGTATTAAATTTTACAAAGCTTATTTTTTGTTAAGGAAATGCTTGTTTATTATACATGGCATTGATCTTAAAAGTTGTTTAAAATAGGATTTTAAAGCTGGAGAAGAAGTTCTCGCTCGTTGGACAGACTGTCGCTATTACCCTGCCAAGATTGAGGCGATTAACAAAGAAGGTATGTGTTTGAAATGATCTGAGAATTAGAATGGGATTTATAGTAAAATTTAACTATCTTTCTAATGTAAATTGATGTATGTAATTGTTACATATAGCTGTTACTTCTCTTTGTTTTATTCTTAATGAATTTTCTAATAATATCCTTTTTTAGGAGTACTTAATTTGCTATATATTGTAGAGAATAAGATGATACATAATATACTGCCTAAATAAACTGTAAATTAGTAGAGGTAAACGGATAAAAGTTTTCAGCTTTCAGTTCACAGGCTTATGTTATATACATTTTATTTCTACTTCTCTGTTCCCAGTTTGTTGGCTAAATTATTTTTATGAACATTTCCACCTGTATGCTAAAGATAGAGGAAGATTCAGATCAGTTCGAGTTGGAAGTAGAATATAGCACAATATTGTCTGAGGAAAGAATATGGGACTTTATCAATTTGTGGATTTTCTTTATTTCGTCTTTCCCCAGCCCCCTTTTTCTTAATTTCTGTAGATAACTGAGAGTTAGTTTTCCTAATAGCCTTTTGTGGTGTCTAATATTGATACGGAGCAAAAGCTACTGAACTTACCAGAAATGTTGAAAATAACACAGAAATCAGGTATGTTAGTGTGGCATAAAATGAGAGAATCTGTTGGACAGTTAATGAATTTTAAAAATGTTAGACTGATTAATTTGGAAAGGAATCAAGATTAATATTTAAATTAAAATTGGAAGCGTACTTAAATATTTTTAAATTTCATATTTAAAATCTCATTTAAAACAGTTATGAAATACTTGTAGGTCAGTAATGCATTCATTTTCAATTATAATTATTTCTTAAACTCGACCACTCATTCATTCTTTTTACTAAAGAAGCACATTGAGTGACAGCTTCTTTGCAAGAAGAGCATTTAACCTAAGTAAGGGAACACTTCCTTTAAACTGAGTCTTAAAAGACAAACAAGTTAGCTAGAAAAGGAGGGATGAAAAGGTTTTCTCTGGCAGAAGAAATGGTGTATAGAGAAGAATAAAAGAGAGGCCTGCTGTTTTTTAAGGACCTGCAAGACTTTGATGTGACTGGAGGGAAGGATTCCTTTAAAGGTTGAATGGAGAAAGCAGAAGAGGAGGGTGGGAGGAGCAAGGGTTGGTGTATGAAGTGACTTGTAGTCTTGCTAAAGAATTTGAGTTTTATTTGGAGGTGATGGGATCCAGGGAAGGGATTTAAGCTGAGAATTTAAACTAACAACAAACTTGAGAAAAATTAAGAGGTAAGAGAAGATTGAAGAGGAAAACATTTAAAAAGACATATATTAAAGAATGTTAGGTGTGAAAAAAGTAAATCAGAGTTGTCTGTTTACAAAACAAAAACTTAGTCCAATGTATTGTTTTATTAATTGAAATAACAAATAAGGCTGTGATTTTATTACTAGTCACCCAAGGGACATCTCTCGGTTATTAAGTTTGCAGGTTACTTCTCTTTTTCTAGTGGGGCCTTTAAATTACTGTGTGCTTGAACTTCTGGAGAACCATGTTATGGAGCTCTTATTCTCATGTCTTACTCACACTGGCTTCCCAGGTGTCGAGTCCAGAGCCTCGTACAGAGTAGGCAGTTAGTAAATTTTTGAAAGGAAAAGAAGTAGTGAATCAGTTTCGTTGGGTAATGGGATCCAACCAAAACAAAACAAAGCAAAATTAAACAACGCTCTCTGTTTTAATTAAGAGAGATTTCGCTAAATGTGCGGAGCTTTGAGACCTTTCTTCTACCATTAAAGCTTCTTAGGAGTCTGTATATATGAGTACCTGCATACACACCCATGCAACGTACTCAGAAACAACCCATCTCCTTGTTTTTTATCCTATCTATCCCATTTGTTCATGGGCAGGTAATATGGAAATTGAAGCTTACATCAGTGGGAGAGTGATGTTACTGATTGAAATCTCTGCCATTTCAGGAGTAGTTTGAGTAAGCCCTTAGTGAAGTATTGGCAGATATAACTTGTTTTTTAAAAATCGCCATGGGAGGTATTAGTTTGGTGGTTTTTCTGTATGTCCCATGTGATGGATGAGCCTGCCCCTGCCCGCCTGCCACCATCCTCCCAAAAAGAAAGGAAAAAAACCCAGAAGCCCTCAAAGAGCTTTCCATTCACTGCAAAAGCTAAACAAAATTCACAAATGTGAATCTTTAGCTATAGTATAATGGAATGTATAAGGCATATGTAATATGTCTTAGAGAAGGGGCAAATCAGTGTAGACGGGAGCGCTCAGGGAAGTTTTCATGTTATAGGTGGGGTTTGAAGAGCTGATCCTTGAGGAATGGGTTGGAGTTAGTACAGGAGGAAGGCATCACAACAGAGGAAGCAGAGTGAGCAGTGGCAGGGAGGGATGAATGCATGGTCTGCTTAGCAAGGAGCCTGCTCTCCCTCCAGCACTGGGTTGAAGAAGGAAGAGGACAGTGGCGGGAATGGTGGTCCTGTAGGGTCCATGTGGTTGGTCATCCTCACAGCCTTCCCAGTGTCTTCAGATTCTTGCTCTTCAGCGTTTTTTGTAACTTGGGCTTAGATCTTTATATCTGTGATGTTGTAATCATACTGATTATAAAAAGATATGAAATCAATGGTGTTATTCAAATTACAAAAAAAAAGAAAAATCTTCGTACAAGGATTCATTGGCTTTGGTGCCAGCTTCAAAGCCAGTAATGCCAATTAACACATTTATTGTTTCTACTTCTTTTGTAAAGGTCAGGTATCTGTTTATTTAAAATGGCACTCTGCTCTCATTTGTACAGGAAATGATAGAAAAACATCGGAATTTCCATAAGTATAAAATCTACATAGTTTATATGTTTTCTGATAGTACAGTAAAAAGAAAAACTCGAAAGCATGAAATCTGTGACAAAGTAAATACATGAACAGAATCTTGAGTCCTAAAAGCAGGGTGGCGTAGCGGGAAGGGCGCGGGAAGTGCGCAGGAAGCGGGGATGCTGGTTAATGGCTGTGCTGCCGTTTAGCTGCCGTTGAACACAGCATTTAGCCTCCCTGGAGGAAGGTGTTCTTACTGAACAGGAAGATTTTTTTATGCAGGTGATATATGAAAGTATTTTCTAGCTTGAAAGCCTGTGAATCTATAATTCTTTTTTGCCAGTTAATTAATATTGCAAAGGAATAATCCTTTGCTGAGAAAATGATTTTTGTGTAAATCAGATCTTTCTCTCTGTTATTCGGAAAGAAACTTTCAAAGAGAGTAAATGATAATTCTTAGAAATAGCATACATTTTTGTAAATAATAGTTTTATTTTTTCAGGTGTATTATAGCATACCTGATGTTAAGTGTCTATTTAAATTGTTAGTAAAATTTAAAATCCTCCAATAAAAATCAGGATTATATACAACTAACTTAACAAGATTTAATGTGTGTACTTTTTAAGGGAAATCAGTTTTTTTTTTTTTTTTTACAGGGAAGGAGACAATAAACTCAATAAACTTGATAGGGTCTTTAACAGGGGTATATGTGTGCAGTTACTGCAGTCATGGGTGTTTATTTCTGTCAGGGTGTTACTTGTTCAATGTCAAGTGTTGCCGTAAGATTGAATTATATTTTCTAATGGTACTGACTCGCTCCTATTTCAGGAACGTTCACAGTTCAGTTTTATGATGGAGTAATTCGTTGTTTAAAAAGAATGCACATTAAAGCCATGCCTGAGGATGCTAAGGGGCAGGTAAGAGTGTTCAGCATTCCTAGCTGCTCCAAGGGATGTCTTCTTGAATGGTGACTGATCAATATATATATATATGTGTGTGTATATATATATTTTTTTAAGTGAAATAATTGTAGGATTATGTGCTGATAGCCCCAAATAGCAGCAAGAAAAAGCAGCTTAGAATGTAAAATAAATTATACACTTGATTTGTGCTTCTTTGGCTTTAGACCTGCTGAAGTTACAGGTCGCTAGTTTCTGTTCCAGGTGAGATCCCAGCATCCACTAAGCTGGTGTTGTCCTATCGACCCAGCTGGAGCGTGTAACCAGTCTATGGGAAGGGAGGTGAGTGCCTTTTTTTAATTCTGTTTTGTTTCTCCTGGTATATAGTATCATTTAGAAAGTTAATTTTTAGTATAAAATTTTATACTGAGTTTCTTACCTTCTTTTCTTCTGTAAGTCATGGTCATTAATCTTCTTTCAAAAGGCGCTTACCTGACACTCTGTAGGCTGCTTCAGGTAGGGCTTTCTGAGCTATGTGATGTAAGCAGTGGATTACATTCTTTGTCACTGCTCAAAGCAAGAATGAACGGTAAGCATTTGAAGGAGAATCTGGGATGAAGTTAAAACCATGAATCCATTGGTTGAGTATGTTTCCTGAAATGCTGGAAAGAAAAGGTGCCAGTAAAAAGAATATTTTCTTTTATGTTCTGCTGTTATTTGGGATTTTCAGCACCTGGACCTACAATTAATTTTAAGAAATTGAAAGTGATCTATAAAAATGTCTATTATGCAAATGTGCTACATATTTTTTGCAATCTGTGCAGTGAAAAATGTCATCCTGAACTGTGTTGAAGTCATGTGGTCAGTTCTAGTCAAGTGTGTACATCTAGAATGTAGACTACCACAGTTAAAAAAATATTTTTGATATCTTCTGAAAAGTGTGAGCATTTTAAATTACCAGGTTTTCAAAAATTTAGTTTTGAAATGATCAATTTGAGCAGAGGTTTTTTTTTTCCCCCAATTACTATGGAAATGCAATTTAGAATGGAAATACTTTAGATCAGAAAATGCTTTGTGTGTTCCTACTTGTATGTATAAATAAAATGTTCTTTTAAGTATTCAGTGGTGTGATTTCTTGGTTACCGCATAGAAAGATTGATTTAAACATTGGGAACTTTACCTGTTTAATTAAAATTCTCAACCTTTTTTTGCTTTAAAACTGTTATTTTGTTATTCTGGTTATTCAGATGTTTATGAGATGGGACTAACCTTAAAACTTAATTGTTTTCCAAAGTGACATTGAGCCAGTTTGGTTTGTGGTAAATAAACAAGTCGTAAAAATTAGTTTATTAGACGTATTGGATGTTTATTTTTAATAAGTATTCTAGTCAGACCGTGTTGTATGTTAACATTAAAAACAATGTCAAAATACAAACTACGGAAAGAAAAGTATGTGACAGTATAGTTCCTTTAATTTACATTTTCTTCCATAATTGTTAATTACAAGCACATTAGAAACATTTTAGAATTGTTTTTTATAAAATACTCTCATTTTATGAATGTCTTTTTCCCGACAAGTTTTCAGCTTGTTTTCACGTAGGACGTGTACTACAGTCAGGTGTTGTTTGGGTGGTTCTCAGAGACTCTGGCTTTCCATACTGTCTTCTAAATTTTGAGTACTTTGAGAATTCCTTTATGAAGATACACAGTAAAATTTCTTTTACCAAACCAGCAAAAGATGAGGAGTCAAGTAATGGCACTATGATGAAATGCTCTTTAAATTTCCTGTAGTTTTTTTCTTACCTATTCTTTTTCTTCTTGAGTGTATGCTGATACAAAAAAGTTTACAGTGTAACTCACTGGTGTTAAAGATTGGTTCATAAGGTGTTTTACTATTTTCAAAACGTTTTTTGTGTACATTGTTTTATCGGATTCTCATAGCAAATCCCTTGACATAGGTACAGCTACTATTTCTGTTTCACAGTTGAGGAATTCAGAATTTAGAGAATTGAGTGACTTACCTAAAGTCTCACTCAACCGTAGTATGCAGAGTGACTCTGAACTCAGATCTGATTTCAGCAGGGCTCATTATAGGTGCAGTAATCTGTTATCTACAGGGAACTTTGAAACATATCTTTAGTTCTCATTCATGGAAGGATCACACCGGTTAATTTTGATAGTGAATCTTTCCTGTGAAAAAATGAAAGAGCAAAACAATGGGTGAACTCTCTAATCATGCAGCTGCAGTGGTGCCCAGGATTAAGAAGTTGTATGATCAGGAACTGTTTTGTCTAATTTCACTTTTAAAGGGTGCAACATGAATCTCTTTCTTCTAGTTTCTCTTTGTTGGAGATAGAAGACAACTGGGTCTGGAATTTACCCCTGGCATCTTTTAGCGTTTCTCTTAACAACTAAAAATTTTCCTCAATGTGGAATCCAGAATTATGTGCCCTGCTCTTAGTAAGACTGCAGACATATGATTTCTGCTGAATTTAGCAGTTTCCTTTGCTTGTCTGGTTGTACTTACTCTTACTCTTCTTTCTACTTTGTTGATGGCTCTATGTCTTTTTTCAGCGGTGTTGCTTTCTTCCTCCTCCTTAAATCTTAGTCTCAAGGCTCAATTTAGCTATAATATTGAGGCCCCCCCAGATTATTCCTTGACCTTAAACTCCTCTTTCCCGTTAGTATATGCTTTGATTGCCATGCCTTTGTTAATCGTTTTCCTTTTGCTTGGAGTGCCTGTTGCTTTTCCTTTGCCATTTTCCCTAGCAGATTCCTACTTCAGGGTTCAACTCATCTGTCATTTGCCCTGAAGCGTTCCATTAGTCTTTCTCATCAGTCTAAATTTTGTTGTTCTCACATGATACTGTGTTTATTCTGTACTGTCTCTCCTCTCACATTGTCTCATAGTTAGGAGCAAAGATGTGATCATTCCAGGCCAGTGGGTTCCTGGGGTGTTCAGCTAGCATCTTCTATCAGCTGTTGCCTCATGAATGAGTAGCATGTTTTCTGGCATATGTAATAGGGTATTCAATAGAAAGTTGGTGAATGAATGTGCTAGGTGCAGTCACATGATGTTTTCAGCTTGTTTCAGTCATGGGGGAGAGAGAGACATAGATTTTGTTTGTTTTCTTTTAATAGCTTATTGTCTTTACCTTGTATTTTCAAGACACAGCAGCCATCAACTCGAATTGCTTAATGACCTATGTTAATATAACCTGTGAATTAAGTGCATTTGATGTTGTGAAATTGCTTTTAGTTGCTTGGACAGAGAATTTAATGTATACACAATTTGGCTGAATCTGAATCAATGGTCTGATAGCTTAGTGGCCTCAGTGGAAGATTGACTCTAGAGATACTATAAATATTAGTTCTAAAATAATCTTTTTGATTGTGAAAATCTAAGTGTTAATACCACTTCTTTACATCTTTCCATAATTTTTACAATAAGCATTTTTAGGTAAAAATAAGACAGTAAAAATTATTTAACCACAAACTAAAAAAATTAACACAAGAAGTATAAATATTTGTATCTCAGAAGAATGGTAGCTAACACAGACCCAGGAAGTTGTAGAGGGAGGGAAATTAAATTGGAGCCTTACAGTGTGTACTTTACCTTGGCCAAGCCAAGTAGCCTTTTCTTTTACTGATAATACTAAGCTGTTGTGATAAATTGGTATCCATACTTTAAAGGCTTTAAAGAATAATGAAATCATATTTTGATTTCTATGAAGTTGACCTTACTTTAGTATATTCTTCCTAATAAAGAAAAGTAATTTGCTCAATGGAAATACAGTTGTCCGTCATTATCTGCAGGGGGTTGGTTCTAGGACCCTCACGGATACCAAAATCTGTAGATGCTCAAGTCCTTTATATAAAATAGCATAGTATTGCGTATAACCTCTGCACATCCTCCCAAATCATTTTGAGATTACTTATAATACCTAATACAATGTAAATACTATGTAAATAGTTGTAAATATAGTGTAAATGCTGTGTAAATAGTTGTCAGAGCATGGGAAATTCAAGTTTTGCTTTTTGGAACTTCTTGGAATTTTTCCTTCCAAATATTTTTGATCCACACTTGGTTGAAATATTCCCAAATATTTTTGGTCCACAGTTGGTTGGCAGAACCCGAGGATAGGGAGGGCCAGCTTCTTTTAATCTTTTCACAATTACAGCATAAGCGTTTTTCTCTTACTGCTTTTATGATCTGTTGCATTACAGAAAAGAAACATAATTCAGCATTTAAACCCTAAAATACTAAGGTAGAATGTCTTTTAATATTACACATTTGTCATAGGTTTTCTCTTACTTTAGATTTTACTCTATCAAAGAAATATTTGTTGTTTTCCTATTTTATGTAAGGTCATACAACCAATTAGATTATTGAATTTGATAATCTACCATGTTGATGATTTACTTTGTAAATACAGTTAATTTAATTTTTATATTTGTGTGCATGTGAGTGAAAGTAGCTTTGAAAATGTGATACGTTTTTATTCATTAGTGTAATTAAGTTTTAATTAATTTTTAATGCTTCACATGTTTTGTGTTTTTCCTTTGGAGGATTGGATAGCTTTAGTCAAAGCAGCTGCTGCAGCTGCAGCCAAGAATAAAACAGGGAACAAACCTCGAACCAGCGCTAACAGCAATAAAGATAAAGAGAAAGATGAGAGAAAATGGTTTAAAGTACCTTCAAAAAAGGAAGAAACTTCAACCACTATAGCCACACCAGAAATTGAGAAGAAGGAAGATCTGCCCACATCTAGTGAAACATTTGGTACAAAATATGTTCTTACATTCATTCCTTATGGCAGTGGTAAACTCAGATAGTGAATAAGTCAGAGCCTTTGGCTATCTGTAATTTGAACAGATACTTAAATTATGAGGCTTTTTCCCCCTAGTATAATACAGTGGTTAACTTTTTTAGCATTTTACAGATCTGAAGTTTCATGGTCTGATATGGGTACTTGATAATGGATGCCCTCCATATTCTTGAATAGAAATGAGTTGAATTTTTGATTTGTAACTTCTCGATAGTAGGTTTTGGGATTATGTTGTGTGTTTTTGTTTTATATTCTTTAACCATTTAAATGCTTCTGCATGTATTTTAATATATAGTATGGAAAAAAGCAGTAAGTCATTTCTTTCCTAAAGCATTACTGCTTAGTAGTTTTTTTATTTCTAATATATTGGTCTGGAGAGATTTGTGTTTTTTTAAAAGTTCTATGTCAAGCACTAGATTAAGAAAAATTAAGTGCAAAGCATTTTTACTACTTTTCTATTAAAAAAAATTCATGTGTTTTAACTTTGGGTTCTAGATAAACTCTCATATATATATATATTCTATTAAAAGTAGGACTTCATGTAGAGAACGTTCCAAAGATGGTCTTTCCACAGCCAGAGAGCACATTATCAAACAAGAGGAAAAATAATCAAGGCAACTCATTTCAGGCAAAGAGAGCTCGACTTAACAAGATTACTGGTAAACTACAATGATTCTTTTTGGCGGGGAATGGAGGGTTTGATTTTTGAGTAGTTTGTTTTTGTTTTTTAATAAAGGAAAATGTATCTTTTGGTTTAGTGTAGCTAAACTGATTAATAAGAAAGATAGTTGCTTTGTTTCTTCAAGATCATCATCTTTGAATACCTCGGCTTTTCCTGTTGTAAAATGTGAAGAGTATCACGTGTCTTCTACCTACCTCACAGGGATGTTGTGAGGGCCTGTAGGGTCAAATGTTACAAAATCCCATAGGTTTAAAATCACCTTGGTGGTAGGAGTAGTTTCTCTAAGAATTGAACTATCTGCTTTTGCCAACTTGTGACATAATATCTGAGGTTCTGCATCTTACACATTCTTGCTCTTGACCAGTCCCATTAAGGAGGGTACCATATATGGTTGGAAAGATGAATACCGAATTAAATTCATTTCCTGATTCTGTTAATTCTCAATGTAAAAGTAATTCTGTAAGTTTCTAAAATTTCTGTCCTTATCTTCAGGTTGGTCTCTAGAATCTGGGCTTATTTCTCTGTGACTTGTTGTAATTTAGGAAATAAAGTACTAGAATTATGAAAAACACTGGAAGTTCTAGCCTGGTTAGTGTTCATAGAAGAAGCAGCCAGTCGTATTAGGTCCCATCACTTCCAGGGCCTGTTCAGCCTAATGATTCTAGTCTAAAAAAATTGTGACTATATTTTATTATTCTGAGATATGTTAAAATGGGAGCTAAAGTACTTTTACTAATATTCAGTTATATGCTCTTATTTTAAGGACAAATGATTTTTCATGCCTTTGGCCTAATAAAGCTATGCAAACCTTTGGTGACATTCTTTTAAATAATTTCAAAAAGCTTGATTTCATTGTCAGATCCAAGAAGAAATGTAAATTAAACATTTTGACCATTTTCTAAAGAGTGTAAGCCTACTGAAAGGTGGTTCTGCAGCCGAGGGCTCTTTAGAACCAGTTTTATTGTAGTATTCATGTAAGTAACTATGATTGGTGTCAGCAGGTGAGAATATTTAGTCTTGCCATTTGTTCATATTATTTTTGTGCCTTTCTCTGATAAAAGAGATATTTGTTCTCAGGACAGGAAATATTTCAAATCAGTTTACCCATTTCCATTCCACCTTTTCCTTGGAAACTGTTAGCTTTGGAAAGAGCCAAAATGTTGTCCTAATGATTATTACTATGACAACTTGAGACTTCAGTTTTGCCATATAGTAATGGAAACCAGTGTTTCGTACTGTGAAATAGTACTTCTAATTCCTGTGATACCAATATTGAAACAGCATTTTTGAGAGAACCAGGATCAAGGAAGATGGAAATGACACTGACACTACAACTGCCAGCTTACCGGCATCATGATCTTTCCTACAATCTGGATAATCTGAGTTTAGTTTCAGTCAGTATACTCTTACTTGCGTGTTACTGAGAAGTTCAAGCTCAACATTTAAAGAAGTAAAGTAACAAAACAGCTCAGTCCACAATGATGCAGTATCTCCGATGGCCTTGGAAAGACAGTAGTGGGGCAAAAAAACATTTTACCACGAACCTCAAGGCAGTTCTGATACTGGTTGCTTTAGTCACACTCTGTGCCTTCTGTGGAGAGACTTTGTCTTCACCTTCCTTTGGGGATCTCAAATCAGCAAGTAATAGATTTGGCAGCAGTAGAAAACATAAGATTTACAAATATGAAACCATTATGGTTTTTTCCCTTTATTTACCAGAAGGTTTAAATATATGTTAATTTTTAATAGTTTATTTCCACATCTGTTTTTTATTTCATGTTACAACTATCTCATGCAAAAATATAATAGATATTTTAAAATTGTCTTTGATGATTGAAACTTGGTCTTATTTCCGCATCTGTTTTTTATTTCATGTTACAACTATCTCATGCAAAAATATAATAGATATTTTAAAATTGTCTTTGATGATTGAAACTTGGGCTCACCTCTGTACAGTAAATTTTGTTTGTAGACCATAAAAAGAGATGAGTGCTAATATAAAATAGCAGTTTTGTTATGAGATTATGGTGTATTTTAAATTTATCAAGCTTATACGTGTATTTTTGTCCCTTTACTGCTGAGAGGAAGAGCTGGTATCATGGCAGCATCTCAGCCTGCTTTGATGTATTTGCCCCCACACCATTTTATTTATCTTTTAAATAGTTTTAACAAGAAATAAGTGGACCAACCACTGGATACATTTAATTCATGTATTTATTCATTCTCTTTCTGTTACCTTTTCCATATATACACTCTGTGGAGATTCTAAACCTGACTTCCAAATAAGGAATGGTATAGGATGGCTTTTTTCAAATTTTTCAAATAAGTAGACGTGAAATTATTATTGCATAGTTCATACGTGTTCTTCTAGAATCTTATTTTTCATTATGTCGTATACCTTACTGGTAGTTATATACTTCACACGTACTGATTTAGAACAAACGGTTTTACAGAGAGAATCAAGAGTTCCCATACTTTGGGACAAAGTTCCAAGCAAACTGCAAGCAGGCTGAGTAGATTTTAAAATACAGGTTGTCAGAGAGTAAAAGAAACATCAGCAGTTGGTACATTGTTTGTAGTGGTTCTAGGAGTGCCTGGATATTTAGCCAACTTAGATGTTAGTACAGCTTAAGGAATTTAAAAACTAATTAAAAAAAATACCCAGAGGGTTAAATTGGCCAGTAAAATGTTATTGATAATAATATCAAAGAATATTTGGCTCTTGATCTCAGCAGGGATATTGTGCTTTGGAATCTCTGGGTGAAAAGTAGACCATGAATTTAACCTCTTTGCTGTCTTTCCTCCCCATTGCCATTCCAAGATGCTCTGGCTTCTATTCTGTTTATTCCTATTGGCAGCAGGAGACCAACTGTATATTTTATAGTTGAAGGAGACTATTGGGAAGTTATCACTGTGGCTGGGACTCATGAAAATTTATATTCTACTTCCACCTGACACTTAAATAATTTCTTGAAACTGCATAATACATTCTGTTAAGATGTTTACTCTATAGATAATATTCTTTGGAGGAGGACTTATTAGTAATGTATTTATAATTCATACATACTTGCAAGTAACTAAAATTAACTTTATTTGTATTTATTTCCTTGCAATTAATTCCACTTATTTTTGAAGAATATTGCATTTCTCCCCAGAATGTTAGCAGATCAAGATAACAGATTTTGGACTGCTTCTCAAGGGAGCAGTAGTCAGAGTCATCTCCTCAAGGGCATTTAAAATTTTTTTGTCCCATTTTTGTTTATATTTGGTAACTCTTTTGTAGGTTGGTGTTGTATATAAAGTGTGAAAAGCTTTTTATTGAACATGTTTGAGGCTTTTGAGTTCACTAGCTACCAAGTATTGTATTTTCTAACCTAATTTTAAGTAGTTTTTATTAAATGCCCCATTACTTTTATAAGAACATTATAAAGCTTTATTTTTCTTTCACAGACCATTAAGTGGGAATCACTTTTAATTAACTGGGTCTACAATATCTTAATTTAAATTCATGTAGTATAGATGAATTATTTTCTTTTAAAACTTTTGTTACTTTATTTTTATTTTTGTAGTTTGTGATCTACTCCATCTATGATGAGATTTTAAAGTATTTCTACAGCTTATGTGAAAGGAAACAAAACAATGTAAGACATTTAGTAGATTGAATAGCGAATGTTTGTCCTATTTAAATGCCCCTTAGAAATAGGGACTCTACTCAGTTCCCTGCAAAAGAAGAACCTAACTTCCTAATTATTTTCAGTAGTTTTGATTCTCAGAAATATTAGCTACAGAAGGAAAATCTAGTGAATGCAGTCTTAAATGTTAAAGGAATAGTCCATGCTACATCTTTTTTAGTCATCTGAAAATATGTTCAGAAGTTATTTTAGTAAGGATTGAATTTATGATTTATAAACTATTTTTGTAAAATTACTTATACATTGGGTCCCCCCCCTCCCCCGTTTAAACCTACACTTGATACTGTGTGGGACTTGGACAGTGTGGTTTATCTCAGACTGCACCAAATGGCAGTCATTGAGGTATCATAATCATGTTTTATGCTCAGCCTTTTCTGTTTTAAACTACTATTCTCAGCGGTAGATTATTCAACTTTATTATTAGTAAAGGAAAAGTGTTTTTTGCCCATTTTAACAGTTGGCTCTAGTACTATTTAAGAATACAATTTTAATATTTGGATTTCTACTTAGATTCCGTAACATCTTTGAGATAATTACCTGAAAAGGTCTAGATATTGTCACAGGGGTAACTCGAAGTTATGTGGCATCTGGGGGCACCTTTTTTCTATTAAATATGCTGTAGACAACTTCCATAATATAGGTGGTATAATTGCTGAAGTGAGCTTACTATTACGTTGTTGATCATTAAACATGCTTCCTTTGAAGCCATGGTTTTGTGTGGCCAACTTTGAAATGACACAAAAATGATATTTGGTGACCTTTTATGTGCACAGTGGCCATAAACAGAAACAGATATGAACAAGGGTTATAAGTTTGACACCATTGAAGGTACCTATTTGGTGCTTAGCAAAGAATCTTGACCAAATAAATGCCTTTAATTTCTAAATTAAAGCAGTTTTAATGTCTTGTAAAGCTAATTAAATATATTCTAGATAAAATATTGTCTTCTAAAATTGAAAATTAGTGGTGTACTTTGGAGGAAACTGGAACTTCTAGTTTACATCGTTGTTTACAGCAATTGTTTGCATCAGCTGTTTACATTAGTTGTAGATTTATATCGATTTACTACTTAGTAATAATAGATTTACATCGATTGTTTACATCAGTTGTAGAATGAGGCTATAATATTAAGAGCAAATGTTGTAGGAAGGACCTATACTCTTTATCCTATTAACATAAAAGGCATCTATCTGTGTTTTCACCACTTTTGTAAGAAGATAAGCTACCACCGGGTATAGAGGTACACCTGTAAAGCTTAGGCTAAAGGATCCAAGTGGAATAAAAAATTGGGAGTAAGTTTTTAGCTAATAATACAACAACAAAAAATTTATATTCTAGTATTTGGAAGAATTTATTATATCTTAATTCTATATTTTATTTCAGTTGTATAGACAAAGCCTATATTATGAGTGTTAAAAAATCTAAACCTTAGATTTTTGGACGTTAAGCTGTAGAAATTTGTATTTGCCCAGAATAAATGTGTATGAGTGTGATTTTTTTAAAAGGATATTTTTAGTTAATTTTTTAATTTTAAAAACGAATTATACGAGCATCTTTCAAGTTCTAATTTAGCCCACAGAGTCATTTTTCAGGGTGTTTGTATTATTAACAAGTAAACTTCTGAGAGTATTTACTTCCTATGACAAAGCATAGAAGATTTCAACTGCTTACATTTTTGCGAAGTTAATTAGGGTGAAAGTCACTATTTTTTCTAATAAGCAATTTCTGTACAATTTTTCTCAAGGTTTGTTGGCATCCAAAGCTGTTGGGGTTGATGGTGCTGAAAAAAAGGAAGACTACAGTGAAACGGCTCCAATGCTGGAGCAGGTATGAAATGGTAGCATTTGATTTTTTTCAAGGTTCTCAACTGGAATGATCACGGAGCTATAGTATCCACATAACTGAAATTGCCCTTTTGATCAGATATGGGAAATAGGAAGCTAATTAATTGATGATATATTTTTAACTCTGCCTTCTCCAAGGTATACAGATAAACTACAGACTTCATTACTGTTTGTTTTCAATAGACTGGCATTAAAGCCTTTGTCTCCAACACTTGAAGACCTGGAGACAGGCATCCCAGGGTATAGGCTTCCAGCTGGATCACCTTTAACTAGCTTACAAAAAGACCCTTACACAAATACTTTTCATTTGTGAGTTAAAACAGGGTTTTTTGACATCTAATAAAGCTTCTTTTGTAAGAAGTTTCTTTTATATTGTAACAATTGGTGTTGTTAGACTGACTGTGTTTTATGAATTGATCAATGAGCCATACATTTTTGCTAGGATGTATATTTTAATAACTACAAAAAAAATAATTTAAAAAAACTATTAAGGGTCTGTCTTTAAACCACCTAATAGAGGAATTTAAAAATGAAGGTTGCAGTTGCTAGATTTTGCCTTGGCTACCTTCAGATTCCCACAATAACCTGTACATAATGGACTGTGCATGCTTTTCATTCTCTAAGGGCTTAACTTCTTGGGCACTGTAAGACTATAAGAACACAGTAATAGCCATAACTGGATTTCTTTGGTTCTCCTGTTTTAAAATCTGAGCCTTAATGTAGTTTTAATATATCCTTTTTGTATTATTTTAATTTTCTTTATTAGTAGCCTAATCAGGAATACTTTAAAATGAGTATCTTTTGCTCTTCTCTATATGCATTTTAAAAAATAGTCCAAATTTAATTGATATTGTATTGAGTTTTTCAGGGTTAGTTTAGGCCTGATTTGATAACAGTGCATTGTTTTGGTGCCTCCATTAATGTTGTATTAAATCAATGGTCTTTTAAATTTAATAATATGTCAGCGAATCATACCTTCTGATTTTCTGTGGTCGTCAAACGGTTAAGTCTTTGCCGTTATTGTTGAGTATATCAACCAAATTTTAAGTGACTTTTTTTTACTGTGTATTACTATATTCACCGTCCCAAATATAACAATATTTTGTATTTTCACCACTGTTTATGGTATTCTCAGAATGCAGTAAATCAGGGACTTGGGTAATAAAATGTTTCTGGAAAATTCATTACAATGTCAATCTTTCATTATGCACAATCCTGCTGAAATGAATGTGATTGTGAAAATTACTTATTATATGTGGAAGTTAGTGTAGAGGGCACTGCCCATTTCAGAGAGACGTAGAGAAAACAACATTCTGAAACTGAGCTTAAAAAAAAGGAAAGAAAAATTGACTAACTCGGCTGTTTTTATTTACATAATTATAAAATTTTTGAGAGTCCTTCCTTGCCAGTTTTGTAACAAAGAGACCAATAATCATTAATGAAAACTTTTGTAAGTTATTTTAGATTTTTAAGGAACATAATGCTATTCCCTCATTTTTTGGTCATTCAGGTTGATTTCAATGGGAAATGTTTTGTAACCAAACTTAATTTTTATACTGAGTGTTTGCCCTGCTTCAGAGTTAAAAAGCCGAGTTGTAAAATTCTTAATTACATCTCAGTTGGTATCAACAATAGACTTGAAGGAGAGGTATTGATTGTCACTAACCTCTGTTGTCCTAATGAGTAAAATATTGCTACTCATGACATAGATTTATAACAGGCCTAGGGCCAAAACTTACTGTGCTAAGGGATTTATTTATTTACATTAAAAAAAAAATTCAAACTCTGTGGTCTTGAACCCCAGTTCTCAGATGATTAATTATAGGTTACTTAATTGTATTAGGGAATTGTCATGTTATATTTACTTTTGGATAAACCCTGCATTCGATGCATAATTCAGTAAGTTTAAAAAAATGTTAATTTGTCCTTGTTTAGAAGTTAAGCACCTTATCAAGATATTAATTTAAGTTTTAAAATCTTGTTTTATAACTTTGTAACTCGAGAGTAATGGATGCTGTAGTAATGTCTCTCACATATGTGAAGATGAACAATAAAATTGTTTATTTACAAGTAATGGCTCTAATTACTTTTCTGGCAACACCTTTTATGATAAGCTTAGGAATCCTTTCTGTTTATGGAGTCCCTTTTTCAAATGATTAATCTGCACTTATACACATATGTAATGAGTAAATTCAAGAATAGAAATGATGACAACTGAATGAATGAGACGCTTGACACCAGCCCTTTTATGTGGTGTGTCCAACATGCCATCTGTAGCCCATTCAAAGGTGCCATACTTAATACCAGATATTCACGTTTTTTTCCACCAAAATTTGAGCGTCTTGTATTTGGTGGGAACAGAAAAACTGGTCCCTAGACTGTGATCTTTCATATTCCAGAGAACTGCAGACTGCAGAGCTGATGGTCATCCCTCACAAAAGATACGGAAGTAAAAAGGTTTCTTGGGGACAAGCATATTGTTCTTAGAGCTGGCCGTTTGATTCTTTATAGAGGCCTATCTTGGTATAGATTTTTTAAAAAAGTATATCTCATACTTTGCCTTAGATACGTATATCAAAAAGAGATACAGTATAGACATTCCAACACCATAGATTGCAAATCCATCCAATGTGGCTATTCTCTGTTCTCTTTGGACACGTTCACATATAGTTTTACATATGTAGGCCATTTTACTGCCAAATGAATAAAGATATTCTTTATGAAAGAACTGACAAAGTTCTAATTTTTTTTTAAAAGTATCAGTTGGCAGGAAGAAGGTAAAAACTCTCATCTAAGAATGCGACGTATTTTGTTTTTAAATCCAATGTTTTTAACTTACACTTGGTTTTACTCCTTGGTTTTTTTTTGTTGTTGTTGTTGCTTGTTTTGTATTGTTTTTTTAGTCTTTTAACTCTGTATTGCTGGTGGCTTTGATTTCATGATGCATTATGCTTATGAAACTTTAGCTTTCAGCACTAAAATGAGTTAAAGATAATGTTTCGTTAATTTGGTCATTGTTTTCCTGTTGAGATCTTTCTTTAAAGGGAAATTGTCCACTTAGACCTCTGCACTGAACTTGATAAAGGAATTACAAGAAAATATCTGAAAGTCAGAACTTAAATGTACTGCTCTGATGCTCTAAAACATGAAAATGCTGTTTATTTACCTGATTATTATTAATGTCATTGGTAATTATGGTTTCCAAAGAGGTGTATTTCAATTTAATACTGAAAATATTTGTCCAGTAAGGTAACTTTTTATATTCTGGGAATATTATAAATAATACATTTTAAAACAAATTTAGATGACAAGTTGACAGCATCCCTTTAAAGACAGCCTATTCAACTTTTAGTTAATAATTTGTGGGGTTCTTTTTGGTTTTTCATTTGTAATAGAAATGTTATATGTTGCTTAACAATGTTTTTGGATACTAAAGTTGCTTAACAATCAAAATAGAATACAAGAACAAAAATGAAGAAACCAAAATAAAAATATCAATTTTTTATTATTTATTCAGGCGATTTCACCTAAACCTCAAAGTCAGAAAAAAAATGAAGCTGACATTAGCAGTTCTGCCAACACTCAGAAACCTGCACTGTTATCCTCAACTTTGTCTTCAGGGAAGGCTCGCAGCAAGAAATGCAAACATGAATCTGGAGATTCTTCTGGGTGTATAAAACCCCCTAAATCACCACTTTCCCCAGAATTAATACAAGTCGAGGATTTGACGCTTGTATCTCAGCTTTCTTCTTCAATGATAAATAAAACTAGTGAGCACAGATTTTTAAAAAATAGTTACTTATCCTATAAGATACATTAAAAACAGTTTGGTTGTAGTTATATTGTATTTTTATGAAATTGCTTTTTAAAAACTCAGACTTAAGTGGTATATTAGGAAAGGCTTGAAACTATTTCAGGGGCAAAAACCATATACATTTCTGACTGGTTTACTGTACACAGGTACAGTGACTGTACTGCTGGTTAAGAAGCCTTACCATGTAATACCGCAAATTCCACTGTAGTTTGACTCCTCAGCTAATAAGCCAAACACAATGAGAGGCCTGATTCATTACAAAAAACAAAACAAAACAAACCATAAAGAGATACAAAAAGACCTGTGGTGGATGTTTTTTAAACTCCTAAGACTGTTCTCATGGATGGATTGTCCCCACTTGTCTGAACCCCTCTTGGCAATAATTTTATTCAGCTCTTATTCTAGAATTTAGAGTGCAAACTTCAGTTTAATCTTACTAATGAATGAGGAAGAATGCTTCCTTGATCTTATTTTTAAAAGATTTTACTGTTTCAATACCACAATCTTTCAAGAATTAACTTAGTCTTTTTTTAAATAGCCTTTCAACATGGGTTTGGATATATGTAAGACAAGATATTTGTTGACCTTGTGTTTCTCATATTTTAGTATTCCAAGTTAGAGACATATGAAAAATAATTACCTGAAAAGGCACTGGAAAAGATGATTTTCTTTAGCTGTTTATACAATGAATGAATTGGTAACCTCATTATTAAATGGATGTCACACATTTCCTTATGAACCTCTCCATATCATATTTTACACAATAATTAAAAATGGCAGCATTGAAAAGACTTCTGTGAGTCAAATGTATTAAACTCCTATTCAGTTGTTTTTTTTTTTTTTTTTTTTTTTTTTTGCCAAACCGTATTTTTCAGCTTTTGATCAGGTTTTAGTACTTTTTTTTTGGTTTGGTTCTTTTTAATAAGTGGGTAGAAAGGTTAGGAAAAGAGAAACTATTGTTTCTTCATAAGCTTGGTTTCATCATGGCATTTATCATGCAATAGTGTCAGTAGTAGTTACTACAATGTCGCATGACATTGATACATATTTTATTTTGAAATTGTTTTGTATTTTGGTGATATAACCACAGTGTTACAGCAGTTGAATTTTATTCTTTTTTAAGAATTATTTTAAGAATGTCTTTCTCATTTTCATTTTTGTGAGATTGTTTTTAAATACCCAAAGCATCAACCTTTTTAGACCACTCTTATTTCCTCCTTCTAAATGAACATGAGTATATTGGCTTATGTAGTCCTGCCTATTCTAAGTGATCAAACATGTTTACATGCCATGTAGAAAGCAGAAATGAAAGGTTCAAAAAAAGAAATTGCCAAACTTTTGTATTATATATAGTTAGAAGATGCTTAAATGATTCTCCAAGTTATTAAAAACAAAACAACACATGATGGCAAGAACAGTGTCATATTCTGTAAAAATCCCCATTTCTTGATCATTTGATAAAGTACTTAAAGTTGTTTGTGTTTAATTTTTTTTAATGAATCAGGCCCAAACATATGTTTATAAAAGTCCATTTGGGGGACTGAGGGTGGGATAAAATTATTTATGTTAGTTTTATTTTGGCAAGTAAAGTAAAGCACTAACTCTACAATGCATGTCAGATTTTTGTCACCTATGCCCCTGCCTTTTTTTTTTCTTAGAGTGTCTAGACGTATAATGTAACAAAAGGGGTGTATATATATATATTTTTTTTAATCTTTGATTATGAAGAGATTATTTTCCTGAAAGAAAAATGGCAACTAACAACAATCTGCAATTAGAGAATTAACTGTAGTCTGTCACTTGGGAAACTACCTGAAAATAATGTTCCATGTTATTTTCTTTTGGTTCTTCTAGATTTAGATAGACGTTTTGATTAAAGCTTGTGAATGAGGGCAGTTTTTGCCTTTGATTACTTTTGGAACATGCCATTCCTTGTGGATACCCTACAACATCAGAGGGCAGAATTTGAATCATTTTTCTCATTTTTCTCCTTAAATATTATAAGATGATCCTGGCATGTATCTGCTTCGTGAACATTGAAGATCTTTTTCTAGGTCCTCCACAGCCTGTGAATCCCCCTAGACCTTTCAAGCATAGTGAGCGGAGAAGAAGATCTCAGCGTTTAGCCACCTTGCCCATGCCTGATGATTCTGTAGAAAAGGTTACTCCTCCCTCTCCAGCCACTGATGGGAAAGCATTCTCCATCAGTTCTCAAAATCAGCAAGAATCTTCAGTGCCAGAGGGTAATGTATATTGATTTCCTATAGAACCAAATGTAAAAGAAGACAAAGAAAACGCTAAGATAAAGCTTATTGAAATATTAAGAAATTTCTACTTTTTCCTTCTTAACATCTTTTGGACTTATAAGCACTTCATTTAATTCTACAAATACTTATTTGGTGCCTTCTTTATTGCCAGGCACCGTTGTAACTTACAGAACACTTTGATCCACGTTGATACTGAGACAGTTTATCTGTGTTAACATATTACATTCTTTATTTTGTATAGTGCCTGATGTTGCACATTTATCACTCGAGAAGCTGGGACCTTGTCTCCCTCTTGACTTAAGTCGTGGTTTGGAAGTTACAGCACCACTAGCCCCAGATCCCTCTTTCCATAATGAATGTCCCAGGGCAGAAAAGGAAGATACACAGATGGTTACAAATCTTCCTCCCAAAGCAGTAACCGATGGAAGAGGAGCTGCAGCAGCATCAGGTAAAGAAGACTTACTTTACAAGTTAGCTAGTCTTGCCATTTATAGGGTAAAAACATTTTGATGTATAATTATATTATTTTAGTATGTAGTTTCTCTTCATAAATACTTTTATGTAACATCTGTGGGAGATAGGGTTTCTCAGTCTGTTTAAAGTCCTTTTGTGCAACCATTTACTGTCATATTCCCTGGACATACTTATTTTGTTACTTTAATCTACTTCCTTCTCCTTACTTACTTATATCGCATTTCTACTTAGTAAGAATCATTAGAGCTAAATATAACAACAGAAGTTTTTGGTTTTGAAGCCAGAAAATACTTAATGGGGTCAATACTTAGATTTAAGGATTTTAATAGAATTTAACATTTAAATTAACTATGTGCCTGTATCTTAAATATGATCTATATTTTGGAGCAGTATCTTCCAAATGTAATTTTTAATACTGCTATTTTGGAAGTCTAGTATGTAAAATTAGCCATGTTCAATAAGACATTTTTTGGATGATTTTATGATACTTACTGTAATCTGAAACCTTTCAGAGATACTTCATAAACTTGATATTTTAATCTATCGGAATATTAATTTAGATTTCCCTTATATGGTTGCATTGTTTTATTTGGAAGTTTTATACAATTTTAACCTCAACCAAAGAGTACATATAATTAAGAAAAAGGGCAAATAGTAACTTCAAATGCTTTTTCAGTAAATTACTAATTTGAAATTAGATAAATGAAGGAGATCTGAATTGAGGCAGTTCTGAAATGGGGCAAAACATAAAACTGTTTTTTGATTTGCAGCCAAAGAGTATTGGGGAGAATTGTTTTTAATAGCATCTTCCCTGAACTCACTTTATCAAATCCTTGAATGAAGCATAAAATAGAGCTTGCTCTTTTCTGGTGCTGGTTTATGTTAAAATAAAATGATTGAAGTAACTTAAGAAACATATAGGTTTAACTTCTTATTCCTTCTTTCAAAGTGAAAATGTAACTAATATTAAAAATGCAATTTTCTATAATTCCAGTAATCAATAAAGATGGAAGTTATTTTGTGCCTGATAGTGTTTCTGTATCTCGTTTTAAAAAATTAGTGTCCAAATTTGAAGATTTGTAGGCTTTGAAGATTTGTAGTCATTTCCCAAATATGATCCATTGTCTTTGGGCTCTTTCACAAGATTTCTGAATTATCATTAACCTTTGAGATACATTTCCTGGGCAAGGGTCATGTAGTTCTTTAACAATCTGAAATTTATTGCTGTACTGAATATGTGAAAAATGTGTTCGAGTTATGATACATAATTCATTGGGGAAATTATTATTACTACTTTAAGTATTTTTATTGAAGTATAGTTAGTTTACAACATTGTATCAATTTCTGTTGTATAGTACAATACTTCAGTCATACAGGCAAATACACATATTCATTTTCATATTCTTTTTCACTATAAATTACTACAAGATATTGAATATAATTCCCTGTGCTATATGGTATAAACTTGTTGTTTATCTATTTTATATATAGTAGTTAGTATCTGCAAATCTCGAACTCTGTTGGGGAAATTATTTTTAGATGTACATTTGAAAATATTTGTATTTTCTTTAAATGTATATATATGTATATTCTAACAATAGTAACAAGACTGAAAGGCCAATATAAATAGCTATATAATAACTAAGTTATGTTAGCCAGGTGATGTCTCCTAAAATGTTGAGGTAGTGACTGTGCATGGAAATCCTTGATTCCAGTGACTTTGTGTCTAAGCAGAGTATAGCCTGTTTTTTTTTTTTTTTTCTCTCAGAAGTTCTAGCATATTTGTGGAGATACAGCTAATTACCATTGGGGTGTGATTCTTGTTTCTCATAGTGGTTAAAATGTACTTGGGTAGAGGGAAGGCACAATAATTTTTTCCTTTTTAAGTGTTAGAAATAACTATTTGAGAAAGTCAAAGTAGTAAAATAGTTTTCTGGGAGCATGAGAGGTCGAAATTTGGATTTGTAACGTGATACATTTGTAAGTTTGTTGAAGAGTGAGGATCATCTTATATATGTTGTTGACTGACAACTTTAATTGCTTAAATCAAGGAAATGCATGGTTTTAAATGTTAGTTACTGAAAGTCCATTTATTAGAGGGTTGAACACAGCATTTGAGTGTGGGGTTGGGAGGTTTCTAATTTATTTCTATTACCCCTTTTAGTTTTTTATTTTTTTGAGGTAAGTGGTGGGATTCAGGTTCTATTCTAATTGGACACCTTTTGATTAAAACCTTGTGAACCTGTCTGACTTACACTGAAATTCTCAGTGGTCTGCATACTTTTCTCTCTTAATATTTTTTTAGCTACCCTCCCTCCCGAAAGTGTTGTGCAGTATTTGTTGGACTTCTGTCTGCTCCCCAAGCTGTCTTCCATCTAGAGTCAAAGTACCAGGTGTTTTGTTTTTGTTTCTTCTTTTTCTTTCCTTTTTTTTTTAAATATATGTTTGATTGGTTTGTTTCCATCTTAATTATAAAAGTAAATTTTGTTACTGTTGAATTTCAAAACTTCAGTAGAAATCATTATTTTCCAGAACTTGTATCAAAGACATTTTTGGGGAATTTTTTTTTTTCAAATTGAAACTCTTGGGGTATTTAGAATGATGAGAATGTTAGTCATTAACTGTGAACTAATTGAACAGACTTCGAGTTTTACTTTCTCACATAAGATACATGTGCATACTGCTGAGTTTAGCAGTCATGGTAAAGAATGGATGAGATCATGCAAATTATCTAATAATTACATACACCTGTTCTTAATATGTTAAAACTTGTTTTTAATTGTTTTTCCAGTAGACTTAATGAGCTTGCACTAACCCTTCTACATTCTTCAACTGGGGACCGTGACTAACCAAGGTTAAGAATAGTATCATTGCCTGTCTCAGCAAAAAAAGTCATTGGTGTCCTTGTAAAAATGGATGCCTTTGTTTTCATCTTATGATCAGAATGCTTTATCTAACAGAGCTAACCAGTTTTAGGTAAGGGTAGAGACTTAGTTCTATTACTGTTAGTTCTGTTACTGAGAATGTTGACTAGTTTTCATACTTATCTACTAGGTGTATGTGTGACAAATACTAAGCTCCTCTAACCTCTTTAAGGAGTTAAAATATGGAAGCTCAATGTATGGAAGGGGGAGGCAGTAATACTTCCACTCCCTGACTTGTGGCTGAGTTGCCTGTGCCCTGTGCTGTGCTGGCACTTCACATAAATGATGATTAGTCTAATCGCTTACATCAGCTTTACATTTACTTTTTGAAAGCCTTCTTGTTTTAAAAGTGTTTTTCAGTTTTTTTCCAGACTTGTACAAAACAAAACTACAACCAGAGATTCTGTAATCTACCTCCACCCCCACACCAAATGTTCATGGCTTGTGCAGAGCCTGGGGTTTCCATGGAGAGTCTTGGGGATAGCCTCTTTTTTAACCAGAAGAATCAGATATTTAGCATACCAGAAGGGGTTTGAGAAACCAGTCTACATTACTGGGCTTTATGTGTGAAAGCAGGCATGGTTCAGAGATCTGCCTCTCTTACTTTCATCTAAATAGAGCCATTTAAAAAAATTTTTTTGTTTTTCATTTTTGAGGGCATTTGTATTATGTATTGGACTATTATGAGCTATTTTGTTTGAAGGAAATGTTCTGTTGATAAAATTTAGTTTAAAAATTACTCTTCTGTAAACTAATATCCTAGTACTTTGGTTCCCAGATTCTAGCACATGGTGAAATAAGGACAATGTGGTGAATGTCTCATAAAATGCAATTTATTCTATTTTTTCTATCTGGGCATGAGTGTTTTTTAAAAGTCCTGCTGTTTTTGCATATACAAATATTTATTTTACTATCCTTACTTATGTAAAATTTGATAACCCTTTTTGAGTTCCCACTTTTACTTTTGAAATTTTATCAGTTAAGAAATCTAAAGGTGTTTGGGATTCTCTAGAACATGTGAAAACAATATAGAACTGGTCCTCTTGAAAGCACTCTGATAATAACTGTAACTGTTCTGCTGTGCTGACGTGTGTTCCAGAGCTGTGTTCATGAATGACCATTTTACTTGTCTTCCAAGTACCCAAGGGATCCCACACATTCCAGTCAGAAAAGGCAGCCCAATAAGGCAATTCCTTCCATTTGAATCACCCCAGCCATCCTCGACCTTTGACCCTGGAGATTCAGTGCTCCCAAGGATTAGGGACCAACAGGCAATAATTACGATCAAGTGCTGCTTCTGGTATACCTACTCTTATTGAGGATTCAGAAAGCAACTCTCTTGTTGTTTCTGTTGTAAATGCCTTATCATTTTCAAGAAAATTACATCAAATTTGTGGCATTTTCATGTTATTAGTTAGTAAACAATAATTAGTGAAAGGAAGTGAGGCATTTGTTCAACAGTCTTGATAATAAGGAAGTTTAATTGTATTTCTCTTTGCTCTGACATCCCTTTCATTTTTTTTGGTCATAAATCTTTTTGTTACAGAGGTTATCATTATTTTTACTTAATTTGAAATTTACTTTTTAGAGCCTTATTAGCATTTAATTCAAGTTGTGTGGCATTTTTATATTTTTGTTGTGTTCATTTAAATTATGTAAAGTATTTGAAGTAGGATGAACAAAATGCTAGCTTTTTTGATGCTGTGCAATTGGAGTGATTTAAAAAATCAAAGAACTCATACATGATGATATTAAAGCATAATTTAATAGACTGAATTTGTATTTTAAATGCAAGTATACTGTTTTTCTTAAAGTAACCCTAGACATGCATAAGATAGTAGCATTGGGAATGGTTGAATATGAGTTGAGAAACTTAGTTAAGTGTGTCTTTGTCAGCTACACAGTTATTGAGGTACACTGTTTATTTAAAAATGTGTTTCAGGCTATTTGGTAATAATACCTAAATGCCATTAAGGTTGAATGTTTTTGTGTGTGTTAGTAAGCCTTTATATTTTGCATTTGGATAAAGAGTGAAAGTTACTTATAGAATAATTCTATTTTGGCTTTTATCATTGCCTAATAACACATTCATGATGGAGTTCAAAGGTACAAGTTTGTTGTAGGCAACAGAGGTTAAATACTAGTTAAAAAATTTTATACAGATTGTTGAAAACCAGTATCATTTAATATGAAATTTAATATTTCATTTGGATGACCAGAATAGCATTTTGTCATAATTATCACAGGAGAAAAAATGTTATATATGGACCTACCACTGGAGTGCATTTCAGCATCTTCTGGATTGCAAAGACTGTGTTGCCAGAGTTGATCTTAACTGATTGCCTGGTGTATTTATCCTAATATTTTTCTATATTTAGACCCATATTTATGCTATTTCTAGAAGTGATGTAGTCCCACACAAAGGGAAAAGTGAAAAAAAGCACTGATTATTTATCAGATGCTGAGCTAAGCATTTTACATATTTTTGACTCATATAACACTGATAACAATAGGAGACAGGAACTCTTATTCCTATTTTTCAGATAAGAAAACTGAAGCACAGAGAGATTAAAGGATTTAATCAAGGACACGCAGCTAATAAATGGTGAAACTAGGAATCTAATCTGAGTACTCTGAAGGAACAAAAATCATCCTTAATTTATCATTTTTTTGAACTTAAGAAATCCTACTTCGTTGTTACTGTTTCAGGCAATAAGATAATGTAGACCTTTAAGGGGAAAGAGCCTTAGGTAGAATTTTGTGAGCAATTGTAATTTAAAACATTGTCCCATACTTTTAACCCCTTCTGACTAAACTTACATATTTTTCCCCTAAACCTGCAGGAATATCGAAAACAGAAAAAAAAGTGAAATTGGAAGAAAAAAGCTCAACAGCATTTGGTATGAACAGAAAGTAATCTTTAAGCAAAAGACTGTAGATGGCTTGGCAGTGGGAGGACATAGTCTGTCCCTTACTTTTTACCTGTTAGTGCTCCTTTAGGTGTAAGTGATCATCTGTTTCAGTGTTTATTAGTGTTATTCAGCTCCAAATATGTGATTTCTTAAATACATATCTTGTAGTAATATGTGTATTTTTTGTTAAGAGGAGCCTAAGGCTTTCTTGAGAACTTAATGTTTTTGAACATCTTTAAAATTATGGCTGTTTAAAAATAAGCTGCCATTTATTATTGTTGAAACTTAGAGAAAGGATGGTAACTTAAACTAGGCTTTTTTCAGACTTTTTTCTTTCACTTACCTTATAAAAAGTTACCAACTTTTCTGCTGTCTTTTCTGTCTTCTGTGCTATAATGACTAAAAGTTTTAGAATAATAGATAATAGTCTTAAATATTCTACAGATTAGCTAATTGGAGCTTGGGTTACTGAAAGTTGATTCAGTGTGGTTGATAAGTTATGGGCTAATCCATTCTGAGTTGGAATAGTAGTTGAATATATATGGTGAATTAATTTTAAATAAAATATTCTAGGATACTGTTTTAACATCTGTTCATTTTCTTTAAAGTACATGTGATGGGGGAAAGGAATATTTAAAAATTTGGGAACAGAGTTTAGTTTAATGAAATAAGTTTTTTTTCTTTGTGTTTGTCTTCATTCTTGTACACAATGGGAAATTATTCAAAGACTGGAGGAGTTATTTATGGAATCAATTTAGTTTTTTTATTTTTCCAAAGGAGAAAAGGTCAAGTTTTTTTTTTAATCTTCTAATATATTTTCTAATTACATTTTGTGTGGAAATGCTGAATCTCCTCAGTTATGGCTTTCTTAAGTTACGGAGTTTATTTCTTGCCACACCCAGAAACTGAGTTATATTACTCATTTAAAGATTTTAACTACTGTCTGTGTTAACTTTAAGGTGTCAGGAGTTGGGATTTCTCAACACTGCTAATGAAGATCCCCTCTTATAGTCCAGTAAGCTAATCAGGAGTTCCAGACTCATAACAGGAACAGTTTAATTGAATCCATCCACTCTGGGCAGGTGACTGGAATAGCTGATTAAAACCTAAATGCTGCTTTTAGGTTAACCACAATGGAACAACTCAGAATCAGTCATAATTACTAACTTAACTCACTTTTGTCATTTAGGTAAGAGAAAAGAAAAGGATAAAGAAAGAAAAGAGAAGAGAGACAAAGATCACTATAAACCAAAACAGAAGAAGAAGAAGAAGAAGAAAAAGAAATCTAAGCAGCATGGTAAGTAGAGTCCTTGCTCAGTGTCTGTAGGGGATTAGTTCCAGGGCCCCCAGCAGATACCAGAATCCACGGATGCTCAAGTTCCTTATATCAAATGGCGGAGACAGTTGGCATTTCATACCTGTGGCTCCACTCCATACCTGTGGAAATTGAAAACTGATCTGCAATTGGTTAAATCCACAGTTGCAGAACCTCTGGATACAGAGGGCCGACTGTATGCTAAAATGGTGATTCCCATTTTTTAAAATTCTGAGATGCTTTATACTTTTGTTTTTTACCAAAATGGAGGCAGGACAAGATCCCCCTGTTCTTGAGAACTAAGAGGTTCTTGTGGTAGCTTTCCTTTGTCTTGCTAATTTTGAAAATATGCAACTCTGTTTTACTACAGTCTGTTAACTAAGTGGTCTGTTAAGTTAATCACTGCAACTGATTAGTCTTTCATTTCCAGCATTGTGGTGGACTAGATACCCTGACCAGGCACCCTTCAGTGTACTGAAGGAATTATTCTCAATCTAGAATTTTATAGTCCCTTGAATTACTTTTCAAAAATGAAGAAAAATATTTTTAGAAAAACCTGAAAAAAAATCAAATGATTTTTCTATCCGTAGCCTGTCTCTAAAGGATATCCTTTATAAGCCAAAAATCATTCCTAGAGATAGGGCGTTACCATATAATGATAAAGTTTCAGTTCACTTTATATCTTTCTAGATAAACGGTTTCTAAATTTTATCACTGAATAACATCATATCATATTTAGTAATTAATAAACAAAGGTCAGAAGTGTCTGTAAGGATGATAAGAAAGACGGCAGCTGTACAGTTATCTAAGAGACCTGTCTGGACACCGGACTCAGCAGCTGCAGAGCTGACTGTGTTTTCAAGTAGATGCAAACATTTATTAAATTGACTGTGGGATGCAGCTTTAAGCAAATCTCAACACATTTTAAAGATTGGTATAATTCAGACCATAGTTTCTGACTGTGATAACAATTATAGTTAAATAAAATCAGTATTGGAAAAATAAAATCAGTATTGGAAAAATAAAAAGTCCTGTATGTTTAGAAATCAAGCAAAATATTTTTAAATAACACATGGATGAGAGAGCAGTACCGAAAGAAACGTAAATAATAATAATAATAAATAATATAATAAGATGTTGAGAACCTGACAGATGATGAAAATATTATATATATATTGAAATTTGAGAATGCAGTTAAAATGGCATTTATAAGACAAATACTTATTTTTGTACATGCTTATATTAGAAAAGAAGGCTGAAAGTCAGCTAAGCCTCCAGATTAAGAAGTTAGAAAAGAACAAGTCTAAAAATAGTAGAAGTGAATAATAAATACATGAGTGGAAATTAATGAACTAAAAAAAATGCTAGGAAGAACTAAAAAATGCCCAAATTATTTTTTTTTGTAAAAAATTAATACAATTAACAAACCTTTTGGAAGACTGATTAAGAAAAAAAAGACAAAATGCCCAAACAATATCAAGAATAAAGGGAAAATAACTATGGTGCTTCAGACATTAAAAATGAGATAATGTAAACAATTTTATGCCAGTGAATCTGAGAGGTTATTTGAAGGTATGGACAATTGCCAAAAACCAAACTTATTCAGGAAGGTTAAAAACCTGAATAGTCTTCAAGCCTTAAAAGAAATTTGATCAGTATTTTATTAAAATCTTTCCACAAAGAAACAGTCCTGGTCCAAGAAGTTTTGTTGCCAAGTTCTACCAAACATTAGAGGAACAGATTATTCCAAACTTACATAAATTATTTTAGAATTTGGAAAAAGAGGGAGCACTTCTATAGTGAGATGAAAAGTGTTTCCCCAGAACAGGTGTTGAGCTCCTAACCCCCATCCCTGTGAATGTGATGACATTTGTTAATAGAATTTTTGCTGATATGAGTAAGAATGAGATTACCTGGGATTTGGGGTGGTCCCTAACATAAGTGACTGTCGTCTTATAAGAGAAAGGAGAGGGACATTTGAGACACATAAGGGAGAAGGCTGTGTGAAGACACAAGAAGCAGTCCCAAGCCAAGGAACGTGAACCACCAAAAGCTGCAAGAGGCAAGGAAGGATTTTCCCTGAGAGCCTTCAGAGGAAGATGGGCCTGTTGACACCTAATTTTGGACTTCTGGCTTGCAGAACTTACAGAGAATAAATTTCTGTTGTTTCAGTCCATCAGATTTGTGATGATTTATTGGGGTAGCCCTAGGAAGCTAATACAACTCCAAATTCACTTTAGATGATTTAAGTAACTTTGCTCTCAAAATCAGAAGACAGCAGTATGAGAAAGGACAGTCACAGGCTGTTCTTATTTGTGGACAAAGATGCAAAACATGTAAATAAATGCTATGGAATAAAATCTAGCAGGATATTTAAAAATATGACCCATAGGATTGGAATGCAAAGTTGGTTTGACATTAGAAAATCAGTGAGTGAAGGTCACCACAGTAACATTACTATTTTAATAAATGCAGAAAAGCCATTTGATATACCCATGTGTACTTATATTTATGAATAGCAGATTATAAAACTTTATTTAGAAATATAATGAAGGCCTAAATAGATGGGGACTAATTCATGTTCATGGGTTAGTATATTCAGTATTGAAAAGATGTCACTTCAAATGAATCTATAGATTTCATTGCTGATTCTAAAACTTAATATGGATGAGTAAAGAGAAAAAAGAATACAGTCATTCTTGGAGAATAATAAGGAAAAGAATTACTATTCAGTCATAGTTATTAAAACAGTGAGCTATTTTGAAAGAACAGACATGTTGATTAAGAACAGGATAATCCAAGGCAGACCTGTACATATGCAAACCTTGGTTATTCAAAGCTGGCATCTTACATTAGCAGTAAAGAATGAACTTTTCAGTAAATGGTACTAGACAGGTTATAATTCGTATGGTGAAGAATAATAAAACTATCCTATCTTACACCATACATAAAAAATCAATTCCAGGTTGATTAAAGACTTAATATGTGACAGGAAAAACTCAAGAACTTTGAAAGACAGTGTAGGAAAACATCTTTATGATCTGTGGGCAGGAATTTCTAAACAAAAAATGCTGACTCTGAACGAAAAGTTTGAAAATGTAACTAGACTGAAATGAACTTGGTTTATCAAAAGCATTATAAAAAGCGTGAGTGAAAAGAACACAAAACATAAGAAGATGCTTGCAGTGCTGACACCTGACCGAGCGTCAGTATCCAGAATGTATTTCAAACCCTGACAAATCAAGAAGAAAAACAACCCAGTATGAAAACAGACAAAAGATTTTAACAGGAATCTCCTGGAAGTGGAAACCAATTGAATATATAGTACAATGCATCAGTCTTATGAGAAGCTGCATAATACAATTTTTAAAACCTAGTGAAATTATTTCATACCTGCCAGATGGACTGAAATTATTAGGTGGATGATGTCAGATGTTGCTGAGGAAATGGAGACAGCTGTACAACTGCTATGGAAAACCAGTGGGCATCAGAGTAGAAGCTGAAGGTGTGCATACCACGTGACCTCAGACTCCTGACTACACTCACAGGACACATCTGGAGATGTATACAAGAATGTTCACGGCAGCGCTGGCATCGGCCGAGATGCACCCCTGTCCTTTCAGTGGAATCCACATCACTATGTAAATAAATGAATTAAACCCACTGGAATCTCATGGACAAAATGGATGAGCTAAGAATCACGTCACTGAAGAAAACGTGTACAGTGATGACAATTTCATTTATGTAAAGATCGAAATGTTGTAAAACTAAGCAGTCTGTTGTTTAGAGATTCAAATGTATGTAGCAAGTGCATAAAGAAAAGAGAATGACAAATGGAAATTCAGGTCAGTGGCCACCTCTGAGGGGGAGAAGGGAATTTATCAGTTCAGATTGGAAAGTGGCACAAAGGAACCTTCAGAAGTGACAGTGATTTCTCTTATAGTGCATTTTGGGTACCTAAGTATTTTGTGATATTGACATACTTTGTGTCATATCTTTTTTTTTTCATACTCATTAAACACTTAAAACAGTCTTAAAAACGGTAAGAGCCTACTAGATAATTTCAGAGTTGGTGATCGTTGTTGGTAGATCCTTCAGATTTTAACTCTTTCTATAGGCCAAAAATAACATCTGATTTTTCCACAAGATATGAAGTTTCCACATTCTCTTAACTCTAAAGCTACCAAAATAAATTTGAAGATAAGGAATCAGAATGGGATTGAAAAACTTGAAACCACTTTCCAGAGAGTGTCTTGAACGTTTCCGGACACTCCTGTGTTTGCGCTGCTCCCATCGCTTTTCCCTGCCCCTGCCCCTGCACAGATAGTGCTGGAGACTCCACACTGGGGGAAACGTAAAGTTAGGAGACCCTGGAGCTCTGTGAGCAGAAACCATCATCCACAGATCCCTTTGTTTAGTGAGCACCCTCCCGTGATTGTGGGTCCGAATGCGGACATGACAAGCTTCCTACTGCAGGCCAGGTTGCCAGGTGAGCTCCCTGCTGACCACAGGCCGAGGGGTTTTGGCTGCCTTGGGTATTCTAGTGGAGACACCCACCGAGGCGTCAGGGCAGGAAGGGCCAAGCTTTTTAAAGTTCTTTTATGCCGCATTGGCCAACAGGTGTGTTCCAGTACTTAGCAGCAGATGCAGAACCTCAGGTGCTGAAACACCTGTGAAGCGCGGAAAGCTAAGAGGGAGGGGCTGATAAGTAGCAGAGTAAGAAGTTGGCCATACTTGGTAGCAAAGTGAGAGATGGTCATGAGAATGCAGGAAATGGTAACTTGAAGGAAGGGAGAGTGATTAGGATTAAGATGTCTTAGAGAAAAAATTGCAGAGAAAATTTGTACCTCAGAATTGTAACCCACCATTAACTATGGTAACCCTACTTATAAAGAGCTATTAAAAAATAAACCTTTAAAAATGTTGATATATTTTATGTTTTTAATTAAAAAGAAAGAGCCTCATATCTTTATTTATATTTTAAAATCAGACCTATAAATGAAAATCTTAACTTTGAAAGTAGAGTCCTGGCAAATACTAAAGATGCGCAGGAGCATTGCTCTTTGTACACAGCAGGTGTTGGGTCGGGTAATCACCACCATCTTTGCAATTAATCATTACATTTGAGAATTTATTCTGGGCTATTTACATTCACCTTGGACGTGATGCTTTTCTCCAGATGATTAAATTGGAAGAGTGTTCTTTAAGCTGGAAATAGAGGGTTTTAAATAACTTTGAAATATTAAAGACATACTAATTTTAAAGAATTCACATTATTACCACATGAGGTTCATAACAGAGTGTGTATTTTCATCTACACTATACCATTAAGGAGTTTAAAAAACTCTTACTTTCCACCACCCAGTGTTACTTTGCGTATCGTGCTGATGCTTATTATGTACCAGACACTATATAAGCATTTACACGTGCTGGTTCATTTCATCCCCCCATTAACCTTTTATAGTGGGGCCTGTTGCCCCCATTTTACAATGTTAAGTAAAAGAGAGAGATAAAGAGAGCTGTCCAGGCTCACACGACTCGTAAGTGGAGAAAAGCAGATGGAAATCCAGGCAGTCTGGGTTCTGAGTCTTAATTTTAACTTTTAATCCTCATGCTACGTTGTTAATCTCACCTCCTTTAGATCTCCTTAGAGATTATTAATCTCCTTAGAGATTATTTGCTAGATTGTGTTTTCTTCCCTCCTTGTCTTTGTTGGCATACTAGGTTCTTAGTAGTTATTTATTAGTTTAAATGAAGCGATGGAAAGTAGTAATTTAGTTAAGTAGTCCTTTATAATTATTCCATGCAATAGTGGGTTCACATATGTTTTGATTACCAGAAGTAGGTTACATAATACAAAACTAACATTGTGTTCAGTCTGTGTGTGAGTAACTGTTGTTTTGGGGCAATCAAGAGTGACATCTTTGCCAGTTGTTAGCTCTGTTATTTTGAGCAAATCGCTTCATCTCTTTGTCTTTCATGTATCTGTAAATATGAGAAAACTGAAGGCATACAAAGATTTAAAAGAACTAGAGTCAGAAATGCAAAGAGAATCCAAAGTATTGCATAGTAAAAACAAAGATCCCTCCCAGGTGCATGTAAGTAAGCGTATAGGTGTATGGTGAGAGTGACAAGAAGCTTGCACAGATACCTAGCAGAAAAGGTGTGATGTGTTACATGTGTGGTGAGGTGGTACAAAATAAATTCTATCTAGAGAAGCCGGAGTAATTGATCTCCTTCTTTACGTAGAGGATCACATTTGATCTAACCCTGAAACATAGTGGTAGACTTTTATTCATGATAGACAGAGGGCATTGGAGTGGGGAACACAGGTCGGGAATAGAATGCTAAGAACTTTTGTTCAATTGCTAGTATACTGTAGAGAGATTAAATGTCAGCCATGTTTTACTTTTAACACCAAATTGAGATTTCTGTCATTACTTTTACACTCAGCCAGTCCTTTCGCTTTCGGTTTTGCTGAGAGGGCATTATAACAGGTAGTCAGTAAAAGGGCAGCTTTGAGAGCTGAGCATGTGGGTTCAAATCCTGATTGCAACCCTTACAGCTCTGGGTGATCTTTGGCAAGTTATTTAAATTCTGAACCTCTCTTTCCTCACTTGTAAAATGGCAATGATAGTTTCCACTGTGTTGACTTATTGTTAGGATGTCGTAAGGTAATCGATGTGAAGTACTTAACACAGTACCTGGCTAGCATTTGATGCGTGCTGTGCAGTTACTGCTTGTCTGTGAGAGGTTGCTCTGCGGTCTGATGGCATCAGCACCATCCGAGGGTGTCTGCACCGCCGAACGACTGTGAGGAGGCCCGGGAAGCTTTTAGCAAGCTTTCCAGTTTACGTGCACATTAAATGTTGAACTCCACTGGTAATGCTTTTTGCTTAAGAGTTAAGCTTCTGTGCTCTGGCTGTCTGGGTTTGAATGTTGGCTTTGCCACTGATGGCTGTGTATTCTTAGGCTATTTATTTAACCTTTTTTGTCCCTGTTTTTTCATTTGTAAAATAGTGTTAGCAGTTGTAGCTCCCTTACTGGATGGTTATGAGGATTAAGAGTTAATGCACATAAAGCACTTAGAATCATGTTAGGCACGGGGAGCGCCCTCAGTAAACATGGGCGATGCTGTGGTATTTATGATGACCATTATATTCATTGCCCATTGCTACTTGCACAAATTACTATGTAACAGTGATTTAAAACAACCCAAAATAGTTATCTTAAGGTTCTGAAGGGCAGAAGTCAAAATGGGTCTCACTGGGCTAAAATCAAGGTGTCAGGGCTGCACTCCTTTCTGGAGGCTCTGGGGGAGGATTCATTTTCTTGCCTTTCCCGGCTTCCAGAGGCTGCCGCGTGTCCTGGCTTGTGTCCCGCTCCCATCTTAGAAGCCAGCAGTGGCGGCTCTAGTCTTTCTTACTTTACATCACTCTGACACTGACTCTTCTGCCTCCCTCTTTTACTTTTACGGACCTTTGTGATTACATTGGGCCAACCCAGGTAATTCAGGAAAATCTCTTTTTTTAAGGTCAGCTGATTGCCAGCCTGATTCCATCTGCCACCTTCATTCCCCTTTGCCATGTGACCTAGCGTATTCATGGGTTCTGGGGGTTAGGATGTGGACGTTTTAAAGGGCCATTATTCTGCCTCCCCCAACCACCAATTTCAAATAGATACTCAGTAGACACCAGCACTGGACTGCTCTTCTCTTGGAAACTTAATTTCCCACTCTCTACCTTTCTTCAGCTTTTTCTGCCTCTTACTTACTGCCCAGTGTGCCTCAGTTGACATCGTGTGCCTCACACTCAGCTGAGGAAGTGAAGCCAACAGATGAGCACTTGCTCATTTCTTCTCCACATCTGCGTCCTTACCCGAATACATACATCAGTCATCTCCTTTGTCTCTACTGAAATGGAGGGAATGTCTGTCTTTCTGTTCTTAAAATCCTGGCATTTCTCACTGACCCCTGCATTTTTAAATTTATATGGACAATGTGTAGGATCTCCCATCTTTAAAAAGTCTTCCTCCAAACCCGCATTTCTTCTCTTATTTCTCCACGTGTCATTTACACCTCGTCTCCATCTCGGAACCCCAGTTTCCACACCTAGCTGTTCAAGCAGAAACCTGATAATCGCCCTTGATGACGCCATCTCAGCCCTCCATCTCCACACATCACTGCATCTGCCTCTAAATCTGCATCTCAGCCCAGGCCATCAGCATCTGTTGCCTGGACTGTGCTGCAGCCTCTGAACTGTGTCCCCACTTCTACTTGTGCCTCCTCGCCCTCCTTCCTCCCCTTTTACAGCTGGAGTGATTTTTGAAAAATGGAACTGGACTTGCGTCACATCCTGCTTCGCCTTACAAACTTTGACTTTTTGTTGCCTTTAGGATAAAGTTAAAAACAAAAAAAATCTTTAACCTGTCACTCTGGCCTCATCTCTTATCTCCCTCCCTCACTTATTGTGCTCCAGCTGCAGTCTTGTAGTTTGTGTAGTGCGCCAGGTGTTCTGCTTCATAGCCTTCCCGCATACCTAGATGCATACCCCCTCCTGTCTGCTTCCCCTACAGCTCCACTCTCCTTAGGCTGTGTTCGGCTTGTCCCTGCTCATCTGTCTCCATGACTCCCAAGCTGAGGGAGACAGAACTTTGACTAATTTCTTTCAGGCCCAGTTAATTTCATTCAGAGGTTTTCTGCTGAAGAATTTATTGATCAAATTGTCACTCTAATAATTGACATGCTGGACATCATTTAACATCATTACATCTTTACAAATTGCAAAAAACAAAAAATTAATTTCCATCTTGCACATCTTACTGCAGACATAGCTGTGATTATAATGAAGAGAAAATGTAGGTATAATCCTTTTTCATTTCTGGACTGCTTGACGAGAGTTTACGGGTACCAGCGAGAACGTGGCGCTCCCTGCTGTGTGGGTACTGCCTGGGCTGTATTTCCCAGGTGTTCTTGCCAAACCCAGTTGCTCAGATGCATAATGATCTAGTTATTCATGGATGAGAAGAGAAAGTGGTCGCATGCTTATTTTATGTATCATAAAACGTGACTTTCTCATTATTTTTATACTGACTCTTCTTGATTACCTGACACTTTATTAATATTTCTTTATGTATCTTATGTTGCAGACTATTCAGACTATGAAGACAGTTCCCTAGACTTTTTGGAAAGGTGCTCTTCTCCACTAACTCGATCTTCTGGGAGTTCTCTGGCTCTGCGAAGCATGTTTACGGAGAAAAATACAACATATCAGTACCCAAGGGCAATTTTGTCAGTTGATCTTAGTGGTGAAAGTATGTGTAACCATGTAATGTTTAAAACAAGTCTTAAAATTCTTAATGTTGAACTGAGAATAAAACATACTTTATTGAGGCCTATCTGAGCAGGGCAAACAATTTTAAAAAGTTATTTATTCCATAAACTAATATGAAAATCTCAACATTAGAAGTTTGAGCTACTTTTTAATTTATATAAGGTAAAATTGGCTTTTATACTTAATGGTAGGATAGGTGGTGAGGAAACAATTAGTGTCTACTGTATACTGGTCTTCTGTAGGTGTGTTTACCTTTTCACATTTTCACTACCAACTTAGAAAGTAAATACTATTACCCACATTACATAGATATATAAGCAGAGGCTTATCAATGAAGTAACTTTGGGGGCTAGTTAGCATTAGAATTAAAACTCAAACCCAGGCCTGTCTTAACTCCTCAGATAGTACTTTTTCTACCAGTTATTTCTCCTAGTCTTAAAAATGCACTTTGAATTCCTGATCACAGATACATCTGCAACTGAATGTCTGGAAATGTGTTCAAATCATTGATTTGAACACATTTAGGTATTAGGTCCATAGAGAGAAGGCCATGTCAGGTGGTGACATGAGCCCTGGAGTTGGAATCTGTCAGGTTTTCCTGCAGGTCAGGTCCTGACAGTGGAAGGCATGAGGACTCTAACCTTCCAGTGTTCTAAGCGGTGGGAAGAGAGACTCGCAACTAGACATTGACGGCAGTGGCTCCAGACCAGAGCTCTAGCACAGCAGAAGTGAGTCAGGGAGCGAAGAACAAGAGTCAGGAGTGGGGGTCGTCTTACGTAAAATCCCAAGGAACCTTATGGGGAGCTCACTTCCTGCCTTTCCTTTCAGTGAAGCATATTCCTTCCTTTACTCTAAGATACGCACATAGCATTTTTGAGATTTTTAAATCTCAAATCTAAAAAGAAATTGGTGGGAGCGAGGATTAGGAAAAGGTCCACCCCCCCTTTTCTAACAAACACAAATTCCCTTTTGCCTTTTGGGCCAGTGGTTCTTCACCCCAGGTGCACATTATATTTATTCCTGTGATGCTAAAATACAATACCGGCTCCTGCAGCAGAACACAAATCTGAGGTTTCTGGGAGGACAGATCCTGGCAAGATAGCCCTGGTAGCCAGGGCTGAAAATCACATAAGAACACCCATAGTGTGAGCCATCAAAGTCTGAAAACTGTCTTCTTATACAGAGTGATGGAGATGGGGAGATTATACCTGGGTGGCAGTGTTGCTGGAGCTAGAACAGCTGAGGGCTGGAAAGAGTCATGGATCTCTGCCCTCAGTTCTCTGTCTTCCCCCCGCCCTTCATGGTTCCAAGCGCGGAGCTGTGAGAAGGAAAACGGAGAGGCTCTTAGATGTTAGCTTGCATCAGAACCACCTGGAGAGCGTCTTAAAACACATTTCTGGGCCTTACCTTTAGAAGTTGTGAGTTCTAACAAGTTCCCAGGCAATGCTGATCTGGAAATCACGCTGAGAATACCGTCTGGGGAAACAGCAGTGACAGTTCAAGGGGTAGCAGTTGGAAGAGAACAGTGTTCTGTGGCCACTCAAGTGGAGCTGTTGTCCAGGTGGCTGTTCCAGTGTAAGAGGGAATCTGTACTTGCTCTTCTTCTATAACTTTCAACCCAGTGACCCATTTGCTTAACCCCCAGAATTCATCTAAGCATTGATTTGATGCTGCCAGTTAGTCAAACTGGATTTTTTGGCCGTATATTAAATTTGCATCCTAACACCATAAAGCCTGACATCATGCAAGCCTGTGTGAGACACACTAATTCCTTGCAATGTTAATAGGTTTTACATTTAATTCATTTCTAACTCTGTTATGATTGTCGTCCGATTAATACCACATATATGCTGTAACAGTGTTTGAAACTGTTTATCCATGTTCTAGTCTGCCATTTTGAAGCATGAACTTATATTCAGGAAAGCCCAAGAGAAAATACAAATTTTGGATTTGAGCTTGCAAGATTATGAATAAATGAAATTTCTTCAGGTTCTGAAAACTGCTCATATTGTTAATATTAGAAAAATTTTATAATATCTAATTAATTTACTTCTTACTCCTTGATCATTTTCTTGTATTTCTCTACTACTATTTCATTTCTACTAACCTTAACTTTCTCCAAGATGTCTTAAGATCCTAAAGGGAGGAAAACATTTATTTTTCTACAAAAATTAAAAAATATTGAGTCAGGGAAAAAAATAAGTAAGATTAGAAGCTAAGGAAACACTAAATCATATGAAATATTTAAAATATAAATAGCATGAATTATTTAGTTTGAATTCAGGCAGCTTCCATCTGGTCTGATTAAGTCTGAAGAAGTTTTCTCCATATACTAACTCCCTCCTTCCCTCTTCCAAAAACATTCTGGAGTATCTGTCTTACAGATCAGGCTTCATTCTAAGCACTGGATATGGAGCATTCAGCAGTGCAGGAGCCCTTGCCCTCATGGACTCTTGATGTTCTAGGAAGGGGATGTGAATAGCCAGCAGGTGAAGGGCTAAGTCAGAATGTGATTAGAGGTTAGGGTGGGGAGCCAGAGTGCTCCAAGGATTAGCCTCCATTTACCATCTTTTATCACGTCCCATGTGATGACTCAGTTTCCCTGACATTTCTCCACACTCTGGCGAACCTTTAGTGCCCTGTCATCATTTCTTTCCCTTGTCATAAATATTTCCTTACGTTTGCCTCAGTTTTTTTCTCAGTGGCCTGAGCTAAATGGCAGTCTTGGACTGAACAGTGTTATAAGTACAACCCTGACACCTGGCATTTAAATAGAGTTGTATGTAGTGGTCATCCATCTAATCTAATTTCTAGAATATAATTATTTATTTTAAAAAGATTTTTATCAAAATAAAATTTTAAAATTTTAAAATTACTTAGGGAACTCATAATCCCAGTTTAAGAAGTACTGATGAAATCATCAAGAACACAGCCTTTAGAGGCAGACAGTCCTGGTGTGCAGTCAGCTTTCCCCCTAGCTGGCTGCATTCCTGAGCAGGTTACAGAACTTAAAGTGCTCAGCATGGAACCTGGTGTATATGAAGTGCAGTGATGGTTGACGATACTGATACTGTCAAGAGTAGCAGTATTGATGTTAGGACCTTAGGCAGCCACCTTCACCTGTCTCAAGTGCTGGTTATCTGTATGGTGCAAATGATGAAACCTGTTCTCTTTACAACCCATTGTTCTTGTGAGGATCTAAAGGGGTAATGTTTGTGAAAGCACTGAAAAACTGCAAATGAAAATAATTAATATTGACCTTAGCTATAGCCTCTGTAATCAGTAGACCAGGGAAGACTTTCTGAGTTACTTGTAACAGTGTTTACGTTAAGATGTAAGGCAGTCATAATTACCCAAGTTTCAGAAATCGTTTGTTTCTTTGTCCAGAGACAAATGCCCCATTCCCATTTGACTGCCCTCTCTTTCTAAACATTTAATTGCTTATGCTCACTCCCCGTAGCTCCTTTCTTTCTAGAGAAACGGCGTGAAGTTGAAAAAAATGCTGAGCGTCCTTTTATATATGTTCTAGACTTATCAGACGTGGACTTCCTAGATGACTCTTCAACAGAGAGTTTGCTCCTCAGTGGGGACGAGTACAATCAGGACTTTGATTCAACCAATTTTGAGGAATCCCAGGATGAAGAGGATGCTCTTAACGAAATTGTGCGATGTGTCTGTGAGATGGACGAGGAGAACGGCTTCATGATTCAGGTGACCTGTCTTCCTTTCAGCACTGAACGAGTTGTTTCGGGTGCTCAGCACATTCATCCAGACGTCTGTGTTCTCTTTACTAACCGTCCTCTTGACGGTTGTCGGTTGCTAGCTTATCAGCATGTTTCAAGTACCAGTAGTAACAGAGCTCTTCATCAGATGAAGTAGACAGTTTTCTTACCTGAGGATCATTCTCAGGGTGTTTACTCTGAGGTCTTCAAGCTGAAGTTCTTTTCAAGAGCCATTAAGGTGGCTAAGTATCCACGTTGAAGGGTAGATCATAGCGACCCTTCTCCTGCTGGTCTGAATCCTGTTTAATAATTTATGTCGTATAGTCGCTCTTCAAAGGGAAAATACCACAGTATCAAAGATGAAAGGAAAACTTTGTTGCAAAGATTACCATTACAAGTAACCTCTCCCTGTAGAAAAAGTGTATTTAAGAAAGAGAGAAAGTATAACCGATATTTCGTGATGGCATTTGGAAGATTTGGAGACATTAGTTACAGAAACAAAAAAAGAGTAATCTCTTTTTCCCCCTTTTCAGTGGTTTTCTCAAATAAGGGAACTGCAGATTTATAGGTCCACCACACAGGTAGCACTGTAAGAGGTCATTGCCACAGTCACTGCTACAAACTTGCCTTTTCAGAAAAATCTCTACACTTTAATAAGCTATTTTTAAGAGTTTTAAGTGTGGGGAGATAGACGAGAGAAATAATTTTATAACTTTTTTTAATGAGTAAACCAGTTTATCATAGCACATTTTAATGGGTGCCGCAAGTTCTTGAAATAGTTGACAGTTTCAAAAAATTCATTGTAAATGATCACTTGCTTTTGTTATGTGGATTAAGAATTATCTGAGTCTGTTTTGTAAATAAGTTCATTTATCTCATTCTTTTAAATTGCACATATAAGTGATATCATGTGATATTTGTCTTTCTCTCTCTGATTTACTTCACTTAGTATCATCATCTCCAAGTCCTACCAAGTTACTGCAAATGGCATTATTTCATTCTTTTTTTATGGCTGAGTAGTAGTCTACTATATATATTATATATATATATAGTAATATTCTACTCTCTCTCTCTCTCTCTCTATATATATATATATATATACACACACACACCACAACTTCTTTATCCAGTCGTCTGTTGATAGACGTTTAGGTTGTTTCCATGTCTTGGCTATCTTGTAATAATCTATAATGAAAAGGAATGTGGAAAAGAATATATATCTATCTGTATGACTGAATCACTGTGCTGTACACCAGAAACTAACACAGCATTGTAAATGAACTATACTTAAGTTCAAACAAACAAACAAAAAACAAAAAAATAAGGAATTGAGCTGTTGGCAGCACCAGCAAGACTAAGGCAGCTGATGGGAGAGAAGGGAAGGTGTCTGTTGCTAGAGTGAAACAGTGACCGTGAGCGCCCCCTGTCTCCCGGCAGTGTGAAGAGTGCCTGTGCTGGCAGCACAGCGTGTGCATGGGGCTGCTGGAGGAGAGCATCCCAGACCAGTACATCTGCTACATCTGCCGAGACCCTCCTGGTAAGACTCCGCTCCCTGCGCTCACCACAAGACATTGAGTGTCTCATTCCAAACCCCAGATCGCATCGGCTATGTAAGGCACCATGCCCCCTTTGTCAGTTAGACTGTGCTTCCATGTTCACGTTTTAAAATATTTTTCACTGTTTGTTATAGTTTTATTTTCCATATTAATTACTGTTACAGTTTTACTTTCCATGTTAATTACTTAGGCAAAAGCATTAGCATAAATTCATCAGTATAATTGCTGCCTTACTGGAAGGTTTTTCCTGGAGAAGAACCAGCTCCTTTCTATACTCCCATGTACTGATTTTGGAATAGGTTTACGTGTGGCTATTTGGATGGCATCGTATTCTGAACTCACATTCGTCCTGACGTGGTTTTGAATGTGTGTCTGATGGTGCTGCACATCCACCTAATTTTAGAGCCAGTGGGATGTTAGATTATCATGTACAATCCCTTTGTTTTACTGATGAGGCAGTTAGGATACAGAATGTGCCTAGCTTTATGCACAGGGACGGTACTGGCCTGGCCGAGCCGGCAGGAAAGCCTGTACCATTGGCTCCCCGACCACGTGGTAGTCCCTCCGTCCACGCTAGAGGCTCTCCGAGTAGCAAGGTTCTATGTCGTGTACACTTCCAGCTCTGAGGCAGAGCACATCTAGATATTCTCCAATAGAAGGCTACTGTGTTCTCATGTCTGTCAAAAAAATAAAATAACATTAAGAAGCAGGAGAATTATTCAGACCTATGTGAATATAGACATTTGTTCACTCATTCATCCAGCAGCATTTATTGGATGCCTGCTATTTGCCCAACTCTGTGATAAGAGGTAAGATGATGGGTTCTGACTGCACCTTCCACTGTCTCATAGTATAGCAGGGGCACAGACATAGACGCAGCTAATTGTGATGGGAGATGATAACTACTGATGTCGAAGATCCATGGTTATATAGGATTCTGAGATACTAGACCTGGGAAGGGGTCCCTGTTCACTCAACTAGAACTCTTTGTTCCATCCAGTTCAAAATAAATGTTAGTGAGAGAAACAGGTACCCCTGTCTAATGTCTGTCCAGCCCCTTTAGCCTTTTTATAGAGCAGATGACAGATATGTAAAAAATGGAAGGCGATACACTCAAGGTTCCTTTGCAGGTGTGACCTGCCACTGACCACATTCTTAACGGAGTTTTTCTCCTAACTGGGCAAGAAGTCTGAAGATAGGGGAACTCTTACAGTACCAGCTCTTTGAAGCACTGTCTTGCTCATCTTTTGAATTTGTTCTTAGTACTAGAACTCGCTTTGCTTAACTGATTGATGTCAGCTGGGTAGCAGTTGAAGTGGAATCTTTTGTCACTTGAATGTCAACTTCATCTACAGGTCAGAGATGGAGTGCAAAGTATCGTTATGATAAGGATTGGTTGAATAATGGGAGAATGTGTGGGTTATCATTTTTAAAAGAAAATTACTCTCATCTCAATGCCAAAAAGATAGTCTCCACACATCACCTGCTCGCTGACGTCTATGGAGTTACAGAGGTACTGCACGGGTTACAGCTGAAGATTGGAATACTGAAGTAAGTGAAGGGACGGTCACACTTCAGTGTAAATTTTAATTCAAGCTAAATCAGTTGGCTTTTTGTGGGTTCAGATTAGCAGTTTGGAAAACAGAATAGATTTGAATAAATTTTAACTTAAAAAACAGAAGGAAAGATTAGTAGCATTCTGGATGAGTAACTGCTTCACGCCTGTTGTCCCGGGGTGGATGCGTGCGGGAGAGGGAAATGTGGCACCTGGTATTTCAGCAGATGCTAGTCCCTGTCCCACCGTTCCGCGTGCTCGCCATGTGCACGAAGGCGCGGCTGCTGTGGTGCGCCCTGTAGGCTGTGTCCTCCTTCAGGACTGCTGTCAAGATGAAATAGATTCAAAGGTATATTTTAAAATTACCTTAAGATTGGCTTTGAAGGGAGCTAACAGGTCATGTAACCCATGTGTCTGCTGTGCACCAAATATGTTTCAGTCATCCCAGACAGTTTCCCCTTAAAAGACAAAAACCCCCTGAACCTCCCTAAGTGACGTATCAGAATGTTCTTGAAGTTCTTATTTTCAGTTCTTCCTAATACTTGCCTAGAATTCCTCTTTAAAATATATATATTTTATGGGGGAGAATATAGCTCAGTAGTAGAGCGCGTGCCTAGCATGCACGAGGCCCTGGGTTCAGTCCCCAGTACTGCCATTAAAAGAGAAATAAACCTAATTACCACCCCCCTCAAGAAAATAAACAAAAGAAATGAAATTTTTTAAAAAGTCCTGGGTTCAAGTTCCAGTGCCATTAATTAATTAATTATACATAAAACAGGTTCTTCACAAGCTTTCCTTCATTGAGACTCACTCGCCTGGGCTGGAAGTGTGCGCCTCCCCTCCTCTATCTCCATCCCGTCCCCCCCACGGCAGCTTGGTGCACTGAGTATCTCCAGCTCTCTCCTCACTCAGACTGTGTCCGCCCGGCTGTTCTTTTCACATGAACAGTTGCTATGCCTTGTTAATTCCCTGCGGCTCCAGTCCTGTACTCAGTTCATCCCTCATACGATTGCCAGTGCAATCTTAGTAAGAAGTAAAGATGAGCTTGTCTGTTTTCAGCTTAATATACCACAGTGTCTTCCTGGTGCCCAGTGAACAAAGTCCAGGCTCCCCCTGCGTGCACTCTGAGTCCTTCCATGATGTATAGTCTCTCTACCATTGTGTTGCCATGTCTTCCCTCTCCTAATTTTCCCCCTAAATGGTCCAGCTGTACACAGCCATAATCCCTGAATGAAGCATGCTTTTTCATAGCTCCAGGCCTTCACTCACAGCCAGGATAACCTTCTACCACTGGTCTTCCTAGAAGATGCCTTTTCATGATCACCTGCCCGGCTAGGGCTGATCACGTCCTCGGCAGACTCCATGCATACAGGTGTCATAGACTTTTGGTGAGCATGGAATTAGTACAGCCTCTTTTGAGGCCACTTGGGCAGTACCTGTTAAAATTTAAATGTTGCATACATTATCTGGCAGTTTCATATCTAGAAATTTATCTGACTGAAATATTCCCAGTTGTGTGCAAAGGTACACACATGCAGACACACACACATCTGTCAGTGGGGAATTGGTTGGCTGGACTAGACGGTGGCACATTAGTACCATTTTAGCTACTAGAGTAAAAGTAAGGGAAATCTATCTGTACTCACAAGGCAAGATGCCCATATATGTTACATATGAAGAAGGCAAATGATACGAGAGCCCCAGTTGTGTGAAAAGAAAAGGTGTGCTTACCCGTTTAAAAAATTGTATATATACAGAAAAAGTCTGGCAGATTATACCTCAGTTATTTACAGCTGCCACAGCAGGGAGGTTTTTACTTTGTACGTACTGGTAGTCTGAATTGCTTGTCAAGAGCAAGTGTCACTTTTTGATTGACTAAAGATTTTTAAATATGCTCACATAAAAGGTTTTTCATGTCGTACAATTTTTAAAAATACATGAAAAATCAGCAGAAAGAGAAGGGTTATGTGTGAACTGTCTCAGAATTACATTCAGTATTGCTTTTCTCCCTGGGTTTTATTTCTATAAAACTGTGAGAAATAAAATTTTGGATGAAATCCTGGCGCAGGTTAACCTAAAGAGCACCTTTACTTTTGTCTTGAGTCCCTGACCTCCTCCTGACCTAGTTGCCTTGGTGGTGGTCTCAGTCTTCAACAGGGAAGTGGGGTCAGTCCACCTAAGTCAGTCCACTCAGCATTCAGAAGGCATGGATAACCGAGGGTTAACCATATAATTTTATATTCTGAAATCTATTGTAGCATTAAACTTACTGCTGGATTTTTTTTTTAACTGATGTTTCTCCAACTTTGTTTTAAGGAATAAACATCATCCTGACCTGCATCTCTGGGCTTGTTCTGGGAAGCGGAAAGATCAAGATCAAGTAACTGCCGGGGTAGAGAAAAAAATAACAGTGTGCGACACGGTTAATGTGGAAGAAAAGAAATATCATGTACAAAACCATAAGGAACCACCTCGTTTGCCCCTAAAAGTGGAAGGAACTTACATAACAAGTGAGCACAGCTACCAGAAGCCACAGAGCTTTGGTCAAGACTGCAGATCTCTTGTGGACCCTGGGAGCTCAGATGACGACGATGGCGTTAGCAGTTTTGAAGACGAACAGGAATTCCACGTGAGAGAGAGAAGCCGCTCACGATACCCAGCAAAGGACGATGGAGTGCCCGAAAAGGTACAACTGGATCGTTTGTCTTTGCTTGGAAATATGATAGAACAAAGGGAAATTTTATGAAACGAAACATACTGAATTCACAGATTTTTCCAAGTTCACAAGTACCTCGTTAGAGTACAGACACATTTTTGCTTTTTCTTCGAGAAAACATTGGCCCTTCGAACATTTAATTATCCCCTAATTCAGAATTGCAGTCACTCAGTAAACTTTTGCCCTAACAGAAGTTTCAGTTTCATAAGTACGTTTAGGTATCTCTAAAAACCATGAGCCACATTTTTTTCAAATGAGAATGAGTGTGAAAACATCACAGTGCTTCTGGGTGTCTATATGTTATATAACTTGTCTTTTTAATGTGTTTTAGATAAAAGGTGGCGCTCTAATCCTCTTGTTTTAAATTTTAGCATATTTGTATATGCATATCCATCCATTATGCAATAAGCTGAATTTTTACATCTCTGTATATGTTGAATTTATAAACTTAATTTCTATTCACTGGGATTGTCTTAGAGCTGTCATGCCTTCATTTTTTTATTGATTTTCACTGAGCAGTACCACTTTAAAATTAGTTGTTTATTTTTCTGGCCTCTTTTATCAAGTAAGTTTTATAAATAAATACTTAACTGAATTTGAAAAGCTTATATTATATGAAATTTGGTGATAAGTTATTTTGTCAAATTCACATCCCTCTTAGGGAAATGAGTTATCACTGGTGAATCTGAGTTCAGATTTTGTGTGTATGTTTTAATAAGCACTCTGTACTTTTTATGTTTTTAAAAGATTTTTATTTTTCCCTCAGTTCATTGAGTTAGCTGCAACAATGAAGTCCAGTCTACAGTTAATTATGCTTCATACTGGCCTTTACCAACTTTCTTGATTTTTTTTTTTTCCCATTATTGCTTTTTGCCTTCACTTCACTTGTGACACAGTTTAGGTTAATGGAGAAAGGGGTCAGTCTGAATTAGCTGGGCTTTCTAGTTACAGAATGTAATTAGCAACTTCATTTCTTCGGCAGTTTTATGGAAGGCCCTCCACACTACGGGGCACTGTGCTTGGCATTGTGAGGAGACACAGCAGGCATGTCTGCTTTTCAGGACCATCAGATGGCATTTAATTCTGTGCTAGCACTTTCTTTAAAAATCCTCTAGGGGTCAGATTGGGTTTCACTGATCATTGTGGATAATGAGGTTTTTAATGTACATTTCCCTTCATGATGTTACATTTCACCCCATTCTTTGTTTTTCCCAATGGTTCTATGGAGAAGAATACAGCTGAAAGAAATACAGCATTTGTTTACAATGATAAAAGGGGCGCTGAAGACCCCGGGGACGCACATCTTCAGTGGCAGCTCAATCTCCTTACGCACATAGAGAACGTGCAGAATGAGGTCACCAGCAGGATGGACCTGATAGAAAAAGAAGTTGATGGTAATTGAAGAGACAACTGAAATACAGTTACTGTAGTCTGTAAAGTGTGTTTATTGTGATTATAAAGAGGTTCTTCAGTTTTTTAAATTATGGGATGAAAACTGCAGATGCGGTCCATCTGATGGAGCTCTTTACATTGTAGTGACACATCTGGCATGTGTGGTTTTTAGTCTCAAGGGAGTGTGACTGCATATTAGCTTAGGGTTTGTTTTTTTTTTAAGATGGACATTTATTAAATACTGCCCATCTGCTAGGCTCAGTGTATACCATATATGGAATATTTATTAGTTTCATTGAACTGTGTTTTCTTTGGAAGTCAGCATAAGGACTTTAAGCATATTTGAAATACGGGGGAATGGGGGAAAACATTTTGAATCTTTGTTTTCACTTTGGTCACTTTTTTTTTAAACTTTGGTCAGTATTTATTAAGTGAAATCAACAACAACAGAAAACTCCTCCGAGGTTAAGTAGGTAAACCTTAAGTTTGCATACACATTCTTTTTTTTCCTTCTTTACTTTTTGTTTTATCACACAGGAGCCCTGAGGAGTGGACAAGAAAAATATTATCCCCATTTTATGGTTCAGAAAATACAGTAATTTAGATTACCTGATTCCTAATCTAGTATTTTTCCTATTCTTTTTGACTCCATTTTTTTTAGCCTCATACATTATATTTCCTACCCTCCCTCTTTTTATTTGCAAAAGCATGTGATACTTTCACCCCACACTAAATTAGAATTCCTACTGCTTTGTTTTTCCCTGTGAAAAGAGGAAGGGGAAACCCATTTCAGAAGCTTCTTCCATTTGTCTACAAGGAAGCTGTAGAGTTAGTTTTAAGTAGATTTTTGAAGAAGAAAAAATACAACTTGATGCTATCCCTTATTATTATTAATAAAAGTATAGAATATTAATTATATTCTACCTGGACTTCTAATATGTTTGCATTTTTTGAAGTAATGATAAAATAGTGGGACTGAAAGGACACTGAGAAATTGCTACCTCCTTTTCCTTGTTAAAAAGAACTTCTGAATTAAAAAAAAAGTGGTTAGAGTAGCTAGATTTCATTTAAGATAAATTAGAGCTAGTTCAAGCCTAAATTAATAGAAAGTGGAGCAGGCACAGGGAACTGCTGTTTCCTGTTCCAGAAGACAGTGAAAGAAGACACCCAAAATGAAGTTAGTTTATATCTATAAAGGGTAAAAATTACCTAAAATAACAGCAGATAAAATAACAGGTAAAGGTTACCAGCAGAGACTAGAACACTTGTGGGATGAGGTATAAAGGATGCTAAACCACTCAGAAATGGCTTTCTAGAGAAAGGGAAGTGAACTCTTTCTCCATCTCACCTTTGCAACCCTCTAATTATACCATTTTGTCACTTTTTCCAGTTGCCATTTAATTTGTTTGTTCTCTTCTCTCTTTTAGTTCTGGAAAGCTGGCTTGATTTCACGGGGGAGTTGGAGCCACCTGATCCACTTGCCAGGCTGCCCCAACTTAAACGCCACATCAAACAGCTCCTGATTGACATGGGCAAAGTACAGCAGATAGCAGCTCTCTGCTCTGTATGACAGCAGTGAACAGCTAATGCAGTGAATGTGGCTCTGTTCAGTCGACTAATTTTTATTATCCACGTGGCTGCTAAGTGGATAGATAAAAAGCTTAGTGATGTTTGGTCATTTACTGATTTGTGACATCAATAGGATGGCACTGTGGAAAGGAAAAGAACAACTTTATCAAGGAAGCTAATATAAAAAAAAAAGTGTGAGCAAGATCATATGCCAGGATCAGTAGAGGTAGAGTATAATCTGCGCTAAGGGAGCCAGGTTGGCAGGAATGTTGAATAGTTGCTAACGTGAAGCTGGAGATACCTGTAGAAAGACATACGGTGTATTTATATAGTTTTTAGCAAAAAGGTCTATGTCTGTAAACCAGCATTTGGCCAAAAACAACATTGTAGAGGCAATTTAAATTCTGGAGAGTTCTATAAGGTTGTGTAAGAACTGTCTTCTCTGCAGTTGATCCAACTACACTGAAGTTTATAGAGTATTTAAACTTTTATAGGATCATGAGCTGTTTCTTAGGTGATGAATGTCCTTAATCAGAAAACTGACAGTAGAAGTCTCACTTCTGAGGGAGACAGTTGTGGGCTTCTTACTTCATTATGAATATATTTTAACAACAATGAAATAATTGGAATTTATTGCTGACGCTAAGCTCACTGTAAAAACAGAATGGCTTGCAGAAGGGTCACTGTGCCAAATGATGATGATACTGCTGGAAAGAGAATTTTAAATCCCGTGGGAGTTCTCTCGCCCAGGTCTTACATGATGCCATCAGTCCATCAGAAATGCATATGTCACATATACTATTTATGGAATATATAGAGTTGAATTTCAGTATTCAGGCTTCAACGTACAGTTTGATCCTGAGTATGCCTGGTGTTTGCCTTCAGAAAAAAAAATTGTAAATAACCTCAGCTGGGATGAGGAGTGACAGAAATATCAAAGTAATTTGTGGCTGTGGATTTTTTTAACTGCTGGTAGTGGAAATACTGGAAAAGCTTCATTTCTGAAGATGAATTTTATTTTTAAAAAATACATACGCACTCAAAACTTTTAGCTTTGGTCACAAGTGGACAGATTTCTGAAACCAAAGGCAACAAAGTTGCTGTGTCAGCTCTTGCTGGATTTTGAGCCCAGGTCCTCCCGTCTGCCAGTGCTCTTGTGACTTGTGTGCCGCCCCCAGTGCTTCACGCGCAGGTGTGCGTCAAGTGTGTGTGCTTGTTTGAAACAGACACTCAACTCAGCGTACGTATGTACATAACCTACACATATTTATATATCTACACATGTCTAGTTTTATTACTATAGACCATAAGAATTGGTGGTTAACATGAAATGTTACCTTTCAACAGACTGTTTTTAAAAACTAAAAATGTATGTACAGGTTTTGAAACTTTTTTTAAAAAGGGGAAAAAAGACTGTTAAGAGGAGGCTATTTGGTGACATGTAACACTTGAATATTTTATGCCTCATTCTGTTTATCAGTTCTAGCGATCTGTATAAATGCATTTTAGAACTGATAGACAGTAAACTTGAATTTATCTTTGATAAGAATACATGCCACTGTACATTCAGATATTATTTAAATTTGCAAACACACTGTTCTATATGTAAGGTACTGTATGTAAAACTCTTTATTAAAACTATTCCACATATCCTAAAATTTCAGCTTGCCTTTTTGCAGCCTTATATTTTGATGTAAAAATGATTAAAAGAATGTGCAAAACAGTCATTAGAAATTTGTATTGCCTTTTGAGATTCTCCAACTTGACAGATGTGCCAAAGATCACAGATACAAAATACGTCCTGTGTATTTACTTACGATACGTTAACTTTGTCAAAGATCTTACTGAGAAATGAAAAGCTTTAGTAGAGGTGATATGAGGTAGTTATTAAATATGCATATTAAAGTAAAAATAGTGCCTATATTTCATGTGTGGAGTAAACTTGCTAATGTCTATATTTTAAGATTGATAGTTTATCTTTCATTTGTGTTTTAAAGTAATGGCTCTGATCTTCTATTGTGGTTAAATTCTAGACATGTAATGTATATCTTTTTTTTCAGAATGGAGCAAATAGCATCCTTAACAAGCTATGAATAGTGGTGTTGCCTAGATTCTTCTCACATACACAGAGAGCCCTGTGTACCCAGTAACACTCATATTCTCAATTCCTGATGACCACAGCTAAGTTAATGTGCATTTGTTATTGGGGTGTCTTAAATTAGATTGCTGTGTTTATTAGCAGCCCGCAAACTGGAAGTTCCGTTACTACGTAGGATATTGAATTTTTGCTCTGCTTTTATATATAGGAATTGAAATTCTGAATTTTTTAATTTATATTTTTAAAGCAAGTCTGTATCAGATTACTTGTATGCACATACCCATTTAATAGAGAGTGTGTCAACAATTGGTAGCAGCCTTTTAGCAACTAGTCAGCTGAGTGATTCCTTAAGAGAGTCAACTTGATTTTGAGAAGTAAGCCCACTGGGAGAGGTTTCAGATGAGCTGGTTTTCTTTCTACTTAGTCTTGCTTAAAAAGTATGAGTATATAAATTTAAGTAAAAGCAATAAACTAGGAAGGGTGTTTCTTGACAAGGTAGCTTTTCGTTGCTACCCAGACAGAGCACTGGTGGGGAGGTAACCTTCCTAGTACGTTACTGAGGAGTAAGATGTGTACTTCTTCATACTCATGTGTGGTTCCACTGGCTCATTATTTTCAAACTTAAGAGTAATGCACTCTTTCCTTAAAGAAAATTGAGTATTCTCTTAATTTCAGGTAGAATCCTTTTTCCTAACATGATTTCCACTGACTTATGTCCTCTCAGATGTTCATATTCCATATGTTCAAAATGTAGGTCCCCTGTCTCCCCCAGTCAACTGGGTCTCCTGCCATCTTCACACTCTCTGCTTTAATAGCATCCCAAGAGCCCTGGCTTGAAACTCGCAGTCCCCGCCGTTACCCGTTCCATCACCGGATGTTCTGGTTCCTCAAAATGGGTGGTGTCATCTTCCTCCTCCTCAGTCCTGCTTAGTAGTCCATTGTCTGTAAACCATCATGGAGCTTCTGAAATTTTAATTTTGCCTTCATTCTGACTCATCAGAATGGCTACTGTCAAGCTGGAGGACTGGTACTGGGTAACTGCTCCATGCCAGGTGTTGTGCATGTTACCTGGAGCATCTAATTTAGTTCCTTTGTTGAGAGGTGAAGCAGGGTCATTTTCAAGATGAGGAAGCTGAGGTTTAGAAACCTTTAGAAACATGTCCCGTGTTAAGTAGCAGGTTCAAGATGCAAACCCCGCGCTATTCAAACGCGTGTCCTTTTCCTAGCAGGGCTGTCTCGACTATCTTGTCATTTCCGTTTTCTTCTCTGAAACCATCTCCCTGTTTCAACCCAAGTCAGGTCTGTGTAATCTGGACCTCTTGTGCAGACTTCACCTAACCAGTTCTCAAATCCATGTAAACAGAGCCTCGCTCTTCAGATAGACTATGCTTGTTTCTGTCTCTTGCCTTCGTATCACTTTCCTCTTCTGGAAAATTCTCCTTTGTTGGGTCTCTACAAATCCAGGCAATTCTTCAGGCTTTAGTTTCTCTTCCTAAGAGAAGCAGTCTGTTATTAGAGGCCTCTTGCAGTACCCTATGTGGTACCAAGCTATGGAGGAACTGCGTCAGGGAGCAACGATTTCATAAACTGGAGCAGCATGAGCTTTGCAGTTCTCGGGTTTTCACTCTGACAGTTCTCTAGCAGTGATCTGCCTGAGCACTGGTTTTCTTATCTATAAAGTGGGAATAATATCTAGCTTAGAACCTGGTTTTGAGAGTTAAATGAAGCAAATTAAGTACCTAAATTATGAAGTTGAAAGTTAAATATAGTAGACATATTGAATGGCATCTGTGTGGCAGCCCTTGAGTTCTGTGGTTTGATATGAAATTAGTGTTAATAGGATCACAGTCTGTAGACCAATGGAAACAAAAAAACATATTTTTTGACAGGATCAGTTATATCAAAGAGTGCAAGGAACCAAAGAGGCAAAAGAAAGGAAAGATAATAGATTTGTAGGTTGAGGGGATTGGGGGCACTGAAATAATGTGTTAATTAAAACAGTGGTCTTTGAATGTTTTCTGACTATGACCTCTCTATGGGAATTTTGAAAAATTAGAATCCATTTCTGGTACCTGTTGTCTTTGGGTTCCCCTGAAAGTAGATCTGAAGACAAGATTTAAGTGTCCTTAATGTATTTAAGAGATCCCCTAAGGAAGTTGGAGTGAGGAAGACGGAAAAGTAGGGCTGGGGAGGAAAAAGCCAATGTCAATATGTACAACTGAGGACACTGCTAGGCACAGTGGGGCTTTGTTTCTGCCACTGAAAATTGTTCACTGTAAATTGAAACAGTTGCAAAGGGTATGATTTCTAATTTGTAAATACTGGCCTAGTGAAAAATCAGCCTGTTACCATTTTTAAATATATGAAATAGAATCAGTACAATTTTGCAACTTAACATCTCTTTTAAAAATACATAAACAAGCTCTTCCTTAGCATTTGGAAATTTTACAAGTTTTATATTCTCTTTTTTGTCTTTCCATTTTGCTTCCTAATAGAATGTTACCTTCTTTTATACCTTACAGGTCTTTATCTATCATCCTCTGATTCTTTTGTCCACACACACACACACACACACAAAGTAAATTGAAATTTTAAAATGTATTTATAGTCCTCTTAATAGAGTATCAAAATGCATGACACAAACACTAATATCATTGAATAGAAAATAGAAAAATGTACAATTATAATTGAAGATTTCAACCCTCCTTTAACACTAATTGATAGAACAAAAGTAGAAGGAAATCAGGAATCAGGATAGAAGACTTGAACAAAAATGAACACTCAGCTCAACCTAATTGACATTGAGAGAATGTTCCACCCAGCGACATGAGAATACAAATTTCCTTTTTAAGTACACATGGAGCCCTCAGAAGGCAGACTATAAAACAGTCTCTATTCATTTAAAATTGAAATCGTGCGTAACTTTTCTGACAACAATGAAATTAAACTGGAAATCAGTATTAGGTATCTGAAAAGAACCCAGAATGTTTGGAAATTATCAACATACTTGTAAACAATCCAAGAGTCAGAGAAAAGTTAAACTAAAATCAAAAAATATTTAATTGGATGAAAATGAAAATACATCATGATAAATTTGTAGGATGCTGATGAATATTAGAGGGAAATTTATAGTTTTAAATGCTTCACTAAAAAGAAAGTACACAAATTTTAACTAGACTATTGTGGTGATCATTTTGCAATATATATAAATCCTGAATTGTTATGTTGTGCACCTGAAACTAAAATCAATTATATCTCAATTTTCAAGAATGGAAGTTTTAAATAAGAATACAAAAGTCACTGATTAAAGATTTAAAAACTAGAAAAACAAACATATTAAAACCAAAATAAGTGGAAAAGGAAGGAAATGTGCTAAAATCAGTAAAACACTAAATGGACAAACAATAAAGAAGCAACAGTATAAACAAAAAAGCTGATTCTTTGAACAGAACAATAAATAAAAGTGGTTAACTCCTACATATACTGATCAAAAATTAGAATGAAAGAGGGAATATTACAACATACCCAACACAGTTTCTAAAAGGAATATTATGAAAAACCATAGGCCAATAAATTTAATAGCTTACATGAAACAAAATTTTCTCAAAAGATGCAAATGACCAAAACTTCATAAACATTGAATTTGTAATTGAAAATGTTCCCTCAAAACTCAAGGCCTAAATGTGAATTCTGTCAAAACACTTAAGGAAGAAAGCTTGATATTACACAAACACTGACAGAAAATAGAGAAGAAAGGAACACTCTTTTTGAGACAATTTTGACCTCATACGAGAATCAGAAGAAAACACCACAAGGGAAGAAAATTACAGACAAGTACATAACCCCCCGAACACAGACACAGGCGTCAAGAAAACAGTACCCACGTGGATCCGGTGGTCTGTAGTAATGATACGGTATCAGGGTCAAGCTGAGTGTTCCACAGGGATACAGAGTTGGTTTACTGTCAATAAAATAATGAAATTATTATGTTCATCTCAATAAATTAAGATAAAGCTTTTCATAAATTTCAGCATCCATTCATGATTAAAAACTAAAAGGAAAAGAATAGATAGGAATTTACTTAACTGTAAAGGGCATCTATCAAGACACTTAACCCTCATAATGGTAAATGAATACTTTCCTCCCTAAAATACGGAACAAGTCCAGAAGGTTGTCCGCTATCAACACTTCTATCCAGCATGAATCTGGAGGTCCCACTAGTGCAATATGGTGCTGGGTAATGAAGACAAATAAAAAGCATCCCACTTGGAAAGGAAGAAGAAACATTTGCAGGTGACAGTTTATATACATGAAAAAGTCTAAGGAACCTACCAAGATGCCACTAGAACTAATATTTCTATACATTAGCAAAGAGCTATTGGAAATAAGAATTTTTGGAAAAAAATTCCATTTTCAGTAGTATCAAAAAAAGAATACTTAAGGATAAGTCTGAAAACATAATGCAGAACCTGTACATTGAAAACTACAAAAACAATACCTATATAATAAAGAGATACAGGAACAGAAAGAAACACTAAGATCATGGGTTGGAAGATGTAATACTGGTATTATGTCTCCTGAAATGAAGCGATAGTGCAATCCCCAGCAAAATTCCAGCAGACTTTCTGAAATAGAAATTAGCAAGCTGATTTTAAATTTTGTTTGGAGGTATAAAGGACCTTGGAATACTCTAAGCAATTCTGAAAAAGAAGAACTAAAGTAGAGGGACATACAATTTCTGATTTGGAGGCTTATTACAAAGCTGTAGTAGCCAAGACAATGTAGAGGTAGCCTGGAGGCAGATGTGGATTGATAGTACAGAATAGGGAATCTAGAAATAGACCTAAAAGACTATAGTCAGTTGAATGAAGGAGAGTTCCTGTTGTTCCACATCCTTCCTTTCCAGCATTTGGCGTTTGCCAGTGTTTTGGATTTTAGCCACTTTAATAGATGTGCAGTGATACCTACTTTTAATTTGCATGTAGATATCCAATTGCTCCAGTGCCATTTCTTCAATATTATCTTCCCTTTGAGTTACCTAGGTGCCTTTGTCAAAAATCAATTGACCGTACATCCGTAGGTTTATTTCCGCACTCAGTACTCCCTTCCTACTGATTTATGTCCTCATGTAGATATCACACTGTCTCGATTAATGTAGTTTAAGAGTAAGATTTGATTAATCAGGTAGTGTAATTCCTTTAGTTATGTTCTTTCTTACCTGTTTTTGCCAATTCTAGGTATTTTGCATTTCTATAAAAGTTTTAGGATCAGATTGTTAACTTCTTTTAAAAACCTGCTGGGATTTTGACAGGAATTGCACTGAATCTACAGATCAATTACCATCTTAACGCTATTGAGTCTTAATCCAAGAGCATGGTGTGTTTCTTCGTTTATTTAGGACTTATGTATTTTTTTCAGTAATATTTTGTAGCTTTCATTGTTCAGATTTTGCACTTATTTTGTTAAATTTATTTCTAAGTTTTATTTTCTTTGATGATACTATAAATGGAATTGTATTCTCAATTTTGTTTTCAGATGTTTAATTACTAGAATATAATAAAATTGATTTTTTATATCTTATATCCTGAGACATTGATAAACTCACTTATTAATCCTAGAATTTTTTGCATATTTCCGAATATTTTCTAGGGCAGAAACTACGGAGACCTTATAGGTAAATGAAATGTAAGATCCTTGATTGGATCCTGGAACAACAAAAAAAAAGACATTGGTGGAAAAAGTGGTGAAATTCTGTTAAACTCTGTAGTTTACTTGATAGTATTGATAGTTTTAGTTTTGATAATTGCATTATGATCATGTAAAATGTTAATATTAGGTGAAATTGAAGAGTATATGGGAAATCTGTACTATTATTTCAACGTTGGGATAAGTTGAAAAACTATTTCAAAATACAAAGTAAAAAAAAAGCAATGAAACCATGTAAATTGTGGATTTTAGTTTAAAATAATGTTTAAATGTTGGTTCATTAATTGTAACAAACATACCACACTAATGCAAGACGTTAGTAATAGTGGAAACTGTGTGGGAAAAGGAGGAATATGGGAACTTTCTGTACTATGTGCTCAGTTTTTCTGTAAATCTGAAACTGTGAAGTGTATTAATTAAAACAAGTTAAAGAAAAAGGAATGTGAGAGGATAATTATAATACGCTATCTTAGTAGTTTGAGAAAGAAGAGTTTAGTGAAATCATTCCAAACCCACAGGCAATTTAAAGTCCCATCCTTGAAACACTGTCTCTAGGAGTCAGGCTTGCCCAGGAAATCAAGGAGGAAATGTATTTATTAGAAAAGTATGCTTCCTTCTTACAGGCAGCACAGGAGCACTGGAAGATTGAAAACAAACTTTAAAAAGACAGGGTAATAGCAGAGTGTTGCCTGGGAGAAAAGCTGAGATCTTAGAAGGCAGACGGGCTGGTAGGAGTGGGTGATGGAGTTGCATGGGAGACACGGTTGCTTTGAACAGAGGCACTAGAGAAAGCAGACGGATGTTAACTGTCACCAAATCAGACAGATTGAGAAGACTGGACCTTCTGCACTCTCAGATCTGGGCTCTCATTTGTTGGATTTCTCCAAAGAGAGAAAGCACTAGGATTAGGGGACTGTTGAAAAAGCTGCATCATACGGCCACAAATGGAAGGCTTATTATAGTAAGAGTGAAGGGAACCATCTCTTTACAGGGGAACAAAATCTGCCATCCCAAAATGTCTTTTTGCCAATGTGGATTATTTTTAGCTGAAAACAGTCAAGGCCCAAAAGATGCAGGAAGAAACTTTGATCTTCCCCATAACGGCCTAAAAGAATTTAGATATATGGCTTGTTCCAAAATACAGCTATCACTGGAGATACCTGAAAGAGTATGGGCTAAATGTGGTGGGGGGAACTCAGCAGGGCCTAGAGAGCAGAGTTTGACCCATGTCTCTTTAAATCTGCCTGCGCCCAGTAAGCATATTTTTTACCAAACGTTTGCTCTTCCATCTCCATGTCAATTGCTTTCCTCCCCTGTGAAGTCCCAAATTACTACCACAATGTCCTTTTTTGTCTTCAGCTGAAGATGGTGTTTACGGTGAGGACTTCGGCCATTTGGGCACATTACTCAGTTCTCCTGGGTCTTTCCCATGTATACATGGTTACTAAACTTTAGTTTTTCTCCTGTTAATTTGTCTCACGTTGACTTACTTCTTAGACTAGCCAGAAGAACCTAGAAGGGTAGAGGAAAATTTCTTCTCTCTGACACCCTGAATGGGCCACTGTACGGGATGCTTACAGAGACTCTAGACAGATGTGAGATTGGCCCAGGAAGATCAGCACAGAAAACTTCAAGTCATTTCAGTGGGTTTCAAGGTGAGGCAGCCACCTTCACGCAGAGGTAAAGATATAGATATTACTTATGCCCTGAGGAACATGCCTGAGAAATGTGTCAAATGATGACTTTAAAGTAAGGCACACAGAAAAGAAACCCATGGAAGGGAAGCCAGGCACACAAGACAGCATCCACGTCTGGTTTCTTGATTGGAGGTCAGAAAGTCTTGATTGTGACAGCAGAGGAACTGGCAGCACAAGATCGGTCTGAACAACTGACGCTTTGTCAGTCCCAGAGTTTAGTGATTTTGTCTTCTCCAATCTGAGAGACCCCACAGGACAAAATCTAGAGACATGTATGTTAGATATGTGTGTGTTCCATAAGGAAAGGAAGGGCTGGCGGGTGGGGAGAGAGAGAGGCTCAAATCCAGCAAACAATACCAGTCCAAGATGAATCAGAGAAGAAAAGTGAGTGACTTGAGAAGCTATTTAAAGTATTAGGAAATAGGCTGAGCGTTTCTGAAAGCAAAAGGGGAGCCAACACAGAAAATAAAATGTCAGCATCATGTTCCTTTATTGCAGAAAATAATGTAACAAAACAAATACTGCTCGAGACCTGAAGAGTCGGAAGTGAGGAAGGGCAGTGCGTCAGGAGCGTCAGGCTTCTGCTTGTGAACAAAGAAGAACAAAGTGCGTGGCTCACCACCCAGTTCCACAAGGATCAAGTTGTCAGCCGCTGTGGTCAGTGACCCACAGCGCAGCCTGAGAGGAACTTAGGATGAAAAGGATGAGCACTCTGTGCTTTGGAAAAGCAGGCCCCTTAGACAGATGTATATCTCAGGAGGAACTTCAGCGACCCCAGATTCTTGCATCTTCCCATACATGGAAAAGCACTAAATCATTCACTTGAGATACCTGTCCTTGTGACTAGCAGTAACCTTTTACCGAGATGTCTGCCTGACTGCACGTATTCCCTAGCCAAAATGCACATAGGAGCTGGTTTCTCCCCAACGTCTCCAGAGCTACTGACAGGCTGTCTTCTAGGCTGTAGTCCTCAGGTCCCTGAATGAAACAAACTCACAACTCTTTATGTTGCGCATTTTTCTTTCAGTTGACGCAGTCCCACCAGTTTCATGGTGCCATGGCCTTCAAAAACTCCAATGAGCTGAGGATGATTCTTCAGCTGAAAAAAAAAAAAAAGAAAAGAAAAGGGAGATGAGGAGGAAACATTTCCTAGGCTAAACTTTAAGAGGGTGGCAAAATTCCAGGGCCAGGGTCCAAGACAGCAGTCTCTGTGGGGCAGGGATATGAATGACTGCCCAGTCAAGCTAGCGGATGAAGTATTGCCAGACACACCCATATTCAGTGTAGCACACTGAGCTCAAAGAGGAAACAGAAATTAAGAAATTTCAGATATGCTGAACAGAAAGAAAGGCGCCTTAAAAGAGACTGATGTCTGGGGCTGCCACGATGGGAAAATTCTCATTTTTACAAGAAAAATACATTGTTTATTGTATGCCTGGCACTGTACTATGCATCTTATATTTATTAATTTATTTAGTAGTCACATCATCCTATAAGCTTGGGCACTAATAACATGACAACTTCATAGATGAGAAAACTGCGGCGTGGAGGGATTAAGTAGCTTGTCCAAGGTCACGCCATTAGTACTCTTAGTAGGATCTCATTGAGGTTGGAGAAGGGCCACTTGGATGGATGATCTTTTCCTCTCCAGGACTTAGCCAGTCTGCTTTTAATGGTTAAGACCATTCCATTGGATTTACGGGAGGAAGAGTATGATAGACAAATATTAGAAGGGAGATAACCTGCCTCCTTCCTGGTTTTCAGTCCATGAGAAGAGCTTTTTCTCTAAGTGCTCTTGGCCTCTTGCTTCGCCCTGTACTTCTCCATGGAGGTTGATAGTTACAGGGCTAGCAGGTGACCTTTCCTCCTTTCTGATGTGAGCATCGTGTTGTTAGTTTCCCTCCTGGCACTGCTTCACTTTGGCTGTGTTCCACAAATTTTGATATGCTGTGTTTACATTTTCATTCACCTCAGTGTATTTTTAAATTTCCTGTGAGACTTCCACTTTGACACCAGGAATATTCACAAGCGTGTTGTTGAGTTGCTTGGAGATGTTCCTGTTGTCTTTCTGGTATTGATTTCTGGTTCAATCCTACTGTACAGTCAAAGTATGACTTAAAATCTTTCAAATGTGTTGAGATTTCTTTTATGACCCAAGATATGGTCTATCTTCATATATATTCCATGGGCATTGAGAAGAATGTGTGTTCTGCTCCTGTTAGGTGGAGTGTTCTGTAACTGTTGATGAGGTCTTCTGGTTGATGAACACGTGTTGCTGAGTTCCTCTGTATCCTTGATGAATTTTGGGCTAGTTACTCCAGTTGGGTCATTTCTGTTGTTCTGTCTTCAAGTTCATGAATTCTTTCCTCTGTTCTTTCCGTTTTGTTGTTTAGCCCATCTAGTGAGTTCTTCAACTGTGTTTATTTTATTTTCTACTTCTAAACTTTCCATACTGTTCCTTATTTCTCACATTTTCTATGTATTTCCTTGAGACTATGTCTTTACCAGAGCTTTCTATGTTTTCACTTGTTTCATGTGTGTTCATAATTGCTCACTGAAGCATTTTTATAATAACTGCATTAAAATCCTTTAAAAATAATTTTAACACCTGTATCATTTTGGTATTGGCATTTGTTGATTGCCTTTTCTCATTCAAGTTGGTATTTTCCTGGGTCTTGGTATGATGAGTGATTTTTGGTTTGGGTATTATGTTAAGAAAATCTCGATCTCATTGAGCCTTCTGTTTTAGTAGAACACTTGACATCACTCTGGTGGGAGAAAAGGGACACCGCCTCATTGCTGCCAGTGGGGGATGGAAGTCCAGTTTCTTGGTTGAGGGTGGGAATCTAAGCTGCCCCCAGGCCAATGCTGATGCCACCCTGGCTGGGAGGGTTGGCATCCTTATTATTGCTGGTTGGGGGTGGAAGTTCAGGCTTGCCACATGGTCTCCACTGACCCTACAAAGAGAAGGGGCTCATTACTGCCCAGCTGGGGTAAAATTTCTGGCTTCTCACATTTCAGTCACCACCCTGGCAGGGGGCTTGGAGAGCCTCTTTAGCTTGGCAAGGATGGAAATCTAGGCTTCTCAGCTGGCCTTTGCTGGCATGGGTGGGAGTGGAGCCACAGTTTTTTTCTGTGAGGTTTGCTGGAATAGAGCAATTATTGGCTGAAAGTTCTCTGTCTTACCAGGCTTTCCCTTCCTTTGGCTCGAAAGGCTTTTCTTGGGGCTCTTTTTGGGGTCTGTGCTTATTGGCATTTCTAGTTGCTGGCTTTTCCAACACCCAGTATGAGGTGCGTGAGGCAAAATAATATTCTGGGAACGTCCTACCATATTGTTCCTCTGGTCCTGAGCTTGCTAGCTGGCTGTCTTCTTCTATCCATCTTTTGGTGTCTTCGTTTATTTGTTTTGTCAATAACATCCAGGGATTTTAGTTGTACTTAGCAGGAGGAATAGGAAAAATGTGTCTATTCCATCTTCTGGAAGCAAGAGACAAGTTCCATGAATTTTGATTATTGCTCTGGCAACCCAGGAGAAAGAGGAATGTGGCTTTGAGTCACCGGTCATGTGGGAGATGGGAGAACCTGTCCCAGGCAGAGGCAGGGGGCCCAGCAACATGGCGGCAGGCGGGGTTAGAGGAGAGATGGCTGGTAAGCAGTTCTCGGTGGTGAGCCACAGCTCATCGATGTCAGAAACAGTGACATCTGATGTTGTTTTGAAGCAATTTCTTCCTCTGTATTCCAATCACTCTTTGTTTTCCCCAAATCCCCCATAGGTGCTTATTATACATAGCACCCTAGTCTTTGAGAATGAAGGAGATGAGTGGGTTATGTGATTGCGTCAGGATCAGAAAGAGAGGGAGAGGTGGCAGGGCCAGTGGTGAAGAGTCGGCCGGAGCGATGGAGGCAGGAGGCGGGAGCCAGGAGCAGGCTGGCGGGAACAGACCAGGGCATGGCCACCGGGAGTTACCGCAGGTGCTTGTACGTCCTCCCAGCACAGGGGCGTGAGGTGAGAGCAGCGCCGAGGAGCTGAGTCACCGTGAGAAAGAGCTTTTCACGGGGAGGCGGCCGTGCCTGGCCTGGTTCTCTCCAGGCGCACCGCTCTGCCGCTTGGGTGGAAAGAAGCACCTCTCCCCCCAGGCCCCCTTCGTGCCGACCCTGCCCCGCTGCGCGCTCTCACCCTCGCTGGTTCCGCTCTGCTGCTTCCCGGGGGCCAGGCCAGCGGGAGTGACTCAGCACGCGGGCTGACGCGCGCGCTTTGTGTGCGCACTTTGCAGGGAGTGGGGAGCATGGTGTGGGGGCTTCTGGTGGACCTCCAGCCATGGTTTAACACGTCATAAAACTTGTCTGGTTTAGAACACCTGGACATAGAGAGATGACAGGGGCTGCACTATGCTATCTTACTATATTATTATAGTAAAGAGATGCCACTGGGTCCCCACAGCGTGCGGGGCGACCTGGGCCATGCACTGGGGGCAGCAGGGGGCCGCGCAGGGGGCAGCTCTTCCTCTTGTGCCTGCTTCTCCAGCAAATGCCAACACATCTTCTCAAATCGCCTTTGCCTGAAATCGGTCTCAGTCATCTCCCTCACTCCCCGCGGCCGAGGGGTCTCCTTCTGTACAGCTGTGCAGTGAGTGTCCACCCCCCACGCCTTCAGCTGGAGAAGCAGCGGGGTGGGAGGCGGACAGGCAGGTAGGAGGCTGTGCTGGAGGACCAGCCCCGCGCTGGGGGCCCTGAGGGGGCAGGGGGACTGAGGGTGAAGAGGGTGGGAATGAGGGATTGCTGCTAGGATTTGGAGGCTGATGAGACGTGAGAGATGTTTAGGATGGCACTCGGGTCTGTGATTACAGCCAGAAGCACGTTAAGGTGCAGCACTGGGAGAAGTGTTAAGCAGTTCAATTCAGGTCATGTCGAATTGGAAATGTCTGCGGAGCACGCCAGCCAAGTGGACCTGAAACTTGACAGAGAAGTCTGGCTGGAGCTGGTGCTGGAGCCGTTGAAGCCATGGGCGGGTGTGATGCGCAGGCAGGGCTTCTCACCTATGCTTAATCCCACGACCTCCCAGTTAAAACAACCTGAGTTTTACTTCATGTATTTTGTATCATGAACATTAAAATGATGATAGTGACCAACACTGGGTACTTACTCTATGCAAGTGATGCTTGGATCACTTTGCCTGTGTTAATGCTTGTGATACAGCCACCCTGCTGCGTAGTCCAGTCCCCTGCTCTGCCGTCACAGTCCCTTCACTTCCCTCCCGTGCAGAGTGTGCCCACCTTCCAGCCTGCCCCCCGCCCTTCCGTCTCCCTAGGACGGTGTCCGTCCAGATCGTCACCCACCCGCCCTCTCCGCTCAGGTGCCACATCCTCGTGGAGGTCTCCCCTGCTCGCCCATACCCCGTCCTACCTGTCACTAGCCCCTCGCCCTACTGGGTTGTTCCTTGTCATTCCAGCCACTCCCCATATGACATACTGTGTCATTTGCAAAATGGGACAATCAGTAATATTAGCTGTGAGCATCCCTCAAGCACGTACTCTTCAGTGTCTCATTTCTTCCCTTACAGCAACCCGAGCCCGCAGACACACGCCTCCTCTCCTTTCATTTCTGTGTCCTAGAGGAGGCTGGGGCTCAGGGGCATGGGGTGACTTTCCCAGGTCACACAGTGGGGAGTGAAGGAAGGAGGTCAGCTTTGCTAAGAGAAAACACACTGATGTCCAGGCTTCGTGTGGAAGACACTGGTCCTGTTCCCTTTAGACTGGCAACATCCGAAGTCCTGGGACAGAGGGGAAAGGAGGACAAATATGAATGTGTGCGTGTGTGTGTGTGTGTTTGGCTTCCTTCACTAAAATGCTTTATTTCATATTAATGGCTCTGCCTGTTCTCTGCTATGTCCTCATTGCCTGGAATAGTGTCTGCTACTGCTGGCTCTGAAGAAATACTGCTGGAAGGGAAGGAGGAAGGAGGGAGGGGGGAGTGGGAGGGGTTGCTTCTCCTTCACGGTGGGCCTGACCTTGTCCCCAAAGCCGCAGGGCTTTGGCCTTTGCCCCTAAAGATGAATTTTGGAGCCAAGCCCCTAGTTCTGCTCTCCCACATCCTCCACAAGATTCTCACCCCTCACTGGCCACATGAGTGTCCTTGGGGGAGCAGACGCAGGTGGAGGACCTCCTTGTGACTCGTAGAGAAAACAGGGCGGGCCCTGCTTCACTGAGCACCCGTGGAGGGGGTCGGAGCCCACTGCGGCTCTATAAAGGCTCCCTGGCCAGAGCCCTAGGGCGGGCGGTGGCTTCTACCCCTTCCTCCCTGGAAGGGCTCAGAAAGATGGCTCTGGCCCTGGGGGTCTTCAGTCTGCTGGGCTTGGCCTGCTTGGTATCGGCCAACATCTTTGGTGAGTTCTGCGCCTGAGGCCCTGGAGCGGGGCGAGGAGGCCGGGGCTGGGAGGAAGTTTTCCGTCCAGAGCTCCATGCTAGCCAGGATCTGCCCCAGGGCCTTGAAACATTTGTGATTTCATTTAATCCTCACAAGGTCCCGAGGTCGGTTATGTGCTCTTTGCTTTTCAGATGAAGAGACAGAGGGTCTGACAGGTAGGCTGAGTTGTGTGAGGTCACAGAGTCAGTGAGTGGTGGAGAGGAGATGGGAAACCAGACCTTCCTGGTTCGGTTCCAGCTCCCCCAGCCCCACCCTGCCAGCAAAGTTTGGCATTGACATTAGTGGGTTTTTTTTTTATCCCCTTAGCTCTTTGAAGTCCTAGGTCATCCATGTGAGGTGTCTGACAGTCAGCAGGCAGTGACGAGCACAAGCCTGCCCGCGGAGCTGAGTCCCAGCTGTGGCCCAGCTGCTTGATGCGCGGCTTGGGCTAAGTCTCAGCTCGTCCCCTCCCTGGGAAAGCTAGCAGTTGTGATCATGGTTTCTGAGTGAGCTCCTGCATGTTCTGTGTGCTGTCAGTGGAAAAGAAGACATGTGGGAGTTATTAATGAATTCGTATTCCCTCGCTGTGCCGGAGGGTGCTCCGTCTGCAGGGAGTGCGTTGATAAATTCATGGCCACCTCCTTTAGTGTGTGGCCTGGGGGGACGTGCAGTCCAAGGGTTTATTCTGAGACCTTTTCTTGCCAGCTGTGTGACCTGGTAGAGGCTGCCTTCACTGCCTGAGTCTTAGTGCCACACGGGTAAGATGGGGATGGGTAAGATCTCCCAGGGGATGGGCTAACGCCACACTTGGAGGAGTGTGAGTAGCCACAGAATTGCAAGTCAGAACAGACTGGCTGAGGACGGTGCTAGAAATAAAGCCCACAAGAGCACGTGTGTCCTTAGGGAGCCCATCTCCGTTCCTGGAACCCAGACCGGCACCTCTTCTCTGATGAGTCGCTTCCCTTCTGTAGAATACCAGGTGGACTCCCAGCCTCTCCGTCCGTGCGAGCTGCAGAGAGAAAGGGCCTTCCAGACGCGAGCAGCTTACGTTCCCCAGTGTGCAGAGGATGGCAGCTTCCAGTAAGGCTTGCTCCAGCCACGCGGACTCAGGGGCCTCAGACGCCCTCAATGCTCCTCGTTCCTCTCCCCTGCCCCCTCCCCCTGCTCCTGGCCCTCCCCTTTGAACATGAGATGTGGCCACTGTCACCTGGACGGTGCCTGCCTCTCAGAGGTTCCCCAGACTAATCAGCAATCAGGAATCTGACCCGGAGCGCCCAGTCCACGCTTCCCTCCAGCCAGGACCAAAGATGTCCCTTTCTTTCCTGCCTAAACTTTTACCCTAATTGCTTTAACAAGAGGTGTGTACGGGTGGGGGGAGTCAAATGATTTAACTTTGGCGCCTCCTCTCCCCCTTGCATCCTCTTGAGAAGTCACAGGGGGAGGGGAGCTGAGGCCCTTGGACGGCAGGCCGGTGGCTGCCCCCACGCCCTGCTGAGTGCAGCTCTCTGGGCTGCGAGCTGCCTCCTTCCCTGGCGGGCTCCGCTCTGAAAGGGGGTTGTTAGCTGCCCTCACGTGAACTTGGGTCCGGGACTCTCTCCCTGCAGAGTGGAGTGATCATCGGAACACACAGGAACCCTCTGTTCATGCTTGAAGTTTCACTTCCCCGCGCTGTTCCAGCCACGTTGAGCTCCGGGATCTGGGTCTCTGTGTTCTGGGAAGCAGCCCTGGGACTGTTTCACTCCCTCCTCCAGTTTATTCCCACTCTTTGTGCCTAACAAAGCTCTTACCTGCTCCCAAGAGTGCACAGGCCAGGCCCAGCTTGGAGCGCTGGGAGTTGCGGGGCGGTGAGGAGGAGGGCTTGCCTTGGCCCCTGACTTACGGAGCTGTCCCCACGTCTCCTTCCCCTCCGCGGGCCGTTTCCAGCCAGCCCTGCTCCTCCTCAGGAGGTTTTGCACACGATGCTGTCTTTACGTGGAACACCTTTTACTTTCTCTGCCCCTGGTACAGCACCCGATCACCCGCACCTTGGTCTAGCCATCACTGCCCCGGGAAACCCCCCCGTGCGCTTCCCGAGTGCTTGTAACCAGGGCTGCTCTCTCTCCGCTCCCGGTCCAGGGAAGGGCCGCGTTACCCGCTGCGGCCTCCGTGTGGCAGCAGCCTGGGCGCCGGGGTGGGCACGTGCTCGGGGCTGGCCGGCTGGGCAGGTGGAGGCTTAGCGGCCGAGGCGGGGCTGCTGGGGGTGTCGGGGCTTTTCCCTTCTCCAATCACTGGCCCCGCTCCATGCAGATCTCTTTCTAATTACGTGAATTAAAGCTTGGAAGGATGAAAAGGGAGAGCAAAGGTACCCGATTGTGGCTTCCGGAGCTAATCAGGTGTCGCGTGGTGTCTCCTGCCCCAGGACTACCCAGTGCAGGAACGGCGGTGGCTCCTGCTGGTGTGTGGACGCTGACGGCAGGGAAGTGCCTGGCAGCCGGCGGCCCGGGCGCCCCACGGCCTGTAAGTGGGAAGGGGACCCGCCGGGGACAACTCACATGCTGGACAAAGCGCTGGGCTTGGGTGTGTCAAGGGCGAGTCTGCCTCCGGGCTGCTGCATCTTCCTCTTTGAATGAGGCCCTGTGTCCTACAGGACTGCTGTGAAAATCAGTGGGACACTCAATAGCCTCTGAGTCCCCCATGTGCCAGGCACGGTGCTCGGCACTCAGGAAGCAGCAGTGAACAGACATGAAACGCCTCTGAGCCCAGAGAGCGGCCCCATGCGCAGGAAGTGTTTTCTCACCCAGGCTGTTTCACCTGAGGTGAAATGTGCCCTGTGATATAACTGTTGTGATGGGTGGGAGGAGAAACACAGTCCCCATTTAAGCGTGTCAGAGGTGAGCCTAAAACAAAGGTCCATCTAAGCTGGTCACCTTAAAATGATGACATTGAGCCAAGCACCATTTGTCAGCTCTGTTTTGGGCACTATTTTTTTTGGGCCAGCCATGCGGGCTTGGGGGGCAGGCTGGCTCCCGCTCAGGGACCCTGGCCTGGTCCCACGCCACCTCTCGGCTACAGTGCCTTGTCTGTCACAGGAACACAGGATCTGGAATAGGATTAACTGTGACCGTTGTGGGGACTTACAGAGCCCATAAACCCCTGGCACACAGGAGGTGCTCAGCAGGAGCCATCACCACGAATGTCACTGTCCTCAGGCACCTGCAAAAAGCAGTTGTATCCCAATTCTAAAGATGAGTGAGGCACAGAGTGGTGAAGTGACTTCACGGAGGTCACACAGCGAGCATGTGGGGAAATTCGCAATTCGCACTCAGACGAGCTGTTAACAGCCAGCTTGTACTCCATTCACACCCCAGCGCTGCAGCACCAGGGTGGTGGGCTGTCCTGGAGACCGCTGGGGCATGATGAAATAGGCCCGTTCCTGGCTCGGTCTGCAGGATGCCAGAGGAAGTCCTGGGATACAGAGCTGGATGGCTGGAGCACTGGTCCTAAGGCTGCTGCCAACTCCCTGAGCTGTGGGAAGGACCACCCGGCCTTCTCGCCTCTAGGGGGTGCGTGGGGCTCCTCCTGGGCTAAGGCCCCTGCACTGTCGCTGCTGCACTGCTCTGACACCGCCGCTCTCTGTTGCCTTAGGTCTGTCCTTCTGCCAGCTGCACAGGCAGCAGATCTTGCTGAGCAGCTACCTTAACAGCACGGCCACATCCTACCTCCCTCAGTGTCAGGACTCCGGGGAGTACGCGCCTGTGCAGTGCGACCTGCGGCGGGAGCAGTGCTGGTGTGTGGACGCGGAGGGGATGGAGGTGTACGGGACCCGCCAGCGGGGGCGGCCGACGCGATGTAAGTCCCAGCACCCCCAGAGTGGCACCTGCAGCATGCCACACCATCCCCCAAACTGTGCCAGGGCTCCCCGAGAAAAGGCATGGGACCTGGCCCTCGGCACAGAGAAGGAAGGCATTCTAGGAAGATTTTACCCCCTCTAATAGTTCCCCATGGTGGATGGTAGTCTTTGCCTGCTGATCATTAGAAGCACAAGCCCAGGGGAGGGTATAGCTCAGCGGTAGAGTACAGGCTTGCCACGCACAAGGTCCTGGGTTCAATCCCCAGTCACTCCAGGAGAAAAATAATAATAATAATAATAAAAAGGAGCACAAGCAGGATTTCAACAAGCGCCTCCTGTTGGAGCCTTAGTCCCCGACTGGGATGCTGTCAAGCGTGTAGTATGAACAGATGCATTTAGGCTATTTAAGAAGCATATGTGCATACATACCTCCTTGTAGGTAAGAATAAAAATTTTTTCCTTGGAAATCCTTAGGTCCAAAGAGCTGTGAGATAAGAAACCGCCGTCTTCTCCATGGAGTGGGCGACAAGTCACCGCCCCAGTGTTCTCCAGACGGAGCCTTCATGCCTGTCCAGTGCAAGTTTGTCAACACCACAGATATGATGATTTTCGACCTGGTCCATAGCTACAACAGGTGAGGGCAGCCCGGGCCTGGGGCCTGCCGGTCTGGGGCCATCCCCTCCTATCTCCTGCCAAAGGCCAGGCTGACTCTGGGGCTGGATGCTGGATGTGTGATACCCGCAGCCTGGTGGGACCTGAGAGTCCTCACGCTCATTTGCTGTGATGGAGTCTGGAAGGGCTGCGGCATTTTCCACAAAGCAGGCTGGGAATAGCTATTCAAATTAGAAATACACCAGTTCTCTGACCCAGCAGCCCATGGGATCAAAACACCAGAATGTGAAGGCCTAAGTACTATGTGTCTACTGCATTGTTTTTCATTGTAGCCAAATATTGGGAACAAAGAGGCTGAGCAGCCCAAGGTGAATGGCTGGATACCTGTGCACCCACCATGAACATGTATGTAGCCCTTAAACAGGATTCATTAGGGCTATAGCAGCTGATTTGGAGAGGATTCTGCAGCACATTATGATAATATAACATAACCTATAGGTGCAGCTGACAGGATTTAACTTTTAGAAAGCAAGTAAGCGTGCTCCTTCTGTGTGCACGTATGATTACATGACTGTGCTTGTGTCTGCACAGGGTTAGGTGAGCACAGAGAAGACTATGAATTAGCACTTACTGGGTGGTTATCAGAGCCACCTTGAGGGTCAGGTGCTGTGGAGAAAGAGAAGACAGAAAAAAATATGGCTCTATAAAAACATGGACCGTTTTTAATGCAGTTTTATATAAGTATGTGTATGTATGCTCTTATAAATAAGTTTAAATTAAAAATTTAAATAACAAAGAGAAAAGAGAGATATATTATAGGTCTCAGGCCAAATAACTGAATAGTTTCTGGTTTTTCGAGATGGTTGCTTTGTTACTATCAAGGGCCCGCGTGGACTTCAAATCTAGTTGAAATATTCTGAGTAAAAATAAAGAAGAATATTAGACCATGAGTAGTGACTGAAATTCTCTTGGAGAACCTGAGCACTTATGTGGCTGGCTTTCAAAGCAGCCTGTTTCTTTCCCTAAAAGGGAGGGAATTCCCAGGCTGTGCCAGGAGGGGTCACAGATCAGCAGCCTGTGAGCAGGAGCTGTCCCAGAGACAAGTCTGGTTTGAGCCGCACGGTATTTTAAAAACTGGGGAATTGTCAGTAGAGTCCTATGAAATTTCTGTTTGTGTAGGTAAAAATAGTTGAACATTAGCAGTTTTGTATGTCCACCCCAATACACAAAATTCTGAATTCCTGATTCTAAAGAACAAGGATGGGGGCTGCATGCCTTGTCCCATGGCACCAAGAAGCTGGCCTTGAACTCTTCCTTTTGGACTGAACGCACGTCCTCCCCTGCTCCGGGTCTCTCCCTGTCCGGATGTCATACTTACTCCTGCCTGTTCCATCTGTTCGCATTACCTGACTGGCCCCATAGCATCTGCCGTTGTGACTCTCATTCTGACTCTGCCACTGAGCCTCAGTGTCCCCATCTGTGAGGACAGCACTCGGTTCATTAGGTCCTGGTGAAGATCCGCTGAGCCCCTGTCCACGAAACCCCTGCAAAAACTGTAAATTATTCTGCATCTGTAGGGAATCCTTCCTCATGCATCATCAGCTCCAGCAAATGTAGGTTACATCCTTCCCCCCAGGCCTAGAGAGCGTACCCGTGTGCATATAGGAATCTCCAAACAGCCGGGCTTACTGAAGCTCATTGATGCAAACCAGTGTATGTTCAGTTCAAGTTCAACTGAATATGCTCACCATGTACAGGAATTTGATACCCTTTTATCTACTTGAATATTTACAAAAGTAATTGGAAAATGATGGTCTTTAGCACATAAATGGGGCTTCTGAAGCTCAGAAGTTAGGGAACCCTCCCTAGGAAGCACGATTAGTGGGTTCTAGGGCTGTCTGGCTTCCTCTGCTATCCCGCAAAACCTCAATTCGTCTCTGTGCCCCGTGGACTATAGCACAGAACCTTGGGTACTGTCGGCCTGCAGTCATCAGAGGGCTTCTTGCAGGTGCCAGCCTGAGGCACAGTTCCCAGCCCCTTCCACAAGAGGGCAGTCAAGTTAAAGGCAAAAGTTCGGGACTGAGCATCTATTGTTAAAGAATAACAACAAAATTTACCCCTGAAATGGGATCCTTTCTTTTATGTAAGCAAGCATGTCCCTGGGCGCATTCTGATTTAGGAAGGTCATGGGAAAGTTCAGATTGTTGGTTACTAGAAGCCCAGCCACAGTCAGGAATTTTCTGATAAGCAGACGGGGGCAGCCGGCAGCCCCAGTGACTCCACTGGGCAAAGTGTGAGGAGCCCTGGGGGCAATGTGGAGAGTCTAGGCCTGGTACCTACAGTCGGCAGGTGGAAAAATACTGCATGGCCGGTGATATTTGAATTTTGGATAAGCAGGGAGTAATTTTTTAGTATAAGTGTGTCCCCAGTGTTGCATCAAGAATTTTAAGCCTAGAATAGGGGGTTGGGTATATTTTGTTAACCATCAGACTTGGATTTTAAAAAGAGTGGGGTTGGGGAAGAGCAGAGTGGGTGCTTGGAGGTGACCCTGCAAGTCTGAAGGCTGCTGCCTCCATCCAGGTGAGAGGTGCTGTTGACTTGGACTAGAGCAGGTGATGGAGAGGCGGAGTAGGACAGCAGAAATACTGACTTGGTGGAATCCACAGAACCTGGTGACAGTATAGATGTGGAGGGTGAGGGAGGGAAAAAGTTAAGGATGTCTCCAAGGTCTGGTTTCTGAATGGATGGTAGAGGGTAAGTTTGAAAATGAAAAGTCACAAATTTGCTTTTGGAATATTGACTCTGAGGAGATTTCTTTGGGAACTTCAAGTGGAGACATGGCATAGGGCAACTGACCTACTTCCTTGGGGCCGCAGGGAGGCTGGAAGCCTGTGGGCAGCTCGTTTGCCAACCTGTCGTGGGTTCTTCATGTGCGGGGTGATGATTTACACTTGAACTTGGCCATAGCGTTTGCTCATTGAAGAGGTCCTTTTGCCTCTTGAAAAAGGCCACTGCTAACTACACCTATTTGGCCAGTGACTTAAAAAAAGAACATGTCCTGATGGGGAGTGAGCTTTGTTGGATTTTCCGGCTCTTCCTCACCTTTCATAGGCTCTTGCCTAACCGCTAACTAGGGTACCATATTCTGGCTGAGCAGATTATAAGTAAAGGTCTTAAGAGCTGATGTCATTATCAGGGCCTTAGTGATCTGACTTAAAATTCTGTCCATTGGTTTCTTTATCAGTTCTTGTCCTTACTGGCTGAGCTCACTCAGACCTCTTTAAGGGCCTTGGCACCTCATGCTATTCAGATAACCCAGTGGGAAGGGCAGATGCACCTTCACATGTGAAGGGGGCCTCATCACCTGGACTTACTAGTGACTGCGTGGAGAAATCCTCGTGGACTAACCTCCGTTACCCTCACAGGAGGGCTCTGTAGCGGTCTGTGTGCACCAGGCATTCTGCTAGTCACAGCTCCCAGCTTCAAGGAGGGCGTCACGAGCATTGGAATCTGATAAATTGCTAATTTATTCACCGACAGTTAGATTTCTGGAGGCACTGTCTGTGAGAGGAGCCAGGGAATGTCTCTGAGTAAGGGGTGTTGGCTACCTCAGCCCAGAGGCGTGAATCCTCCTCTGCGAGTGAACGGGACCGTTTGCCTGGCAGGGACTGACGTTTTATATTTCCCGGAGCCTTATTTGTGACTTCTCTCGTCTATGTTGGCCACAATCGGAGCAGAAATGCCACCATTTCCCCTTCCACGACCATTTTCTTACTGGAGGGTTCTTTTATTACCATTCTGAGATCTTGCTTTTTACTCAAGAGAAAGGCAGCATCCTTTCCATTGGTTAAAAGTCGAGGCGGACCTTCGGGTTAGATGGCCGGACATGGGACTAGAGTGATCTGAGCTCCCTGGGCCTCGTACTGGAATGGGCTTCAGAACTCCGGGCCACTGTGTAACTCATCAGTGTCTATTAGAAAAAGGAAAAGCTGGGCGTGAGGCATAGAGAGAAGGGTGTCTAAACAAAATCACACACCTCTCGGGATATGGGGCAGGAACTGAGTACAGCCAGGCACACTGAGTAGCACCATCAGCAGAGATCACGTGGTGGGTAAAGCCTGGATTGGAACCCCAGCTTCCACCGCTAGTTCAAGATGGTGGCCAACATCCCTCACTCTTTTAACCTCTGAACTGGGCATGAAAAAAATACCACCTCCCTTCTAGGAGGGTTAAGTGGACTGAGTGAGTCAATGTATGTTACATATTTTGCAGACTGTCTTTTATAAAGTGGAGTTCAATAAGCTGAAGTGATTTTTGTACTATTATTAGCACTTTTAGAATTCAGTTATCCCCGGTTCCAGTGAATGAACTTCTGTTACATACCTCCAACCAGTGGTAACTAAGCCAAGTGAGTTTTTAGTTTCTACTATGCAACTCCCTTACTATAGCATTCTTTTTAATTTCACTCACATACTCACAGCAACAGACCAGCAACATGGAAAAAATCCATAATTCTACAGTGCATCCATAGGTTTTGTTTTGCATATTCATTTCCATTCAAAGTAACCAAAACTTGTGCAGCCTGTGTTCAGACTCTGAGCAGTTCCTGCACAATACATTCCCTTCCAACACTGGTTCACGTGCATGGGAGTAACTGCAGTGTGCGTACATGCTGTTTTGTGTTCTCCCTCTTTACACAGTGTTATGTGTGCATTAGGGAGTTTGCTATAATTTATTTCCTAATTGTCCTGTCTTTGGATGTTAAGGTTGCTTTCATTATTTTTTCTAGAATAGATTACACAGCAATAGACCTGTCTGTGCAGAGAGCTGCTGTTTCTGCTAACTTAAAGGTTGGGGATATATTTCTAGACGTAGGTAGAAAACACATCATGCTTGGTTTTATAGCCTTGCTATACAGGGCATGAAAACGAATCTCTCAGTGTTGCATAAAGATGAAAAATGCGCCTCTGGTTGCTCTGTCATTGCACGGGGGAAGAACTCCTGAACACAGCTTTATATCACTCGAGCTTCATATTACTTCCAGGCTGGGGAGCCCAGCCAGTTAGCTCTGTATGGCACTTGCCAGGTCAGGCATGATTTAGGCATCCTTTTCCTCAACTTACGGAAAGCGATGTATAACCCTCGTGAGTGATGTCATTTGATTTGGTGGTTTTTTTCAATGCTAGAACTGGGAAATGTCCTACATTAGGAATTTCCTGTGATGGAATCTGGCTTCTTTTCAAGCTCTTGATGAGATGTAAAGGGTTCTGAAGCGTGTGATCTCCCCACATGAGATCATCGACAACGTACCATATGTTTGTAAATCATGCTTGGCCTTTAGTCCCTAGAGTTACATTCTAGTAAAGGAACTCGTTAGTGCAATTTCATTAACTGTTTTCTGCCTAATCCTGTGAGACACAGGGTTGGGCATAATTTGATCAAATGCCACGAGCGAGAAAAATGCTAATTAGTAGGTGACAGCCAAGCACAGCTTTATTTTCACAGGTCCAGCCTCGCTCTTGCCAGCTCAAATCAATTTAGAAAAAAGAAATACATTTACTGCAGGAGGCATGGAGCAAATGGCATGAGATGGAAAAAGCAGACATTCCTTATCCCCTCGATGACACAAAGCCACATTAATCTATTTCTACAGGCAGAGTGCACGATGGCTGGCCTTGTATGAAATGGTGACCATAAATCCCGTTGTCTCTCAGGTTCCCAGACGCATTCGTGACCTTCAGTTCCTTCCGGAGCAGGTTCCCGGAGGTGTCTGGGTACTGTCACTGCGTGGACAGCCAAGGGCGGGAGCTGGCGGAGACAGGTGAGCGCACCTCCGGCAGTCTGAGCGGAGGGGGTGGCATCCCTCAGACCCAAGAGCCTGAGTGTTACTCCCTGTAAAGCAGAGAAAGCTGAGGCTGTCTGCTCTCCTGCCAGGCTGCTCGGGCAGTGAAGAGGGCGTGGCCTTTGCAGACTTTCAAGGGTGGTACTTTTGTTTTCTCTTCAGAATGATTTTTTTTTAAATTGAAGTATAGTCAGTTTACAATGTTGCATCAATTTCTGGGTACGGTATAATGTTTCAGTCATGACATACATATATATTCCTTTTCATTATAGGTTACTACAGGACATTGAATGTAGTTCCCTGTGCTATGCAGTGTAAACTTGTTGTTTATCTATTTTATATATAGTAGTTAGTATCTGCAAATCTCAAATTCCCAATTTATCCCTTCCCAACCCTGGTAACCATAGTTTGTTTTCTATGTGAGTCTGTTTCTGTTCTGTCAATAAGTTCATTTGTGTGTGTGTGTGTGTGTGTGTTTAGATTCCACATATAAGTGCTATCATATGGTATTTTTCTTTCTCTTTCTGGATTATTTCACTTAGAATGATGATCTCCAGGTCCATCCATGTTGCTGCAAAGGGCATTACTTTATTCTTTTTTATGGTGGAGTAAGATTCCATTGTACACACACACATACATATGTGTTTGTGTATATATATATATACACACCACAACTTCTTTATTCTAGTCACCTGTTGATAACCACTTAGGTTGTTTCCATGTCTTGGCCATTGTAAATAGTGTTCCTGTGAACATTGGGGTGCATGTATCTTTTTGAATTAGCACTCCCTCCAGATATAAGAAGGGTGGTACTTTGAATGCAGCTACTGCTGGTCCACATGGTGCCTCTGCGCAGACTGGGAAGAGGCACCCGTCTCTGGGCAGATGCAGCTCCAAGCTTGGCGAGTGGAATACAGGATGGATTTCAGTCTCTCCTTGCTCTCTAAGCAGTGCTTCCTTGTGCTGTGAACAACCTGTACAACTGTACAGAGCTGCTCTGACTTTGGAAACCATTAAAGTCTTATTCAGATCCCAGGCACAGTGAGGGTGAAGGTTCTGGCCCCTTATGTCTGTTTGCAGGGAGAGGCCAGGGCTTCCTTTCTAGATGAACCCATCCCTCCCAAAGGTCACTGTCTTTGCTCAGGTCTGGAGCTGTTACTCGATGAAATTTATGACACCATTTTCGCTGGCCTGGACCTCGCTTCCACCTTCACCGAGACCACCCTGTACCGGATATTGCAGAGACGGTTCCTAGCAGTTCAACTAATCATCTCCGGCAGATTCCGATGTGAGTTAATAAGTCGAGAGCAGAAGTGTGTGTTTCTGCTGGGAGGAAGCTCCTTGGGTTTTGAAGTCGCTGCGATTTCCATGGCTGTCCCACCGAAGTGGGTGTGGTGCAGGGATTTAAAAAGTCCTGCCAGCATCCAGAGCGCAGGCTGCAAACACACCAACCGTCTTCTCCTTTCCCGCCTGGCTCCCTTTTAGGCCCCACGAAGTGTGAAGTGGAGCGGTTTGCAGCCACCAGCTTTGGTCACCCGCACGTTCCGAGCTGCCGCCGAGATGGGGGCTACGAGGTGGTGCAGTGTCAGCAGGAAGGGCCGTGCTGGTGCGTGGACGCCCGAGGACGGGAGGCCCACGGGACGCGGTGGCCAGGGCAGCCTCTGTCTTGCGGTGGGTTTTCCTCTCTTCGGGTTATGTGACTTTAACCGGTTCTCTTGACCAACCACTCCAGACCCATTAATTCCATGCCTCCTGAGGGTGCCCCGCAGGCCCTTGAACTCGTTGGAAACCTGTTTATTGTCATTAATCTCTGACATGTTTCTCATCCGGAGTCCGACATGGTTGCTTCCTCAGGGAGCTCAGACAGCATTAGAAGAAAAGAGAATTAAGCGTACGTGTACCACGAGAGACGTGCGTAGTGGTGACTAGAGGAGGACAGCGCAGTGTGGGGTCAGTTCTCTCCTGCAGCATATATGAAGAGGAGAAATCCAGGAAGGCTTCATGGAAGAGGTGACACTTGATGCAAGTCTTCTAAATAAAGCTGCTTCCTGCAGGAGGAAAGAGAGGTGTTCTCTATAGATAGAGCAGGAGAAGCAAAATTATAAGGATATAAGTACAGATGGTTCCCAACTTATGATAGTTTGCCTTACAATTTCTCAACTTTGTGATGATGCAAAAATGGTACGCATTCCATAGAAATAGTGCTTTGAATTTTGATCTTTCCCTGGCCTGATGACATGCGGTACAATACTTTCTCGTGATGCTGGGCAGCTGCAGCCCCCAGTCAGCCACATGACTCTAACCTGCATGCTTACAACCGTTCTGTACCCAGACAGTCGTTCTGTTGTTTGCTTTCAGTACCTTATTCATTCAATTACATGAGATACTCAGCACTTGATTGTAAAATGTGTTGGATGATTTTGCCCAGCCGTAGGCTAAGGTAGGTGTTCTGAGCATGTCTGAGGTAGGCGAGGCTCAGCTAAGATGCTGGGCAGGTGAAGTGTGTTAAACGCATTTTGAACTTAATGATATTTTCAGCTCATGCTGGGTTTATCAGGATGTCATCCCATCGGAGTCGAGGAAGGTCTGTAACAGGCACTGGTGTGCTCATGAACACCGATGCTGAGGACAGAGAAAAGCCTTGTGGGAGCATGATGTGATGGGGGCTCTGAAAGGCAGGGGTGATGAGGTGTTTCACGTCAAAGCAGAGGCTTGGGGGCTTGGTTCTGGAGGTCAGGTGAGGCTGTTGAGGGGTTTTCGGCTGAAGAGTGCCATGATGGCTGTTGTGTTCATGACGGGAGTTGTGCGTAGGGAAGACAGCCCAGGCATTTTGGAGGGGAGACCGAAAAGGAGGATCAGGCTGCAGGCTGTGGGGCACCTGAAGGCCACTGCAGCGTCCTGACGAGAGATGAGGGGAGTATTTCGCCTTCCTGGGGCAGCTGTAACGAGTGACCCTAACCCGACAGGCTTCCAACAGCAGAAGTATATTCTCCCATAGTTCTAAAGGCTAGAAGTCTAAAATCAGGTGTCAGCAGGGCCATACTCCCTCTGAAAGCATCAGGGGAGAACCCTTCCTGGCCTCTTCCTAGCTTGTGTTGTCACAGAGATTGCCAGCATTCCTTGGCTTTATGGCAGCAGAACTCCGAACTCTGCCTCTGTCGTCACATGGCTGTCTTCCTCTGTCCCTTCTCCTCGGCTTATAATGACACCAGCTGTAGAGGATTAAAAGCCCGCTCTAGGATGTCTTCGTCTTAACTGATTACAGCTCCGAGGATCCTAGTTCCAAATAGGATTACATCCTGAGGTTCTAGGAAGGGCATGAATTCTGGGGAGACATTATTCAACCCACTATGGCAACCGATACTGAAGTAGGCACCGTGGGCTGTGCAGAAGTGTGTGGACTTGAGACACGTCCTTAGGCATCCCCGTAAGACTCCATCCCATCTCCCAGTAAGACTCGGAGGGTGCTGGCAACGGAGAGGGAGGAATCCTGGGGCACCAGCAGGCTTCCACCTCGGGGGAGCTGGGGGGATTCAGCAAGGTTTGAAATCGGGAAGGAGTACAATCTTTTTTTAGAGCCTCAAAATAGATATTACTGTTATGACTGTTCTTGCAGTAATTCCTGGGAAATCATTTGATTTCTGCAACTTAACATTTTGAGTACTCTGCTCGGTATTGGGTAACATTCTACCTGCTAAGTGTAAGGATGTAGAAAAAGAAAATTTCGAAGCTCAGGTAGTATTAACAATTATATTTTAGTTCTATTAAAACCTGGAGGATACTGTGCCTTCCAATTTCCAGGTGCAAATGAAGAACTGTGGTCTTCCCTGTTAAAACAAGAGTGCTTCCAAGTGCACAGGTCACGGGTTGTTTTACTTTTTCTCTCTGGTGCATCATCTTATTTCCATGGAAACAATGCTACAGGGAGCCAGTGTCTGGATTTTTTTTTTTTTGCCTTGGTAACACTACATAACAAATGAATGGACATGATATGCTCTTAATTTGGAAGGAGAGTAAGCAGGGCACTGAACTTGACTTCCTCCATCCTTTCCCGTAACACCTAGTAGAGGCTGTGGCCGTGTGGAGGGATGTGTTATATGTTCGGGTGTTGCCAGTCTTCCTCTCTCTCTCTGACTACATGTTCCAGCTCTTTCTCTGTTGCCTGGTTACAGAAGGAAACTGGCTGACTTCCTTTTTGAAATTTGTGTGAACTGAGGGGAAAGAATTATTTTGAAAAGTTGGAAGTGGGTGGGTTGAAAAGGACTTCTGTGATTTATGGTTTTATGGAGAAAAATGGAGCTGCCTTCCTTCTACCTATTTGACTGAGACAATCAGAGTTTGAATTTAAAATCTTTTTTCTTACTGTGGCGACAATCAGCTTGGGATATTCAGCTAGAACAACCAGACCGTGCATGGAGTTGACTGAGCTGATCGCTGTGTTTTTAAATTAGTTTATTTTCTTAAACGTTTTAGGGGGTGGGTGGGAGGAAGGGAATTAGGGTTTTTAAAAATAAATTTATTTGTTTATTTATAAGTGGAGGTACTGGGGATTGAACCCAGGTCCTTTCCTTGAAATTATTAATTACGGGGAAGGTATAGCTCAGTGGTAGAGTGCATGCTTAGCATGCACGAGGTCCTGGGTTCAGTCCCTAGCACTGCCATTAAAAAACAAAACAAAAGCAATAATAAAATAAATAAATAAACCTAATTATCCCATCACAACAGAAACAAAATCTTTTTTCTTAATGTGATGACAGTCAACTTGGGATATTCAGATAGAATTCCAACAAAAGCGTTTCATTAATAAGCAAATAGGAATTTGTTGCGCAGTAGTTCCTGGGGCTGCCATAGCAAATGACCACAAACCGGGGGAGCTTAAAACAACGGAAATGTGTTCTCTCATGGTTCTGGAGGCCAGGAGTCTGAAGCCGAGGTGTCAGCAGGGCTGCGCTCCCTCTGAAGGCTCCAGGCAGAGTCCTTCCCTGCCCCTTCCTAGCTTCTGGTGTTTGCTGGCCATCTCTGGCGTTCCTGGGCTCACAGCTGCATCCCTCCAGGCTCTGCCTCCACCTTCACGTACGTTTCTTCCCTGTGTGTCTCCTCCGTGTAGTCACATGGCCTTTTATAAGGACACCAGTCATTGGATTTAGGGCCCACCCTAATCCCGTATGAACTCATCTTAACCAATTACATCAGCAAAGGCCCTATTTCCAAATGAGATCACCTTCCGAGGTTCTGGGTGGACAGGAATACTAGGAGAGGCAGGGCGCCAGGCGGGAAGACATTACTCAAATTAGTACATTTGGAGAATGTGTGTGGTCAGGTTTTCAAAAAGTGGGCTGGTGTCTCTGAGCCTTGCCTGAGAAGGGGCTCCCCTCTAGTGGAAGCTAGGAGTACTCACGGCCCTGGATGGACTCTGCTCAGAGGGAAAGGGAAGCACAGAAAAACACAGGAGAAAGAGGTACAAATTCAGTCCTTGACTCAACGTTTTCATCTCATCACCAGGCAGATCTGAGTGAGGGCTTGTGTCAGAATGACCTGTGATGGTAAAACCGTCTCTCTGTTTGCTCGGTCTCCTGCAGCTGAGGACCAGCGCTGTCCCTCGGAGCGGCGGCGGGCCCTGTCCAGACTGCGCTTTGGGCCCGCGGGCTACTTCAGCCAGCATGACTTGTTCTCGGTCTCTCAGGGCGTCACCAGACTGGCCACATCCTGCCCACCCTCCCTCAAGGAGCTCTTTGTGGATTCTGGGATTCTCCAGCCCCTGCTACCAGGGCAGGGAAAACAGTCTGGCGCCCCAGAAGGTCTCCTCAAGGAGGCTCTCCCGGCGATTCTCCCCTCCCGAGAGCTGGCCCGTCTCGCCCTCCAGTTTACCACCAACCCAAAGCGACTCCAGCAAAATCTCTTTGGAGGGAGGTTTTTGGAGAACGTCGGCCAGTTTAACTTGTCTGGAGCCCTGGGCACAAGAGGCACATTTAATTTCAGTCACTTTTTCCAGCAACTTGGTCTCCCAGGCTTCCAGAATGGACGGGCAATAGCAGACCCAGCCAAGCCCCTCTCCGTGGGATTGGATTCCAATCCTGCCACAGAAGCCCCCGGAACCCTGAAGACAGGTGTTGCTACAAATAAGTCAGTTGTGGGCAGCTTTGGCTTCGAAGTCAACTTACAGGAGAACCAAAATGCCCTGAAATCCCTTTCTTCCCTCCTGGAGCTTCCAGAATTCCTTCTCTTCTTGCAGCATGCTGTTTCTGTGCCAGAGGACATAGCCAGGGATTTAGGTGACGTGATGGAGATGGCTCTCAGCTCCCAGGGCTGTGAGCAGACACCTGGCAGCCTCTTTGTCCCTTCGTGCACTGCAGAAGGGAGCTACGAGGATGTCCAGTGCTTTGCAGGAGAGTGCTGGTGCGTGGATTCCCGGGGCCAAGAGCTTGCCGGCTCCAGGGTTAGGGGCAGACGACCGAGGTGCCCCACAGAGTGCGAAAAGCAAAGAGCGCGCATGCAAAGCCTCTTGGGCAGCCAGCCCGCTGGGTCCAGCCTGTTTGTCCCTTCTTGTACCCGCGAGGGGCACTTCCTGCCTGTCCAGTGCTTTAACTCAGAGTGCCACTGTGTGGACGCCGAGGGGCAGCTCATTCCTGGGACTCGAAGTGTACCTGGAGAACCCAAGCAATGTAAGTCTGTTGGGGATTCAGTCACAGACTCTGATTTCCCCCTGGGCGCTGAAACAGCACATCACGGTCGTAGCTAAAGCACAAGCTTCTGTTAATGGCATAATTTGCTAGCCGATGTAACAGTTGTCCAGAAAGGTCTTGATAATATTAACCACTCTGATGAGTGAATAGAGAGATTTCTTTGGCCTTTAGGAACTGCCACTTACGTCTCTGTAGTGCTGGCAACAGCTGGCCTCAGCCCTGTTGATTTCATGATAAGGCTGCTCTTCTCTAGAGATTTTCACACATTTAAGGTTGATGGGGTTTCTATGACTGCATGAGGTTTTAGATGGAGTTTGGACAGCTTAGGGCTTCTGCTTTGGTCTTTGGGGCTTATTAACCTTCTTAACCTGATGTCCCTGTGTTTTGTTCCTCCCCAGGCCCCACACTCTGTCAGTTACAGGCTGAGCAGGACTTCCTGGGGACCGTGCGGGCCCTGGTCTCTAACCCCAGTGTGCCGCCCGCCCCCTCCAGCATCTACATTCCACAGTGCAGTGCCAATGGGCGGTGGAGACCCGTGCAATGTGATGGGCCCCCAGAGCAGGCCTTCGAGTGGTATGAACGATGGGAGGCTCAGAACAATGGTGGCCAGGAGCTGACCCCTGCAGAGCTGCTAATGAAGATTGTGAGCTATAGAGAAGCAGCTTCCAGAAGCTTCCGTCTCTTTGTGCAAAGTCTGTATGAGGCCGGCCAGCAAGCCATCTTCCCGGGGCTGGCAAGATACTCTTCTCTCCAAGATGTCCCACTGGCGGTGCTGGAAGGGAACCTGACCCAGCCTGGGGGGAACGTCCTTCTGGAGCCATACCTCTTCTGGCAGCTCCTGAACGGCCAGCTCAGACGATACCCAGGCCCCTACTCCGACTTCAGTGCTCCACTCTCCCACTTTGACCTTCGGAGCTGCTGGTGTGTGAATGAGGCTGGTCAAAAACTGGAAGGAACCCAGACCGAGCCCAGCAAGGTCCCAGCATGTGAGTTACACCATGAAGAACTGAGTCTGTGACTTTGTTTAACGGATGTCTGGTGGGAGCGTACTGTGTGTCACAGCAGGAGTCAAGTTTAGAGAAGGTCAGATAACACCCCTTCATTGTGTGCTGGAGGAACCCGTGCGTGCTGTTCAGCTCAGGTGGCTGGTGAGGGGCTTAACCAACAGATTTATTGCTCACGGTTCCAGAGGCTGGATGGTCAAGGTGTTGGCAGGTTTGATTCCTGGTGAGAGCCGTCTTCCTGGCTAGATGGCCATCTTCTTGCTGTGTCTCCACATGGCAGAGAGGGGAAGAGCTCCGGTCTCTTCATCTTTTTATTGACACTAATTCCGTCATGAGGACCCCACCCTCATGACCCCATCTAGTCAGCTACCTCCCAGAGGTCCCAACGCCAAATACCATCACACTGGGGATTAGGGCTTCCACACATGAATCTGGGGAGTGCACAAACATTCGGTCCCTAACACTGAGGCGCAGAGAAGGAAGGTGATCTCCCTACCTGACACAGTCATGTGTTGGCAAAATTACTGTAGCTAATTTTTAAACGTTCATATAATTGATTATTTAAATCAGTGCCTCAGATTTTAACTGGATGTTTTCTGTGTGCTAAGCATTATCTTAGCTGGATTAAGGCTATAAAGTGAATATGACCTGGACTTTGCCCTCCGTGGCTAAGGTGCCGGTAACCACTCAGACATTAGATGCATCGTTTGGTTAACCAAGGTGCACTATGATTCTTTTGCTACTTACAAGGGTACTGTGAGGCGCGCGGGACCTCAGGAGGAGCTTCTGCCTTCGAAGAGCCTTTAATTTACCTGAGGGGATTTAATTAAAGGACTAATCGGAGAGCTGCTGGAGGAGATCTGTATGTTCAGCTTTGAGGCAGGTGGACAACTAAGAAAGCTATGGTGTGCGAGGCATAATCAGAATGCGGCTGACTCCGTGTCTTTAACTAAAATGCCTTATTACCAAATAGCCATGCAGGCAGTTTGAAGGAACAGCCAGACAGATTCAACACTGGTATTACCCAATCAGAATCCCGCTGACCAGCAGTTGCTAATTTTACAGGTAATATTGTAGCTATTTAAGTCCAACAAAATCTCTCGTTTCATTCTTTGCCATGTTCAACGTTGTCCAGACCTTTCTGGATACTGTGAAAATTAATCAGATTTTTTTTATTTTAATTTTTTTATTTTAAAAAATGTTTTACAATTTATAAAGGTTACTACAGTTACGACACAACATTGGCTCTATTCCCTGTGTTGTACAGAACATCCCTGTAGCCTGTCTTACACCCTCTGGTTTGTACCCCACCCCGAACTCCTGTGTTACCCTCACCCCCACTACTGGCAACCACTAGTTTGTTCTCTGTATCAATGAGTCTGCTGCTTATTTTTTTTTGTTATATTCCCTAGTGTGTTGTGTTTTTTGGATTCCACATGTAGGTGATGTCCTATAGTATTTGTCTTTCTCTGTCTGACTTACTTCGCTGAGCATAATGCCCTACAAGTCCCTCCTTCCACGTGAGGCTGTGGGTCAGGACGGCTGGTCCTAGAGTCACGCAGATAGACTGGAGCTCTGAAGCAGCTCGTGCCTGCTAGGGGCTGATTTAAGTTGCACGCCTTCTCAGTGACTCAGCTGGTTATCTGTAAGGCACGGATAAGAATACTATCATACTGGGCTGTTGCATAAATTAAATTAGATTGTTATAGTACAGCGCCTGGTGTGGAATACACACTGGCTACTACTTACCTTCTCACACAGTCAGGACTACATAAATGTTGGGTGAAAGCAATGGTGGAGATAAAATAGAAAGAACATTCCAGGTTGCAGAAAGAGCTGGGGAGAAGGAAACAGCTGAGGCAGAAATTGTGTGTGTGTCTGCGTGTGTGTGTGTGTGTCTGTGTGTGCACGCACGTGCATACTTCAAAGGGGGTCACAGGGAGCTAGGAGCTACTCGTGGTGGGTGAACCCACCTGTGATGTCTTTACTCCCCCAGGTCCTGGCTCTTGTGAGGAAGTGAAGCTCCGTGTCCTACAGTTCATTAAGGAAACAGAAGAGATTGTCCTGGATTCCAGCAGTTCTCAGTTTCCTCTGGGAGAGAGTTTCCTCGCTGCCAAAGGGATCAGGCTGACCAATGAGGAGCTCGCCCTTCCTCTGCTGCCCCCATCCCGGGAGACATTCTTGGAGAAGTTTCTGAGTGGGAGCGACTATGCCATTCGATTGGCAGCTCAGTCTAGTGAGTGCCACACACTTCCGGTTTCTTGTTCCATCTCTTTGGGGGAAGCAAGAGCTTCAATCAGTTCCTCTTTGGTCATCTTTAGGACTTTCGTTTCCCCAGACCTGTGGGTTCCTGGGAAAGAAAAGGCAAAATCAAAATCATTTTTGTGATCCCATCCAAATGAAATGCTGCCCACTTCTCCAAGATGCTCCCACATCCTTCAGCAGAGCCGCTGTTGGTGGCGGGGGGCGGGTGGGCAGGGCTCCACACTTTGTATTGCAGATGGTGCCTGCAGCCCACCGCGAAGCCAAGTGTTCTTGTTAAAATGTGAGGGGCTCTTGTTAAAATGTTAAAGTGTGTGAGCCCCGAATGTTCATATGCCCCCATAGCCAGTTCTGAAGCTGTTTTCCATTTCCGTGGATTCAAGGACTCCCCCAACAGGGGAAAGGAAAGGAACCCTTAAGCACCTTCCTCCCATGCTCACATCGAATCCTGATGGCAACCCCAAAAGCATGCCTTGTTACCTGAAAATGACAGAGAAATGTCCTCTGAGCCCTGACGCTGCTCTGGCATAGTAACAATCCAACATTACTTGAAATGTACCCCTGGCCAGGGATCTACTGCGCTAAGGAGATTACCAGATCTCTGCATTTGATCCTCCAACTGTTCCATGAGAACAAGTCTAAATCACCACCTGTGGTTCTTTTCAAACGTGGAAACTAAGTTCAGTCACCCGCCCAAGTTCACCCAGGTAATAACTATCAGAGGCTGGACGTGATGCTGGTGTTTGGCGCGCAAGCCTCTGTCTCCCGCCCCACTGCTCCCTGGTGCGGCTGGGCTCCGAGCTGAGATCCGTCTCAACCCCGAGCCCCTGCTTTTCCCCCACCACCAGCAGCAGGGCCCCCTGTCCCTCCCAGTCCTCTCACTGACCCCACACCGACCCGGCAGGGACAGGCGATTCATCTCTCTCCGAGCGTACCCGAGCTCCCCACCCCGTGTCAAACAATCTCAGCTAATTCTGTCTGCGGTTCTCTGGGCTTGAGTCACAAAACAGCCAAGCAGTGCTCCCCGACAACATCTGTACCAAGACAAAGCCCCCACTCCCACGGGCCGAAGCCTCCCTGCGTTCCCGGTCCTGGTGTGTCTGCACCGCCTTGGGGCTCGGTTTTGCTTGTCTTTGCTCTCCTAACCCCATGTAAGCGAATCCCCCAGCGCCACCCTTGTTTCCGGCCTCTCCCACTCGCTGGCTGTCTCTTCAGGAGGACAAAGCACCCCGTCTTATTCATCTTTCTATCCTGGGGCTGGCATAGCGCCTGACAGATGGTGGGAGCCCAGGAAATGTGGCTTAAACATCCTTCTGTCTTCTTTCCTCCCCTTTCTCTCTCTTCTCTCTCCTTCCCTTCCCTCTCACCCAGGCACCTCTTTTCTCTGTTCCTTGCGGACTTGGAGATTCTGCTTTTGGCAAGAAACCAGTTGTTTTCAATGTTGCACGTGGGCAGGGTACGATGTAGCCAAAGAGAGGGGGAGGGGCTGATTCCCTTGAGTTGTGATGACATTTTCCTCAGAAGCCAGGCTGAGGAGGTTCCCCTCCATATGGCCACAGGCTTGGATTTGCATGTCTGAGGCCACTGGGGAAAAAAAGGAAGTGTCTATGGAGAAGGACCAGGGTTGCTCATTTTTCTTGGAATCCCTCTAGACGAGAAGAGGCGTCTCCACTGTGACAGGGGAGGGGCAGCTCTTCGTGGGCAGAATGCCAGGTCCTGGAAGGCCTGGGGATCGAAGACCCAGCACAAAAAGAGACTGAGGGTCTCAAATCATTTTTGTCCATCAGAGCACGGCAGCAGTGTCCCAGGGCCTAGCGGGGGTGAGGGAGGGGCGCAGGAGGAAGGGCCGTGCCCGGGGGGAGCTTGGGGCTTCAGAGCTCTTGATGTAAATATCACACGTACCCTATCAGGTAAACAGCAGGCCCATTTCATAGACGGGGAACCAGGCTCGGAGAGGTGCTCCTGGTCACACAGCTAAGAAGCCCCCAGACCAGGGTTCAGACTCCTGAGCCCTGTCCCCTGCACAGGCCACTCTGCAGGGGTCCGGGTCTCCTCACAGGGGTTCTGACTGCGGGCTGGTGTCCTGTCCTCTCGCCTCTGGGACCCGTGAAGCCCGACTCTGGAAGGGGGCGAGTTGGGAGACCCGCTCCTAGTGCGGCCGGGCTGCCCCAGATGCGGCCGTTCTCCCTGGGGACCCCTGGGGGGACGCTTAGGCTGTACCCCCCCACAACCCCCAGCCACCGGCCAGCCTGGAGAGGAGGTTGGAGGGAGACCTGGAGAAAAGCCTGCAAGGGTCCATGGCCACCTAGAGGATGGCGCAGGGGGCAAGTCAGACTGGGGAGGGCGAGCGGGGGGCCAGCCCGACTGGCCGCAACCCTCGCCCCGCCGTCCGCATGCATTTCTTCTTCTTTTGTTCCTTCCACTCAATAAATATGTCCTGAGAGCCTAGTAGGAGGCAGGCGCTGCTCTAGGTACAGAAGAACACACGTCCCTGCACCAAAGGACTTCAGTGCTAGATGGAAGACACAAACCTAAAACCTAAGTACAAAATCTAGTATGTCAGCGTGGAGACGGCTGTGAGGAAAAGGCGGGCAGGGCAGGGGGACGCGAGAGCTGAGGACGGGGAGCAGTCTGACCAGCAAGGTGGCCACCTGCATCTGTTTCCTCAGCTGAGGGTGAAAATTCAGATCAGATGAGATTCCATGACGAGCAAAGCTTCGAAGGGGTAAAGAACGAAGCTGTAAGAGGTGGGCACGGAAGGCAAGGGAGTGGTCTCCACTGACCTGTCCCTCCACTTCTGAGCTGAGCAAGCGGCTTAATCCACTGCTGCCTGAATTTTCTCATCTATTCAGTGGGATCATATTATCTCCCTTAGAGGGTTGTTGTGAAGATTCAGTTAATTAGAACCTGTGTTTAGGTCGGGCCTGGCACATAGTAAATGTACAGTAAATGTTATCAACTATCCCTGGTGTCCCAGGTGCCTGAAGGCACTTCAGTTTTCCTAACCAAGTCTAGATGGAAGATACTAAAGGAGGAACAATGATTCCTTCAAACTTCAGCCTACATTTTTATTTTTAAAGGACAATCTGGTGAGGGCCTACCCACTGTTCAAGGAACCTCTGTCCTATTTTGGGTGGGAACGTTTGTTTTAAATAGAAAGGACGCCTATATTGGTGGGCTTTGCCAGTCAGGCGCTCACATCCCTGCTTCTGTCTCCCGACTCCAGCCTTGGACTTCTACCGTGACTCCCCACGAGCATCCACCCTTCTGCCGTCTGGCCCCTATGTGCCCCAGTGTGACACGTTCGGAAGTTGGGAGCCGGTGCAGTGCCATGCCCAGACTGGTGAGGGGAGATGGGTGCCTTGGGGAGGCCAAGTGACACCCCTCCTTTTCATTTAGAGGAAAGAGCCTGGCAACGGGGGGGGGGGTGCAAGGGAGCTGGATTCTAGGCCCCTCTTAGGCAGCTGGTGGCAGTTCCCTTAGTTTCTCTGGCCTTTGGTTGTCCCATCTGTACAATGGGAGCAGTGACCTTCTTCCAGACTGAAGGTCAAGTAGGTGGTTGCTGATGGGGATCTGGGTGCTAAGAGCATGAATGATTGTGGACAGTAAGGACAGTGTTGGGGAGGGCAGACACACGGGGATGGGGTGGACAAGGGACCTTGCTAACAATGCCATGAATGTAAAGAGGGAAAGTTGTTTGCAGGACACTTGGGGTAAGCCCCTGGGCGCACTTCTGGAACTTGTGGCCATGGCTCTTTTCCAGGGCACTGCTGGTGTGTGGACGGGAAGGGAGAGTATGTGCCTGGCTCGCTGACTGCCCGTTCCCCCCAGGCCCCTCAATGTGAGTGAAGCCTGCGAGGCCCTGTCACCCGACCCGGCCTGGGGAGGCTCTGGGGAGGCCCTGGGGACCAGTCCCTCAGACCAGCCCCCAAGTGCAGCCAGATCATGTCCCCAAGTCCCCAGGCCTGGACAACTCTCCCTGACCTTGGACCTTCCCAGGTGGAGAGAAGCAGCTTGGGGTGGGGAAGGAGCCCCCGGTCCCTGCTACACATCTGCTCCCTGGACAGCTCATCCACTTCTGTGGTTTCAACAGCCTTCTCACACCTGTCCTATGGTCCAACCTCTCTCCTGTAGTCAAGCGATCATTTCATATTTCAGAAATGACATGTCCCACGTGGGTCTTTGTCTCTGAATCTCAGCCTGCTTCTTTGCTCTCTGTGCAGGGCAACTCCATCCACCAGATGGACACCTCTGACACTTGGGGCCAACCTGGGCTCCCCGCCCTCCCTGGGTGCCCACAGCCAGTCTGTTAAGAGCTCCTCTTCCTCCCCGACAGGCCCTACCACCTGTGAGAAATCTCGAGCCAGTGGGCTGCTTTCCAGTTGGAAACAGGCTGGCTCCCAAGTAAAACCATCTCCGGAAGACCTGTTCATCCCAGCCTGCTCAGAGGTAAGGCTCTGAAGGCCCAGGAAGTTTCACGGAGGGAAGCCAGAACCTCCTGGCTGATGATTTTTCTAGTTTTCAATATATCTGTTTTATTTGAAAGCTCACAGGGAGTTCTAGGCCTGGGTTCTTGTCTTAGCCCTGGCTGACCCTGGCTGTGTGACCTTGGGCAATTTACTTACCTTCTCTGTGCTTTGTATTATCCTAAGATCAGGCCGCATTTTATCCTCCCTAGTGCTAGCATTATTTCGCTTTGAGGCCCCAAGGAAATATCTTTCATGAAAATGCTTTGAAAAATAATCTACACAGATATTATTCCTAGAGTCACCTGGACATCATGTCTTGGTTTCTCAACATCAATCATAATATTTCCCTCCCCCGTTCCCTGGGTTGTTGTAGTAATTTAGTGCAGTGACCGATGTGAAAGGTCCTGGAGGAAGGATTCTTGCTGGAATCAACTGCTTATGTGCCAAGTGGTGGAAATCTGTGTGCCCCAGTCCCCTCTCCCTAAAGGAGGGATGATATAAATGCTACCTTCTGCTCTGCTGGGCTCCCCGGGCCTCTAGGAAAGGCAGATGAAGTCAGCAACGTAGAGGTTAGTGAAACTGCAGATTACTGAGCAAAAGGTCCCTGATTACTGCTCCTTATTATTATTATCGTTTGTTGCTGTGAACATGGACCCCCGATTATGACTGAGTTTTGTAGAGAAATTAGTGTATTTTGAATGAAATAGTCATTCATTTTGGCCGACAACCCCTACCACCAGACTGAAAGTCTGCGCCATCCTCCTGAGGGGTGATGTTTACCTGTGGAGAAGGACAAGTAGAAACCATGGCTCCGATGGAGGGAAAAGTGATTCAGAGCTGGTCCCAGAGCACCTCTGACTATGTGGTTTCCCAGCCTGGCTCCTGGAGGACCCAGATGCCAGGAAACAAGACGCAAGACTCCCACTGGCCACACTGGATGGCTGTGCCTTTGACCCAACTCCCCAAGAAAAGCCATGTTAATGGCTAGAATGTTCTCAACTTCAAGTCTTTCTCCCATATTTTCTCAAATCGTGGCTGGGGTTGAATCTTACCTGCGTAGCTTAAAGCCGTGCAACCAGGGGCACGTCGCCTGATTCCTCTGGGCCTCCTGGAATGGGAACAATAGACTTCCTCCCTTCCAGGGACTGACTGACCCCGGGTAGTGGGGGCTGACTCGCTCAGGGTGGCCTTCCTGGCTGTGTTCTCTGTAAATGGCAGGTGGTGTTGTGATGGTCATTTCTTGTCTGTGAACAAGGCACAGCAGAGTATAAGATGCACAAACGGCCAACAAAAGCTCTAGAAAACCCTCAGTGATGGTCAGGGCGCTTGAAGGAGCTGCTTCTCTGCAGGACACCTGCTCGTCCGCATGCTTTTCTGTTACAGATGTAGGAAGGTGACATTTTCTATGCTTGGGAGAGCCGAGAACGGTGCTCAAGGATCCATCTAGTCCCGCCTCCTTTTCCAAGACAGGGGACGAGGCCCAGAGGGCTGAGGGCTGGCCCGGTGTCTGGCGGCGGCCCTGGGACGGGCAAGGGCGAGACGGACCCTGGCCAGATGTGGGGCCTGGGCTCCTGCCGTGTCCTGTTTTCTTCATTCCCTGTGCAGGTGTCACAGACTCCCTTTCTCTGGCGGGTGTTTGTGGAAGGTCGTTGCTGGAGCTGGGGGGCTTGTTTCGAGAGACTGGCTGGGCTCTGGGGCTGGACGGGTGTAGCCCAGCCAGGGTCTGCCATTCCCCACCTTCGGGGTGTTGCTCTGTCGCTTTCCCCCTCTGAGTGAGCCTCAGTTTCTCCCACCCTAAAATGGGATAACTGTGGTTCTTATCTCATGGGGTTGTTATAACTGTCAATTCAAACAGTGTCTGTAGAGGGTCTGGAACAGGACTCCACCTGCCCACACCAGCCCCTCCATTTAGAGAAGCCATCCCCAGAAGTTTTGGAAAGAATATTCTTTGTTGTTGTTGTTGCTGCTACCATTTTTTTATTGAGTTACAGTCATTTTACAATGTTGTGTCAAACTCCAGTGTAGAGCATGATTTTTCAGTTACACAAGGAAGGAATATTCTTGACATCTGGTTACTGACCTACCAGTCACAAAAGCATCTTCCCTGGGTGACATGACCTCGGCTTTGTCTCAGACAGGAGAGTTTGCCAGGCTGCAGGCATCGCAGGGCGGCGTCTGGTGTGTGGACCCGGTCTCGGGACAGAGCATGCCGCCTGGCACGAACAGCAGTGCCCAGTGTGAGTATCACCTCCTACCTCTCCCATGAGCGCTGGGCGTGGAGTCCCAAGAGCTGGCTTCACGGCTCAGCTCTGTCTCTTCCAGAGCTGTGGATGCCTCTAACCTCACTGTGCCTTAGTTTTCTCATCTATGAAATAGCGACACTATTCCTCCACCCCCATGGGTTCTTGGTAGAAATACACACGGCAGGGAGGGGCACTGTGCTTTGTAAGCAAGAGGCTCAAACCAGTGCTGGTCCCTGTTAAAGGGGGTACAGGTGTTTTTGCGGGGGACCAGCGATACGACACTGATGCCACAACAGGCCCCTGCTTAGTCCCTTGGTCTCCAGCCTGGCCTTGCAACTTGATTTCCACCGTGAAATCAAGATGACGTCCCTTAAGTGCAAACGTGCTGATGTCCCTCTGTTGCCTGAAAACCAGGAACACTCCCCGTAGTTCCCAGCGCCAGGCCCAGGCTCCTTGCTGTGGCTCACGGGGCCCTGTCTGTCTTTTCTGTACCTTCTGTGGCTCCTCCTGTTTCTTCATGTCAACTTCAGGATCTCTTATGAACTATAGCTGCTCACTTACTTGTTGACCCGAGGGCAGGCAGTGTGTGTGTGTATGTGTGTGTGTGTGTGTGTGTGTGTATGGAGAGGGTGGGGGTGAGGCCCAGGCTTTGCCCTGTTCTAGCTCAACACCCCAGTGGGGAGGCAGCCCCAGACCCTGGGGGCCCTGCAGGCAGGTGACGGTGGGTGGCGGGTGGCGACAAGGGCCGGGCAGCTTGTGGGCCACAAGCGCATCTGGCTTGTCTTTGCGTCAAGGCCCGAGCCTCTGTGAAGTGCTCCAGAGTGGAGTCCCCTCCAGGAGAGCTGGCCCAGGCTACACCCCGGCCTGCAGGGCAGAGGATGGAGGCTTCTCCCCCGTGCAATGCAACCCAGGCCAGGGCAGCTGCTGGTGTGTCCTGGGCAGCGGAGAGGAGGTCCCCGGGACCCGCGTGGCCGGGAGCCAGCCAGCGTGTGAGAGTGAGTGGAGACGCCCTGGAGGGGCTCCCTGGGCGGAGGGCGTGGTGTTTATCTCTTCCTCCGCCCAGGCTGGGCAGGGGGTACTCCACAGGTGCCAGGACGGCGGGGCAGGAGGGGAGGCGAGGGAAGCGTGTGAGGGAGGTGGTGGCAGTTGGCTCTCATGACGTCGAAATGCTCCCGTGCTCCTCTCTGTGGGTGTCCAGTTAACTTCGGTTTCCCTACTTCTTCCTTTTCCCCTTCCTCCCTGACTGTGGAGGGCAGATGAGTCAACCATAGCGAGGGAGTCTGCATTTCCAGGGAACTAGGAGGAAGGTAGCGAGAAGGCAGGTGTGCTGGGCAGGGAGAGACACTGGTAAGAGAAGCTCACTTGTCTCAAAGCAGGAGTAGGAACCTGGCCTCGTCAGCCTCGGTGGCCTCGGCTGCAAATGGGGGCCTGGCTGCTGCTGTTGGAAGGCTTTTGCGGGCCCTCAGGCCCGGCGCTCCCGCATGAGAGCTGACGGTCCAGCTGCACTCTGGCTCCCCAGGTGTCCAGGACCTCCCCTCCCGTACTTGGTCCACCTTGGTGGTCACAAGTGCCAGGGATCTCTGTGGCCATCCTAGCAGTGGGACACAGCAGCTCAGAGACACTGGGGGCTGGGCAGGATCACGGGCTCAGCACAGAGGGGTGGAGTCCTCCCCTAGCCCGGCGGGCTTTCTGTGTGGCCCCAAGACGGCTGTCTAAGCCAGAAACAGAGCCAGGCCCAGGAGACGTCCGTGAGCCATTGTAACACCAAGTGTTGAGGGTTCTGCAGAAGGTATGCTGGAGGACGGGGAGCCCGGAAGAGGGGCACCCTCCCATCTCTGAACAGGACCAGACCAACGGGGAGCGTGGCCTTTCCCTGCTGGGGTCGTGGTTAGAGTCAAAGAACCTGCACTCACGTCCTGGCTCTGTCCCTCCAAGTCCTCAAACCTCAGTTTCTTTGTCTATGAAAAGGGATGGTAAAACCAGGGCTGCCTCCTTCACAGGGTTGTTTTGAGTGAGGTTCAGTTACATATTAACTGTGATAGAGTTTCACGTACTTTAAAATTCACAGTAAACGCCAGCTGTTATTTCTCCCGGAAGTTTACCCTAACAGTTCATCGAGTGCTCTTCCGTTGTTCGGAAAGGGTTAGTTCACACCCTAGAATTTCCAACCAGGAAATAATGCACCACTCTTGTTGTTGTTGTTAATAATAATAACGGTGATGATGACTGACATTAATGACCATTTATGGTCGGTCACTCCTCTGAGCTCTTCTTCACATGCCTCAACTCGTTCTGATTCACACCGTCCCTAGGAGGCAGGCCCTACTGCTATCCTCACCATGATGAGTGAGGAAATTGAAGCACAGAGACATTAAATCACTTGCTCTAGGGGCTCAACTGGTAAATGATTGAGCCGGGATTCAGAGCCCAGCAGGCTGGCCCCACAGCCCACAGGCTGACTCTCTCCACTCTCCCCCACAGACATCGCTCTTGGTCAAGGTCATCTCAGTAAGACCACTGCAAATCTCGTCCACAAGCTTTGCCAGAGGCCATCGTCCTTATTAGAAAGAAGCCCAGGCTGCATCCTGGAGATTAAAAGGGGTCATCCTCTATCTTTGAGGCCCCCAAGTACCCTTGGATCACATGCAGGTTGCAGATTTTAAAGCCAGACATATGCAAGCTGCAAGGATGTGCTCGAGAATCAGATAATTAACTAAGTCTCTAGCCAGGTGTGAAATTGTCACACCGAGGGTGTCTGTTCTTTACTTCACTCATCCACCTGCTTATTTAACACATACTCATGGAGCTTGTGTTCTGGGTCAGCACTGGGCTGCGGACTGAGTGAACAGAGAAAAGACATCCTCTTTCCCCCAGTCTCGGGGCTCAGTCCAGTGGGGAGCCCAGAATGCAGGGTCTATGCCAGGTGAATGGAGAGCTTGCAGGAAGGAGGCCTAAGGCAGCCTGGGGGAGCCACGGAAGGCGTTAGGAAATTATAGGGGTTGAGCTGATACCTGGGGATGAAAAAAGGAATCTTTGAGGCAGACGAGCAGGCAGAGGGAAGGGCATGGGCTGCGCGACCAGCTTGTGTTTGGGGAACGAATGTTCAGGGCAAAGCAGGGCTGGAGGAGGTGAGAGCAGGGAGAGGAAGTTGGGTCAGCAGGCACGCTGGGGACTCGAGAGCCGGTGTCCAGCCGCCACACAGTGTCTTTGCTGGCAGTGGGTCTGGATTGGACGTGGGAGCAGAAGGGCAGGGGATGAGGCCCCAGTGCAGGGGGCTGATGAGGAAGCTCTGCCAGCAGCTCAGGAGGATGACGGACGTCTGAATGGAGTGCAGTGAGAATGAAGAGCAGTCGAGGAGGTGTGAGGGCTGAGGGGGTGGGGTCGGCCAGGTTGGCCGCTGTGTTTCTGGCTCCGGACACCTGGGCGGCTGGAGGTGCCAGGCCTTGGGCTCGAGGAGCTGAAGCAGGAGCAGGTGTGGCAGCTGATGCTGAATCCAGGGCCTGCTGGCTTGGAGGTGGAGACCAGTTGGGACTCAGATTTAGAGATGGGAAGAAACTGGAGAGGGCCTGAGGTGGAGGTGAAGGCACACCAGACATCCTGCTCAGGTGTCCGCTGACACTGAGAGAGGAAGGCAGAGAGGGAGGAGGCCAGGCCCAGGCCAGGCGAGAAGGGGTGTGCGGTGGGAGGGCTGGCGCCTGGGCTGGGCAGAGGCCCCCAGCTGCCCTTCCCTCTCCTAGGCCCGCGGTGCCCGCTGCCCTTCAGCGCGACGGCTGTGGCTGGCGGGGCTGTCCTGTGCGAGCCAGCCCCGGGCCCCGGCGGGGCCAGCGAGCAGCGGTGCCGGCTACTGTGTCGCCAGGGCCACCGGAGTGTCTTCCCGCCAGAGCCGCTGGTGTGCAGCCCGGAGACCAGACGCTGGGAGTCACCGCCGCCTCAGCCCTGGGCCTGCCAGCGTGAGTGGCCTCGGGAAGGTCTGCCCGGCACCCTGTTCCCTCCCAGGGCCCAGGGCCAAGGCCTTCATCTTCCCCCGACCAGAGTGCAGTGTCTGTGAGAAGCCAGGTGGCTGCAAGAGCAGAGAGAGGGCCCGACGCAACACTCCCTTCTAGAGGGAGCAGACGGGCTTCCCAGACCCCAGGGTGAGGCTTTAGTGGCAGCTTCTCTGGAGAGATCCGCCCCCTATGAGGCCGCCTTCATTTTGGGCTCTCCTGGGATGTCTCGCACATAGAACTGAATCCAAGGAGAAGGTGCTCCAGTGGCCGCACTGGTCATTATGGTGTCATCAAGCTCAGAGCTGCTGATCCGACCTCTGGGAGTGACACCACCGCACCGGCCTCTCCCCAGGTCCACCTGGAGCTCCAGGGCTAACGCCTGGCAGAGCTCGGCTCGGACGCTGCTCCAGGGTGTGGCGTCTGTTCTGATCACTGTGGGCTGTGCCCTATTGAAAGATGGGCAGAATTCCTTTCTCCTCCTCTCACACTGAACCCACTTTCACACACACATGGCTGTGAGGCCACACCGGGCCCTGACTGCACCTGCCTTGGTCAAGGCCGGCCGTGCTTACTCACAGGGGCAGGGCAGGGGCGGACGCTGGGACCAGGGCTGGGTCCACCCAGGGCAATGGGAGGGGCATTCAGGAGAGAGACCCGGACCCTAGGACTGACCGTCACAAGGCTCTGGGCGGTTGGTAGTGGGGGAAAGGAGAATATTTGTCACAAAACATTCTGACTAGAGAATGCTATCCAGAAAAAGTTCAAAATGTGGCCTGGACAAATAAGGGTCCTACCTGCCTGATGATGACAAGAGTGACTTGAGCTGAAATCAAGACCAGGCAGGTCACGATTGGATCTAGAGCAAGGGACTTGAGAGAAAAGAGGCACAGGTCCTGAGCTCCTAAAGTGGAGTGCACGGCTGCTGCAGATGACTGTGCAGGCTGTGCACTGAACAGCCTGAGAGTAAGCCCTTCACACAGGCTATGGTGTCTACTCTTAACTGGCAAAACCATGATGTGTAGTGGCCCTGTGTGAACATGATAGTACAGGAGATTTTCCAAGAAGCAAGTCCAGGACCCCACAGAAATGTAAAGCAGGCTGGTTTAGAGGCTGATGCAGGACTGAGGTCATTGTGAGGGTGCAGAGTAATTTCAGAGACAAGCTGTCATACTGGGACGTATTTAGACGCAGAGGATGACGAACAAGGTGGCAGCACTTGTGTGCTCCAAGCTAAATGAAGAAGGGGTTATTGTTGCAGAGGAAAAGCCAAGGAAAGAAAAGAAAAAAATCCCACAGCCCCTTTCGCCTCCGTCTGCAGGGCCCCAGCTGTGGCAGACCGTCCAGGTGCAAGGGCAGCTCCAGCTCCAGCTCCCGCCGGGCAAGGTGTGCAGCGCCGACTACGCGGGCTTGCTGCCGACTTTTGAGATCTTCATCCTGGACGAGCTCACAGCCCGCGGCTTCTGTCAGATGCAGGTGTGTGCCTGCCCCTCCCCACCAGCGGGGGCTTGGGCGGAACTCAGGGTCACTGGGTCAGAGAAGCCCAGAGCTGAAATGAATCAATAGTTCAAACCTCGGTTATTTTCCCGATGGGCAAACTGAGAAGGTAATTCAGACAAGGCTAATTACACAGAGGCCAAGGTGAAGTCAGTGTCCATCTCATCATTGGCCATTCTTTCTGCACAAAGATATCAAACCAGATGTGCACTGAGCACTTAGACTGTGCGTCCGATGGCATAGATTAGCTGGTGCAGTCCTCTCGCGGACCCTATTATTATCACTGTTTTGTTACTGGAGACTCCACATAATTGTCCAGAGTCACACAACTGGGAAGGGGTAGAGCCAGGCCGGCTGATGTGACGCCAGGATGCTCTCACTGACTCACTGTGCTGGGGACGTTCCTTGACCTGTGAGGAGGCGTTGCAGATCTGCCGTGGAAGGACATGTTCCAGGCCAGCTGGAGAGATGTAGTTCCCTGAGGGTTTTTAGCTGTGCGATAGGCAAGGGCTTTGGTGATCTGAAGTCCCGAATACTCACAGAGGGAATGTTTAAAAGTCACTTAAATAACTGCTTGTTCTGCTCAAAATTTGCTGATGTATCAGAGAAACTAATTTTTAGCAGCTCACGTCAAGAATTTTGGGGAACACACAGTTTCACAAAACCAGATACAAAGAATATTGATTTTTTTTTAAAAGAGAAACATCTTGCCCCCTGTTATCTAAAGAAATGTACTCGACGGCGACAGTTTTAGCAACAGATCAGGTATCCGCCTTTCTGTCAATTATCGAACACTAGTTGTATTTCTGGTGCTGCGCTGTGCTGGAAATTCTAGTCCTTACCTCTGATTCTTACAGCCCCCTGTTCAGTGGGTACCATTAGCCCTCAGTTTGTAAGTGAATTAACTAAAGTCCATGGACGGTAAGTAAGTGGCCCAAGATTTTTATGCCACTGAGTAAGTCTAGACTCTTCTATGACACCAAATTTGTTCATGCTTTCATTCATTCTTTCCTTCCTTCATTCTTGCATTTAACAAGTGTTTGAGGACAGGCCAGGTATGTATGGTTTTCAGCACTGAGGACTGTCAGAGATAAACAGAGTGGGACACTAGTTCAGGAGGTCAGGACGGATTTTAATCGGTAATATACTGATCCTCGGCAGTTCCTCAGACTCTCTAAAGCTAATTCAGTCTGTGGCGTGGGATAATGATCACTCTGACTCCACAGGTCTGTTTTGGAGACAAAACTAGCTAATATGTTTGAAGCACTTCACACAGGGCCTGAATAACAGAGGGTGTTCAAAAATTGTGCATGGTGCCTTCTGAGAGTGCTCAGTGCCTGGTACCCAGCAGCTCTTATCCAGTGACAATGACCTGAACACCCACATCCCCGACTCACCTGCATCCTGGGTGGAGAGGGGTGCGTGGCATACAGCAGGCTCTTGGGGCCAGTCTGTGGCATGACCTGTCACGTTGGGTGGCCTCCTGAAGCCCAGGGTGCGGGTGCAGACCACTGCCTGTCTTGAAAGGGCGTTGTCCAGACCCTGAACGAGGTGGTCAAGGTCTCTTGTGCTGCAGGCTGAGGGCCGGGCCCAGATGGACTCTGGATCGTGGGCTGGACAAATGCCTTGACTTTTCCTCCCAAGAACCTTTCCTGTCACAATTCCAGAGCTCTCATCACCCCTGGATGCCCAGGCTTCTGATAACCTAAAACCCGCTGGGGCTTGCTACAGAAGCTCTTGGGATGTTGCCTTTGAAAGAGGCACGGTGAGGCTTGTGTTGAACCTCGGTCCCTGTCGGCACTGGCCTCAGGCTAACCAGGCCCCACCACAGTCCCTCCACTCATCCTGCCCTGCGGGGACCTCGAGTCACAGACTTCCAGGGGGCACAGGTGGTTTGTGCTCGAATTGGGAGGAGAAGCCAGGCCGGGTGGTCAAAACGGAGGAACCAGTGGGTGCTTCCCAGGAGGGCGGGGTGTGTCCTGCGGAGGTGGGTGTTCTGAGGACATGGGCAGAGTTGGCAGACTGAAACACGGCCCCATGAATTCGGAGTGTTTGAGCTTTCGAAGCACAGAGCTTGGCTCTTACTCCGCTGGCACCCCTCTGCCAGCTTTGTGACCAGGGCAGGTAGTTCAGCCTCTCTGAACCTGGGACACTATTTTCCAGCTCTCTCAAGGCTGCATCCTTGACAACCGCCCCCAGCTGGGGTAAGGGGTGGGCGGGGTCAGAGCAGACCTTCCAAAGTCGGGGGAGGAGCGCGGAGCCTCTGACTGCCCGAGGCCAGCGCCCGGGTCAACGGGCGGTCTCGTCCGCTCTGTGACCTCCTCCTCCAACCGCAACAGAAGCCACTTTTGGCGCCTGGTGTGGGCTCAGCAGCTCTGGCTCCCCACTCCATGTTCTTGAACTGAAGGTGCCCGTCTCTGTGCAGGTGAAGACATCCGGGACCCCCGTGTCTGTCCCCGTCTGCGGCGACTCCGCGGTGCAGGTGGAGTGTCTGAGCCGGGAGCGTTTAGGAGCCAACATCACATGGACATTGCGGCTTGAGGACGTCCCGGCCGCCTCTCTCCCGGATCTGCGTGACGTTGGTATGTTTTCCCGCGCTGCTGGGCTTGAAGAAGCAGCGCAGACTCGCTGAGTCTCTGTCCCCATCCATCGGATGGAGCCACTAAGCCCGAATTCCCTTCCTCTGGGACCCCGGCGAGGGCAGCGTGTGCCTGGCCCATGGGAGGAGCTGGTGGCTCCAAAGCACGTAACAAGCAGCAGAGAGCCTAATCGTGTCACCTGACTGTGCGTTTGTGAACATTTTCTGCTTCTTCTCTTGGTTTTCTGGGCACAGAGGAGGGAGACGGTGTGAAGGCGGCGAGAGCGGGGTGGGGAGAGGCGGTCTCTGTTGGTTTTTAATTATGTCCTGCCTCCCTCCTGTGAGAGACTTCCCAGACCACCTATGCTATTTACATTCGTTATTACGCTGTTTATAACAAGCCGGTGAGGAGATGGATGAGCAGAGAGACCGGGAAGGTCTAAGAAGGGGCAGCAGACTGGACGTCGTGCTCGTTTGTTGCTCTGAGCCAGGCTGGCGCATGGTCAGGGATTTCTGACCAGAGGGCGGGAGCAGCTGCACTTTCTCTCCCACCATCCAGGGGCCAAACGCCCAGGGTCAGGGCTGGCGGGAGCTTGACCTCTGTTCTATGTGGGGGAACTTCTGGAAAACGCCTGAGTTTTAATTACCCGGGAGGCAGACTGCATCTCCGCCATTCTACAGTCCTTGTGACAATGAGTACCCCCCAACCATAGCATGATGAGTTAGGGGTCCCCTTCTCTTTTCCTCTGTAAAGTGCCTGCAGGCTGTGGGTATGTTTGAAGCTGCAGAATGATGCGATGTGTATGCCTGGCGTGCACGGCTTCAGGCTGGCTTTGCAGCAGACCACTGCGATGTGAGTGCCCCTCGTGTGCTGGGGTCCATGCCAGCTCCGGCCGTGCTCACTCATCTGCCTTCCTCCTGGGAAATGCTCGTAGTTGGACAGCTGGGTTCCCAGCATTTAGCTGAATGCCGAGGATGGAGGCTCTGCCTTCCCATTGACCGGCCCCATCACATTCTCTCTTGTAATCCCCACCAACTGCATAAGGGGCATTCCCAGCCCCATTTTTCAGATGGGGAAACTGAGGTTCAGAGAGGGTGGCTTGGCAAAGGTTGAGACCATCGTGTATCTGGAGAGTGCACCTTAGGTGAGTGTCTGAAGTCATGACATCTATGCTAATGGGGATCACACTGCCGCCACAGAAATGACAGGAGCCAGAGACCTGGGTTGGAGTCCTGGTCATGCTTCTGTCTCCTGTGTGACTTTATGTCAATCAACCCCCTTCTCTGGGCCTCAGATTCTCCCTCTGCAAAATGAGACACTGGGTAAAGCCTGTGTCTCCTTTCTCTGGGGATGCTCTGGGCGGCTCTGCCCCTGGGTCCTCCCCAATCCTTGCCCCAGTGAGGTAACACTCCTGCCTCATCCTGTGTCTTGCAGAGGAGGCCTTAGTGGGCGAGGATCTCATTGGGCGCTTTGCAGATCTGGTCCAAAGTGGAACATTCCAGCTTCAGGTGGACTCCAAGACATTCCAAGCAGACACCTCCATCCGCTTCCTCCAAGGGGACCACTTCGGCACCTCTCCCAGGACACGATTTGGGTGCTTGGAAGGATTCCGCCAAGTCTCGGCCACCAGCAACGCCAGTCAGGACCCACTGGGGTGCGGTAGGTCCTCCTCTCTCCCTAGACTGCTGCTACTGAGCCACTTGAGGTGGCGGGAAAGGCCACCAGAGCTCTGAGAGAGGTTCTTTTGATGTGCAGAGTGGCCAATCATTCATTTATTTGTTCAACAAAGTTTTTTCAATTGTCCTTTATGTGTGGGCATATAGTTATCCATTAAGTAGTAGCTGTCAGCAGAGGCGACAGGACAGAAGGAAGGTTTAGAGCTGTCCTTCTGTTGGTCCTTGACTGGCTTGGACCCCGTGGCTCGGGCAGAAGTCTTTGTGGAGGAGGCTGACATCCACCCGTGTGCTCTGGGACGTTTCTCAGCCTGGTGACAGTGAAACATTACTCACAGCCATCCCCAGATGACCATCGATCAGCCCAGGGCACCACGGCTCAGGGGAAGTGATTCCTGGTGGAGGTTTACAGGGTGGTTCTTGGCTTTACACGTGAGCAGCCTTGGAGCCACTTTCACTAGACGGCAGCTGCCGTTCCTTGAATGGAAGCTGAATGAGCTTCCTGTTGCCGCCCTAACAAATCGCCACAAACTTGGTGGTTCAAAACAATGCAGATTTATTATTTTGCAGTTCACTGGGCTTGGATTCTCATATGGGTCTCACTGGACTCAGATCAAGGGGTCCGCAGGGCTGCATTCCTAGCAGAGGCCCTGGGACGGGACCAGTTTCCTTGATTTTTCCGGCTTCTGGATCTTGCCCACATTTCTTGGCTTGTGGCTTCCTTCCTTCATCTTCAAAGCCGGCAACACTGTAGCTCCCTGGCCAGCCTTCTGCAGTCACAGCGCCCTCGGACGCTGTCTTTCCCTCCTGAGGACCCTCGTGATGACACGTAGCTGGACAATCCAGGCCACTCTCCCTATTTTAAGGTCAGTTGATTAGCGACCTTAATTCCATCTGCAACCTTAGCATCCCTTTGCCACGTGACCTCACGTATTTACAGGTCCCAGGGACTAGGACGCGGACATCTTTGAGGGCCTTTGTCCTCTCTACTCCTGATGCAGAGTCTTCCTCCCACGTGGCAGGAGACAGAGGCACTGTTATTGAGCTGAAGAGAGAGAAGACATCTCCTAGTTATTTATTTTTCCACTATTTATATTGGTTGCAACACAAAAACTACAAGGCCTTTCCTTTCATGAAATCCACGCCAAGTTCTAAACCCCACACTGGATTTCAGATGCAGCTGGATCTTAACATAGAAATCAGGGACACAGCTGCTTCTCACTAACATTTAGAGAGGATTCTGCAGTTTACGACACACCTTCGTGAATACTTTGCTCCCACAACAGCCCTCGGTGGCAGTTTGACAGGTGGAGAGGTTGAGGCTCAGATGATATGAGGTCACGCATCGTAGTGGCCAGAGCAGGGCTGACTCAGAGGAGGGACTCTGGTTCACAAAACCAGTTGTCTGTGAATGAGTCACCATGGGTCCTCTGGGACCGGAGCTCACGTTCCTTCCACCTCCCCAGAGCTGCCCAAACAAAGAGAACATGAAGCGGGAGCAGGTGCGGATGGTGCCAGGGTGGGTGGAACAGGGTCACAGCAATGGAGGTGTTTGGAACCCCTGCTGCTGTGTCCTCAGACTTGCTGTGAAGACCCCAGGCTGCAGGGCCAAAGGCTCAGAGAGGGTAGGATGTGATAGTGTGTGTGCATGTGTGTGTGCATGCGTGTGTGTGCATGTGTGTGTGTGTGTGCATGCGTGCACACATGTGTGTGTGTATTGGGAGCAGTGGAGGCCAGGAGCCTGCTTTTATAGTCGCCCCAGGAAGTGTTGATGAGGGGATCTGGAGCCCCATTCAGAGGCTCCCTGACACCAGGTTCCCCGTCTGGAGCACTGAGCCAAGAGCAGCAGTGGCAGGAGACGGGAGAGGTACCAGTCAGAGAGCCTGGGCTGGCTCTGTGCCTTTAAACAAGCCCTCTTGCCTCTCAGGGCCCTGTTTCCTGCATATAAAGTAAAGGAGGTGGACTAGGTCCTAGGTTCCTTCCAGGGAACTCGGCTGATTACTGGATGACTGTTTCCTGTCTACTGGGACGGCAGTCCAGCTCGCCTGGGAGGTGGGAGGGGGCTCTGGGCTGGAGCACAGATAGACTTGTCTGAAGGGTGCTGACCAGCGGGGGCGCTGGGAATCAGAGCCGGGCCTCAGGCAGACAGGGCTTCAGAGAGGGGGGGAGCCCGGGGTGGGCCTGGGGGCTCTGCTCTGCCAGTCCTAGCTCTGCCCACACCTGCGTTCTGTTCTCCGGCTGCTGCAGCTTTTTACCATTTCTCAAAGAACTGCCCATCACACCATTCAGCTCCACCCCCTCACCCCAAATGGTTAGAAAGGTCCAGAAAGGATCTCACAAAAGCAGCACCGAAAGCCCTGGGTTTTCTCCAATATGCAAGCTACTATCCATCCATTACTGAGTTTCTGCACAGCTCTGGTCCAGACACCCAGGTGTTTTTAATCCGTGGTGTAGACGAAGCAGCCAGAAGCACACAGTTAAGAGTGTTAGGAAACACGTCATGTGGACCTGGGTGCGAGTACTGGCTCCAGCACCTCCTGAATGTGGGTTCTTGGGACATTCCCGTCTTCACCAGCTGTAATCTGGAAAATAGGGACAGTGATACCTACCTGGTGGGGGGCGTGACTCATGTAGCAGAATATAATCGATGCAAAACTCGTCTTCGCATCCGGTGAACCTTCAACAAGTGGTTTTGTCATTAATTGGCCACGTGAAACTTCAGCTCAGCTCTGCTGGGTCCGAATTCTCTGTTCCATCTGCTGCATCACAAAGCTCGCTTCTCAGCAAGGGCGCTCTCGGCGAAGTCGCACCCTCGGCTGCCTTGCGTCTGTTCTCCCTGGTGCTTACTCCTGCAGAAGCACATCTGGAACACAGCTGCGAGGCTACAAGCAGAGCATTGTTCTGCGGAGATGAAACAGGGTTTCTGTGTGTCATCTTGGGGGGCTAATCTGGATGGTCCCCTGGTGGGGGAGTGACTCAGGGGGATGGGTGGGAAGGTCGGCCCCCCAGGATGCACGCAGCACGGCCGCCTTGGTCTGGGGGGAGCACGCTGCCGGCGGTGGAGGCTTGGTTTGCACTCTGATGGGGTCAGAAATGTGCACCCTCTTGCCTCAAGTCCAGCCATATGGCTTCACCTTGGAATTACCTGCTCGCAGCCTTCATACCAGCTTGGCTCATTAAGGAGAATCCCAGAGAAATTGTCTAGATTTTCCATGTCCACTCTGGACAACACTCACCTCCACTCGTTCACTCCAAGTTCTTATAATTCTCTACGGAGTTTTACTGAAGTAATATGTTACATCTCGCTTCCTTCCTCCTTCTTTTCTACTTTCCTTTCTTCCTTCTCCCTTCCTTCTTTCTTTCCATTCATGCATCTATCCATGCATGCATGCATTGCATCCATCCATCTCTCCTTCTATCCATCCATGCATCCATCCATCCACACTTTCAAAATATAATTATGTGTAAACAGCAGGTTACATACTCAGGGAAGGAAAAGTCATAGCTCCGCTTTCAAGGAACTCAGTCTAGTTGAGGAGAGAGGTAGGTGAAAAGACAGCTAAAACATGTGAAAAGCCCTTTGCATCCCAGTCAGGACTGTCAGGGAGGGCTTGCGAGGGTAGCAGAAGGCATGAAGTCTTAAAGGTGAGTCGGAATTGCTTCTTGGACAAGAGCAGACAAGACGTGGGGGTGTGTGTGTGTGTATGTATTTGTGTGCTTGCGAGTGCCTGTATAGACATGTGTGTGTGTGCCCCTATGTTGAGGGTGCTCAAGTGATGAAGGACGTTCCAGAAATGGAGACCACTGCAGAAGCAGGGAGTCATGAGGTGGTGTGGCTTTATGGGGACAGTGCCCGTGGTTTGTATGGCTGGGGCATGGGGTGTGTGGGGAACGTGGCAGGAGATGGGGCCAGACAGATAGGCAGGGACTGGCGTGGGGGAAGCCTGGGGACACAGCGAGGGTCTTGCTTGGGCGGGGTCACCGTGGGAGAATTTTAAGGTGGAGAGTGACAGGGCAGGGTGGCGCTGAGTGACCCAGGCAGAGCAGTGAAGGACTGTTTTGCTTCCTCGTAGGTGTTCTTTTCCTGTGGCTGTCATTGTCTGGGGACCATGGGAACGGGCTGGCGGGAGGGGTGGCCTAACCTAACCCCAAAGCCTTGAGAGACTCTCAAACTCAAATAGGCCAGATCGTCTCATTCTACAAAGGAGGAAGTGGAGGCCCTCAGGGGTCTGCCGGTGATGTCCAGGGAGGGGCGTAACTGAAGGATGCCCACCTGCTGTTGCAGGGGACTCGGGGTCTTCAGAGGACCCTCCTGCTGGGGGAAGGGGCCGGTCATGGGCCGCTTCCTCGCTGTGATGTAAACAAGGGTTCCGCGGGTGAAAAGACTCGATGTCAGAGACAGCGAGAGACAGCAGGCACGTTCCTTGAGCGTTGTCCAGGGGCCTGGAGCGGACGGCAGCGAGGTCAGGCCCCAGCTCTCTTCTTTCTGCACCTCGCCCTGCACCTCGGGTTCAGTGGCGGCCACTCAGACTGGCTGGAAAGGTTTTGTTTTTCTATAGCAATGCATTTGGAGACTACGTTAAAAAAAAACAGCTCCAGTACTGAGGTAAAAATACTAGAGATGATCAACAGTGTGACTCATAAAAGTAATGAAACCCCGCTCTCTGAGCGAGGGCGTTCATCTGCAGGGCAGACCGGAAAACACACCGCTCAGTTTCCAAGCTGTGCCTGGAGTTTCTGATTGAGTCAGAAAGGCCGCGCGTGTATGTGCACCAGAGGGAGTCGCTCAGATCGACGCTGGCTCCTTTCTAGCACGTCCCCCACCTTGGTGCTGCTTCTTTGTCAAAGGAAGGTGGTTGAATTGGTGGGTGGTGAAAAGGCTTTGGTTTGGAGACAATGGGGCTCAAATCCCACCCCATCACCTCGCCTCCTGGTCGACCTTGACCGTCAGTTTTCTCCTGTCCAGTGTGGGGATGATGCCTTTCCCGTACAGTGGGGTGGTGACATTGAAACACCTGGCACTGGGCTTGGCATGTTCTGTAATTTTACCTCCCCACTGCCCTTTGCACAAGAGTGTGCCAATGCATCATGTGTGCATGTCCCGAGGCTCAGCTTTGCCATCTGTGAAATGGGGATAAAACACCAACTCATGGATGTGCTGCAGGGACGTGCATGCAGTACACAGAGGAGGGCCAGGCATGAAGGAAGTGTTCCCAAGAGTGGGCATGCTTTCATCTCCCACCCTCACCGGGTAACAGCTCACTTCTTCTGGAAGCTATCTGTGAAACTCTCGGGAATACAGCCCTGAACCAAGAACGAAAGCAAAGAACCTCCTCTTGTCACCCCCTCCCCTGAGCTGTCAGCATCAGCGCCACCACGTTCATGCCCTGTGCTCAGGGCAGAGCTCTTCAACTCCAGCTGAGACCCCTCGTGAGACATGCATCTGTCCAGGTTGGGTTTCCAGCTTCTTAGCTCATATCCTATCAGAGGAAGCAAACTTGGAAGGACCAGGAGTGTTAGAGTCAGAGGGACAGAAAGCACTGAGAATCTGCAGGTTAACTGGGGAGGGCGAATGAGGTGGGTGAGGCAGCCAGGGTGCAAGATGTGAGGAGGACCTCACCCTCAGGGTCACACTTGGTATTTCTGAGTAAATCAGAAACACAACAATCTGCCAGTGAGGGCCTCTATAAGCCTTGGCCCCAGCCATCTCACCCGCCCCTCTGGAGCCCCAGGTCTGAGCAACGCTGTTAAAGACCCACCAACAGCGAGAGCTCACAGGAGCCAAGGGAGATGGGGCTGCATTGTTGAGGTTGCCCTGTGGAGCAAGGGCACCTGCTCAGAAAGAGGAGGTGTCGAGATGGGCTGCAAGGAAGGATTCCCTCAAGGGTAAAAACGATTACCATCTGTAAGCACACGGGGGTCTGGCATTATAATACGTGCTTCCTGTGCCACATCACTACACGCCAACGAGATATTATTAACCCAATTTTACAGGGGAGGACGTGGAGCCTCAGAGAAGACCGAAGTCAGTTAGGCATAGCGTGGAGAGGGTCTTCACCCAGTTTTCAACCACAAAGTTGGCACCCCCCCAACTGAGCGCCATCACGTTTCCATGGCAACCTGTGGATGGACCCTCATCTTTCAAGATGTTCTCCAACTTCCTCCCATGACATCCTTCCCTTTGTCTACTAAGTCGCCAGCTTTGTTTGGCGTCTTTCTTTCCATTCCTTGAAGAATCCAAACTCGTTCCTACCTCAAGAATTTTGCTCTTGCTGTTCCGTCTGCCTGGAATTCTCTTCTCCTGGGTCTTTGCCTGGGGTTCTCCTCACCAGTCAAGTCTCGTGAACCTCCTCCCACAGGGGCCTTCCTCACGAACATGCCCTCCTCTCATGCTTCATTTTACCCAGATCGGGAATCCCTGTCGGGCACCCTCTGATCTTACCAGCCTGCAAGCTCCTGGGGGGGGGCAGGAACCTCATCTCCCTTCTTCACAGCTCATTCTGGACTCCTGGAGCCTGACACACAGCAGAGTCTCCATGGGCACTTGTTAAATGAATGGGCTCTTGTCTGATTTTGGAATTTCCCAGACCCTGCGGGTTCTGAGGTTGTAACTGTGAAGCATGCGTCTTGCTCTCTGACACCGTTGCTCTGCTCGTCCTTTCTAGTGAAGTGTCCTGAAGGAAGCTATTTCCAGAATGAGCAGTGCATCCCCTGTCCTGCTGGATTCTACCAAGAACAGACAGGTAGCCTGGCCTGTGTGCCCTGTCCTGCGGGCAGAACGACCGTTTCCGTCGGAGCTTTCAGCCAGACTCACTGTAAGTTCTACGGGGTCCTGCTTTGAGAGAAAAACCCTACAATGCCATGGGGACACAGCAGGGTGTCTCAACCTTGGTACCACTGCAATTTGGGGACCGATAATTCTTCCTTTTTTGAGGGCTGTCCCTTGAATGATAGGATATTTGCTTATATAGCAGTGTCATTGATCCTTGCCTGTGAGATGCCAGTAGCACCCTCCATCCCCAACACACACACCAAATTGTGCCAGCCAGGCACATCTCCAGACAATGCCAAGTCTGTCTTGGGTTGGGGGCAAAAGTGCCCGCCATTGAGAATCTTTGGGTACACAGCATAATCATCAAAGGGGCCCCACCTGTGACCACCTAGGCCCTGCCAGGATCTAGGCCAGACATTTCACCTGTGTTGTTATATTCAGTTCTCCCAACTCCCCTTCTGGGTAAACATTATGAGCTCAACGTTGACATATAAGAATGCTCAGGCTCAGGAAGAAATGTAGCTAAAGTCACTCAGCTACTGAGTGACCGAGCTGGCCTTTGATCTTGGTACTGTCTGATTCTGAAACTTCTGAGTTTTGTAATCAGCGTTATCAGATCGAGAAGTGGGGGATATTTTCCGCCTGCAGGCATGTTACCACTGTGTAGCTCATATTCCCCTTCTGGCCCTATGACTCTGCCAGGTCCGTGTGTACGTGTGGCCTTCCCGTATGTCATGTGATTTCACTTGGCCCATGGACTGAATAGTCACCTGGGGAGTGTTGGGTTTTCCCTAGCAGGGACCCATACCTTGCTTTGTCACACACCTTTTCATGTTAGTCTGAAATTATGTCAGCACAAGGCAACCGTTATTTGCTTAAAATCTGAATATCATTTAGAATTTTAAAATAATCAGTTGAAAGAGATCAAGGCACCTTCTGTGATAAAGGCAGTTTCCTTGGTCAGGAGAGCAGTTGGAAATAGGGTGGTATTTCCCATGGAAGTAAAACTCAGAGGGATTTCATAGGCTGAGAGTCAGGCATACCAGCTGGAGAGTAAACTTCCCCAGGAACACAGACTGTCCTTGACATCCAAGTGTCATTGTCAGTTCACAGATGTTGGCGCCAGTCACTGTGGTCTGAGATGATTTGAGGGGCTATCACACTGCCCGAGGGACATACAGGAGTGGGTGCTGCAGGGGACAGAGGGGGAGCTGGGGCTTGGCACCACCCAGACCCATTTCCACCCCCAGTCTCCCTCCTACTGGCACTGTGACTGAGGCCAAGTCACCTTCCTTCTCTAAATGTCAACTTCCTCATCTATTAGCTGGGAACCATGACACCTCATTCACTGGGTGGTCATAAAGCATGTCACTTCAGGCTGCTACATACAAATGATCATAGTCTGGGTGGCTTCAATGACAAAGGTTTATTTCTCATGGTTCTAGAGGCTGGAAGTTCCAGGTGAGGGCCCTCTTCCTGGTTATGGCAAGACGTGGCCTTTCCTTGGTCCTTATACGCAGAGTGAGAGATCCTCTGTGCTTTCCTCTTATTATAAGGGCACTAATCCCATCATGGGGGCCCCACCCTCGTGACCTCATTTAAACCTAATCAGTTCGCAAGGGTTCTGCCTCCAGATACCATCACATGGTGGCAGGGAGGTTAGGACTTCAATATGTTAATTTGAGGGGGACACAAATATTCAGCCCATAGCAATGTGGTATCTATTAAAGTTTTTAATATGAACCACAAGGCTTCATCTCCATCTCACTTTTTGGGTGAGCTTGGACTGCATTTCCATGCAGTAGTGGAGGTCTGTCACATCATTATCACTCCCCTAGACGTCATGAGTAAGAGAACGGATTTCAGTGAATGGCTCTCCAGGGTCAGGGGTGGAATCTATGCTAAGGTCTGTTCATATCTAAGAACGTCTCCATGACCCATTAACCCTGCCGTTCTGCCTGTTGTGTTATCTGGTCTGTGTTCTTAGATGGAAGCGTACTGAAGAGAGCCTCAGGGCGCTCCCCGAGGCACGTCATTGATCACTGTGTCCATCTCTTGGTTCCAGGTGTCACTGAGTGTCAGAGGAATGAAGCAGGCCTGCAGTGTGACCAGGACGGCCAGTACCGAGCCAGCCAGAGGGACAGGGACAGCGGGAAGGCCTTCTGCGTGGATGGCGAGGGGCAGAGGCTGCCGTGGTCCGAAACCGAGGCCCCGTTGGCGGATGCCCAGTGTCTGAGTATGTGCAGGCCGTTAAGTCAGTCACTGCTGGGGGCACAGCATATGGCCTCAAGGGCTTTCTAGAAAGGGAGAGGCGTGTGAGATGCATTTACCCCCAGCTTTTTATGTCGGAAACTTTAGCCTATGTAGGAGTTGAAAGAACAGTTGGATGAACAAATACTCGTCACTCAGATCCAAACATTGTTAGTGTTTTGCTCTTCCTCTCTCTCTTTTAATCATTGGAACATATATTTCAGACGTCATGAAACCTCACCCCTAAGTATCTCAGCATCATGAGAAATGCGTTTAAAAATCATTGATCTGCTGAGGTTTCCTTTCTTGTGGGCAGCTCGCCTCCGAAAAGCTGGTTAGCATTTCTCCCTCAGTGGGATGTTGGGGGAAGACCCAAGGACCAGCCCTTCTTCCATAACTTACTTGCTGAGCGACCCAGAGCAAATCGCTCACCTTCTCTGATCCCAGCAGCCTCCTGCTTGGCTCCCAAGACACCATGAGGGTCAGTATCATCTATGAAGTTGGCAGACATTCACTGAGCCCAGCTCTTCAATGACATAATGGGTGCGACAGTCCTGAGTGAACTGACAAGTGTCCCACAGCACGAGGTGCGGTGGGAACTAGTTTAATCCCAGTGGCACCCTTGACTGGTTGTGTAGTGCTGGACAAGTTACTTACCACCCACAGTTTCCCCATCTGTAAAATGGGGATAATGAGTGCATTAGCAAGGACCTGAGTGAAAGAGGTAATAGATGTTTCAGATGGATTAGAGGACCCAGAAATACCAGGTGTCTCGTTTCCTCTTCTGTTACACAAGGAGCAGGCTGAGACGATCTGCAGGTCCCCTTCGCTCTGACCTCCTCGAAGTCCCCAGGACTCGGCTCCACCTTTCCCCACAGCCCCCTCCCGCTGCTCTAGAGCCTGGGGCCACCTTTGCACCCCAGACCTGGGCTTCCAGTGTGGCAGGCCCCGGGCCAGGCCTTTCTCAGAGTCAATCACCTATAAACTTGGCCATGACTTTGAGGAGGGGGTTATTGTTATCCCTGATAATGCGGCTGAGGGAACTGAGCCAAAGAGTGTCCACATGTCTTATCTTGTCACATAGTCAGGATATAATATACCTAGAATTTGAACTGGTGTGTATCTAACTCCCAGACTGGTATTTCTACCTGGATTTACCTGCTTCCTCATTAAACACACATGTGTACCTGCACACACACACATGTACACACACATGCACATACACACGCACATGCATGCACACGCACACATAGCCTGCCTGCTTCCTCTAGGGAAGCTGGTGCAGGTAATGACATAACGTAGCTGAGAAAAGCCAAGAAGTTTTCATTTTCGAATCGTTTCCCGTCTCCAGCAAAATGCTAGTGAATCCCAAGGATCTGTGTATCCTATGTCTGTGGATAAAATCCACCAAAGGTCTTATTTGTTCCCCAGTGTCCCTCCTCTTGGGCAGAAATAGCCATTGGGGCGCTGCAGCTGGACGTGCTTTAGGAGTCAGTTAGGCAGATCTTTGTTGTTCTTCACAGACGAGGGTGAGGCTGTCCTCAGAGGGAAGGCAACGTGCCCGGGGACCATGGTGATTACTGGCCATTCTGGGTGCTTGCATCTTAACTCCACCCTTCTTTGCATCCCTGTCACTGGCTCGACTGTGAGGATTGTCACATACACTTTGTAAAGCGTTTAATTGCTTGTTCACCCTGTGTTCACCTGGAGCAGCAAGGACAGCTTAATCGGTCAGAAACATTTATGAGGAACAGCTCAGCTTTGCCAACTTTGATGCTGCCTCCCTGAGGTACCGGCTTATGAACAGCCTCCAGATCGGTCCGCAGCATCTTTGGCTTCTTATGCAAATCTCTGAGCTTAAGTTTCTCTCTCTGAATATATGGAAGGATTTCCATGTTAAGAAGCTGGGCCCCCACTGGGATTCCTCAGAATCCTCTTGACTTGACTTTGAGAGGAACTTTCTCTTTGGGAGTGGAATTGCAGTCTTATTTTTGAGGCTTTGTCCTCTAGAGAAGGCAAAGGGCATAGAGTTCAGCTGGGTGACTCCCCAAACAAGTGTCTACCTGCAAGAGACATGCCCCTTCTCCAGCCCCACACCACTCCTTGTCCGGCCTGGGTTATTACCCCCATGGAGCATCTTCCTGCTCCAGTCTTGCCTCTGCCAATGATTTCCCCACAATGCTTCAGAGCGATTATTTTAAGAGACGATTCTGTTTACGTGGTGCCCCTTAAAACCCCTCAGTGGTTCAGAATTGCTCTCACAAAACAGTTTGGAGTCTCTGCAAAGACCCTGCACCCTTCAGAGTCAAATTTTACCCATCTGCTTTCCTTTCAGTCATGCGGAAATTTGAGAAAGTTCCAGAATCTAAGGTGATCTTCAACGCCAGTGTTGCTGTTGGGGTCAGGTCCGAAGTTCCTGCTGCTGAATCCTCACTGACGCAGTGCTTGGCAGGTGAGGGGTGGTGGGAGCTTGGGCACCTGGAACAATACTCTGTACTGTCCTTGCAAGACAAGTCAAGCACAGCCATTGGAACTGTAATCAAGAATACTTTATCAAAACACTTTGTAAATCCATCGATTCCCCCAATGTACACCCAACTCATTTCACATCAGTTTATAGCGCATCTACGACACGCCAAGACCAATGCTCTGCTTGATATTAGGGAGCAGAATCGAAGGACATTAGTTCCTTATAGAGCTCTGATCTGTTTCAACAGTGAGGCCAGAGAGCGTGTAGTAACAACTACCATTTATTGAGCATCTCTCTTTACAAGGATTGTCTTGTGATCCTACAATTGTCCATGAATAGGCAGTGTGACTCATGCTACAGCTGAGTGTGTGTGTGAGTCTGGGTGCAGGGATTAAGGGTGTGTGTCTGTCCTTCCTCCATGTCACCTGAGAGACGGTGGGGTGACTGTCCCCTCTGATGCTTGCAGACTGTGCATTGGACGAGGCCTGCAGCTTCCTCACAGTGACCACAGCGGGATCAGAAGTCTCATGTGATTTCTACGCTGGGACAAGTGACAACATCGCCTGCACAGCTTCTGACCAGGTGAGTGGTGGCAGCTGTGCGGCGGTTCTGCCTCTCGTCCCTCCTGCAGCAGACGTGACCTGATTGAATCGACACCAGACTGATCAGGTGATGGAAGGAGATTGTCAGTAGCTGGTGCTACGTGGCCTCCACTCCTTCAGAACGATGGGACTTTGGGAAATGGAAGCTGCAGTAGCCCAGCAGGGGCTCAGGATGAAGCAGACACAGGGACCACAGCTGAGTGTACCGTCTCCTGACCAGTCAGTCAGGAGAGAATCCCCCTCTGCTCCCCACAAGCTGATCTCATCGGCAGCTTGGGCCACTGTCCAAGGCCCTAAACGCCATCTGTCCCTCTGAGTCCCGGACCCCTGTGTTCCTTTCCATTGTAGAAGCAAAACATGATTTTGGCTTAAAAAGGAAAAAAGTTAAATATTTGTTAGAACCACATGAAGTTGCTGTCGATGTAAGTCAAAGCTGATGGAGTTTTGGCAATTTCATCATTATTCCGCATTAGGACAGAAGGGTTTGCAGTGAAAAGCAATTCTTTGCGCGAGCATTTTAGCTTATTGATCATTTAGTCCTCTGCTGTCTGACAGCTGCTTGCTCAGTAAGTGTGGGTTTTAGTCTAGGACAACAGCAAAGCCTCTTTGTTACAAAGAAAAAAGGCAAAAAAAAGGAATGGACTCCAGCTCCTCAGCCCGTGAGAGACCCTGTCTGACACGGAGAGTTAGAAGGTGACCTGCATTCAAGTCCCAGTCCTGCTGCTTGAGCCCCCATAAATGTGGGGTGGCCGTGGCACCCACACCCAGGATTGTTGTAAAGCCCTACGTGGAAAAGCTCACAGGGCAGTTTCTGCTGCAGAGTCGGTGCTCGGCGACCTCTATCAACAGTTGTCACCGCTGCTGTTAGTCTTGCTGACTGCACGTCAGGCTGGCAGGAATTCCACCTCAACCATCAGCAGGGCTCTGCTCATTCAGGGCCCTGGGGCCCCGGGCCCCGCAGTCCTGTTGATGGTGATGCCCAGAGCCGACGCCGCGGTCCCAGGCGCTGCCTTCCGGCTCCTTGGTGCCACTGTGTCTGGGCCAGTCGGGGTGTGGAAAGAACTCTTGCTGCGGCTGGAGCCCCACACTTTGGGTTTGGCACCCCCAGGCACACACCCCACAGATGGGACCAGGGCTTCCTTAACCTGGGGCTCGAAACTCACGTCCTTCTCAGTCTGTAGGAACCTTTCTTCCACAAAGGCCCTTCTTGCCTCCCCAGACCATCATTGTTCAGTGAGTTCAGGTTTCCTAAAAAGTAGGAAGAACTGTTGCCTTCAAATAGCCTTGATTTTAGCCTCACCCTCCAAGAATTCCCGAAATTGAACCGGAAAACTCAAAAGTGGCAACTTGGCAGGGAGAGGACAAAACACGAGACGCGAAGTGACGCAGGTCCTCCCCACCACACCCACAGAGCCAGAGCGCCGGATGCGGAGAGCGAGAGCTAGTGAAGCGAGAACAGCACCCTCTCCGGAGGTCAGACCTCCTCTTTTCCAAGCTAAAGAACCTCCTCCCAACCCCCACTGCATACAAGCTGTGTGCCAACAAGGTCTTCTGTGAGCTGGCCCTTGCCACTCTCTCTCCCCCTGCCGCCTCTCATGACAGACAGTCCTTGGGAACCACTGGACCTAGTTAATCAAACACCCATGGGATTCCAGGTCTCCATCTGTGCTGTTTCCTCTGCTTAAAATCCCACTTCTCTTGTTTTCACCCGACAAACACTTATGCATCAGAACCCCAACTGGGTTCACTTTATCTGGGAACATTTTTCTAGCTGTGCTTTCTCAATAGAATGATCACTTCCTCTTCTGTTAATTATCCCCTCTTTTATTCCATGTTGTCTTTGCAGCCAACACTCTGGGCTGGAATTTACTGCTTACGTGTCTGTGTGCTCCAGTAGACGGGGAGAAACCAACAAGCAGGAATCTTCTCTTATTTATATCCATAGCCCCCGTGACTAGCTTTGGTTAGAGTTTGAGAAATGTTTGTTGGATTGCTTGTTAACTATCACAGGACGATCATGCAGCCTCTTTCCGTTTTTAGGATCAAGAGGCGTTGGGGAACTCGGAGGCCAGCCGCTTCGGAAGTCTCCTGTGCCAGGTGAAAGTGCGGAGCGGGGAAGGAGACTCTCCGGCTGTGTATTTGAAAAAGGGTAGGTCGATGAGCTGGATGACTGGGGGCATCAGAGGCTTAACTTGTTCAATGTTTGGAGCTGCTTTCCAGCAGGGCGCGTTTACAGAGGGGCCACTCTGCTGCCAGCCCAGCGGGCTGGGAGGCCCATCTTGCTGGTGAGGAACTAAGTTACAGGGCAGACACAAAGGCTGTGGGCAGAAGCCAGCTGAGTCCAGACCGTTCACCCTATGCAACTTCACAAGGTTGCCTGTGATGTGGGGGCGACTCTAGCAGGGCCGCTGGCCCTGGGCTCCCTGCAGCTGCCCGCCCTGGCCCTCCCTCTCCTGGACCTTTACTCCCCTCTCCCTTTCCTCTCCACCCTCCCTGGAAGCTGTCAGACATCACAAGCTGTCCAAACTTCCAGGCACCTCTCTCACCGCCCTGCACCCAGGACCTCTCCCCGCTGCACTGTGCATGCGCGTTACCTGGGGGCTGGTGAAAATGCACGTGCCAAGTCAGTCATTTAGGGTAAAGCCAAGAGTCTGCCTTTAAATGACCTCTCAGGGATGCCAAAGTTGCTGGTCCCTGGACTGCACTTTGAGTCCAGGCGTGTCTCCTATTTTACAGTTTACAGCTCACTTCCCACACCTCCTTTCATTCCACCCTCACAGAAATTCCTGGAGGAAGGCAGAAATGGAGTCATACTGCTTGTTTTACAGATGAGGAAACCGAGGCTCAGAGAGGTTAAGAAAGTTGCCCAAGGCTGGCCATCTTGCTAGTAAATGGGGAGCTCGGTCTGAACCTCAGGGGGTCTGATTCCTCTTCACAGCCTCACAGGTGGGGACAGGAGGACACCTCCTGGTCACTGCAGCATGTGTGGGAGAAGCAGAGAGTGTCTCCCCAGAATCCTGCAGCCTGCACGGTCCTGCCCGCTCCATCGGGGCCAAGAGAGGCGGCAGCAGCTCAGGGTGCTGAGCCCCGGGCCACGACTAGGCTCTGCGCTGTGAGCCGTGAGGCCTTTGCTCATCACTGCTCTCTGGGCCCTCGCTCAGCGTGGTTAAGGGTCGGGGGGCTGGAGCCCGCCGGCCTGGGTTGACCCCAGTTGTGCTGTGCACGAGCTGTGTGATCTTGGGCAAGTTCCTTGACGCCCCAGGCGGCTGGGATTCTGTTAGTCAAATAGGAGTCACAGGTGAACCGAGGTGGTTGGGAGGTGGCGATGAGGGGACACGTGTAAAGAGCACGTGCAGGAGGAAGTTTCTACCGTCGTTTTCACTCCTGCTAAAGTCTCCCGATGACCCGAGGCTGTGGACCAGAGGAGAGCCGAGGGGGCCTGAGTGAGGATTTAGGGGTTGGACTGAGGTGGCTGCACGTCAGTCCCTTAGGTCTGAGCCCAGGGCAGGTGGCCCGGCCCCCAGCAGCTTCCGACCTGTGCTGGGAGTGGTGGGGAGCCCGTGGAGAGCAGCCTCCACGCGGGCCCTGCGCCTCGGCTGACCTCGTCAGTCCTCGGCCCGTGGCAGGGACCAGTGTTTGTGTATTTTTGTCTCTGGTCCTTCTTTCGCCTAATACCTCCATCCTGTCTTAACTGAGAGCTCCCTTGGGAGCATGGAATCCTGCAGATCTGGGTTTTCTCTGATCCCCGGCCAGGGTTTTAAAATTTCTGCCCCAGTGTTTATTCCAATTATTTTTACTACCCACTTTTTAAAATGACAGAGCACAGAGATTATTCTCTGAGTAGGAAAACCAAAATAAAACAAGCAGCCCCTCCCAAAAATGTTCTTTCAAACCACACTTCAGCCTTTTAGCGTGTTTTTTAAAACATGCAATTGTATTTCTTTTTAAGTGTTTGTTATTTTTTTCCTTCTCATCTCCTGAAAGTTTATACTTCGGAGGAAAATTGCGGGGGAAATTGTGAAGCTGCTTTGCTGCCAAACTAAATCAAGGGCAGAGCTGTCTTTTGCCTTTTTTTGTTTTGTTTTGCCTTTAAAAAAAAAAAAGCAGAAAATGCACAGGCCCAGCCATTCTGGACTGTGGTGTAATAATGGGAAGAGAAGGAAACAGCATCTGGCTTCAGACTCCCACCTCTCCACGTACTAGCTCTGTCTTTGATCAGGAATGACTTATTTTACTTTCTGTAAAATGGGAATAAAATATCACATAAAACAAGGAGGAAAGGATACAGTTTCTGAAAGTCTCCTGCACAGTCCGTGGCACCAAGTAGGTAGTCAGCACATCCACCCACATGCCTGACCTTGAGTGACCTGGGAGACAGGACTGCTTGATCGCTCCTCCAGTACCAGCCTCTGTCCGCACCCACTTGAGTCCGTGGCCTTGAACATGGAGGAGGAGCCATGTGATTTTTTCAGAATCAAAAGAAGTCAGTGCCTAAAGGTTCCTTGGAGATTGTCTAGCCCTCATTTCACAGATGAAGCCTAGACAGAAGAAGCATCTTGCCACCCGCTAATCCAGGTGAACCTGTGACTGCAACTCAGAAAGATCTCCCAGACCGGCCCCGTTGTCTAGGACTGGACTTCCATGAGGGTCCGCAAAGCACTGACATCCCGTGAACGTTTCCCGAGCGCCCGTGGTGTGATACTCACACTGGCAGGCACTGTGGATGCAGCTATGAACAAAACAGACAGGATCGCTGATTGATAACGGAGCTGGTCCAGCAGTAAGAGCATTTCAGAGAGTGATAAGTGCTTTGATGAAAATGAAACAGGACATTGGGTTAAAGATGGACACGGGCCACCTAGAAGAGCCAAATTCATGGAGAAGAAAGGGGAACAGTGATTATGAGGGGCTAGGGGAGAAGGGGAATGAGGACCTAGTGTTCGATGGGGACTGAGTTTCAATTTGGGAGGAAGACAAAATTCTACAGATGGATAGTGGTGATGGTGCAAACGATGTGAATGTGCTTAATGCCCCTGAACTGTACACTTAAAAATGGTTAAAAAGGTAAATCGTATGTTATGTGTATTTTATGACACTTTAAAAAGGAGAAGAAAGATGGACATGAGATGCTTTAGGTGCTCATGGAAGGAGCTTCAGAGAAGGAGCTGTTGGAAAGGAGGATGAGGTGGGGCCCACTGTGCCCAGATCTCAGGGCAGGTGGCCCTCTTTGCAGGGCTGTTGGAAGATGCCTAGTGAGCTGAGACGTGGCCCTGCCATCCCGAGCAGCACTGTTCAGTAGAACTTTCTGCAGGGATGGACATATTCTGTAAATCCCTGCTCTTCAAAATGACAGCCAGCAGCCACCTGTGATCACTGAGCCCTTGGACTGTGACTATTGCAACACAAACTATGATGAACTGAAATTGCTATTTGAGTGGTCACATATGGCTCATGACTACTGCCTCTGACCACAAGGACTGGCTCCAGGGACTCACAGCTGGTGGGGGGAGCAGCCGCTGTCTCAATGGCTTAACTGTAGGGTGAAGGATGACGGAGCATTCAGTAGAGGCACAGGCAGAATCTAGGAGAGATGGAGAGAGGCAGACGAAGTCTAACCATAAAAATCTGGGAGATGGGCCCTTTAAGTTGAGCCGCGCTTTGCTGAAGGATGGACCGGGGCTTCACCTGGTACAGTTAGAGGGCAGTCAGGCAGAGGAGGCTGAGTGAGCCAATGCTTGGATGGAGAAGGAAGGAGGCTTCTGGAAACCTGTAGTATATCTGCTGAACGCCAGCCAAGGGCCAGGATCGTTGCTCAGCCTCTTAGTGGACAGTCTGTCTGTTTAACTGATCAACATTTGTGAGGATTACATACAGAAAATCTTCCCCAGTTACAGAAGGGAAGCTGAGCCTCCGAGGACTTCAAACCCGCTTGCCAGGGGCGCTGTGGGGGTTTGCAGTCAGGTCTGTCTAGTTCTGAAGCTTGCACTCTTGGGTCCCACACTGTAAGGTCTCCACCACTTTTAGGTGCATGAGTTGGTTAAGATCTGGTGACCTGCTGAGTCACTGGGAGGTCAGGGTGGACAAAAGCCCTGGCTCTGGTGTTCTTCCTGCCACTGACCAGCTGTAAAAACCTAGGCAAGACCACCCACTTGTTAAGGCTCTCTTTCCTCAAATGTAAAATGCACATCATAATAGGCCAGGCATTTTGGCTTTCCAAATATATATGTATATATATATATTACCCTGAAAAATCTCATATTTGAAAAAAGATGCTCTAAAAATAACAGGGCTTATGGGAAAACTGGAGTCCGGGACAGGCAAAACTCAAACCATGCCATTTTTAGCCACAGGACTGACAAAAACAAAACCAAAAACAATCCTGTTTAAAATGCTAACAAAAATTAAAAAGAAAAAGACATGATGGATCCATCCTGAAGAAGAGCTGCAGTGAGTGGGAAGGGCAGGGTAGGCTGATGGGGGATGGAGCAGGGAAGGGCTGAGGATGCTGCGTTAGAGAGACAAGGGCCAGATGTGCAACGAGAAGGCAAAATTGCAGACGTCACTTTGAAGGCAGAGCTGCCGGCCAGTCTGAGGGGAGAGGAGGCACGTGGGCTGATGGGCGTCGTGTGTTCCTGTGTTTCTGCCGCCTGATGCCTGCGGTTGCATTTGTAGGCGCTACATTCGCCTGTAGTTTGATGGCACAAGGCAGTGATGTGCTAGGGAAACTGCGGAGCAACCAGTGCAGCCTCAGCATTGCAGCAGCCAGGCTGCCTGTGCACCATGTGTTCAAACCACTTTGTGTTGCAGAAATGCACGTGATTGCAGAGCAGGCGGGACTGAGCTCACAGGGCAGTGAACATGACATGAGGCCATCTAGCACATGGCTGGGCTCTGGGTATGCAGAGCTCAGTAAACATCTGTTGGTAATAAAAATGTGATAATAAATGCCAGATTTCCACAGTTCCCTTTCAGACCCACAAAGGTACGATGGGCACTTGTCCAGGGCTGCTGGTCTGGGGCTAAGGCTTTGACTGGCTCCACGCTCTTCACACACGGAGGCCCAGGGCTTTCCTGGCACAGAGAGCATCTCACTGGACCACTCCTGCACCTGGCACGGTCAGAGGTTCCACTGCTGGATGCACACTCTACTTAACTCTGCGTTGTTTTGAGATCTTAAAAGAATTTCTTTTTCCTGCCCTTTTCCCAGGCCAAGAATTCACCACAACAGGTCAGAAAAGCTTTGAACAAACTGGTTTCCAAAACACGCTCTCCGGAATGTACAGCCCCGTCGTGTTCTCAGCCTCAGGAGCCAGCTTGACTGAAGTCCACCTCTTCTGTCTTCTTGCCTGTGACCATGATTCCTGTTGCGATGGCTTCATCCTCACGCAGGTCCAAGGAGGTAATGGGATAGCGAGGGCTGGGGCCCACCTCTTCCACAGCCTGAGGTCTACAAACTCTAGGGGAAGGTGTAGGGTTCCCCAGACATCTTCTTCTCATAGTCCTCCAGCTCACGGCACAGTCACACAGTGGTGGAATGGAGATTTGGGCCCAGGTGTATCTTCAATAGAGTCTCACCGCTACCTCTGAAGCCTGGACGAGCCGCACTTGGTCAAGAAATGCTAGTTCGTTCTCATCACGCAGGATCATTCATTCAGTCATTATCTGTTGGGCGCCTACTGTATGCCGGGTCCTGGGATCCACAGGACTGGAATTTTCACTTGTCTGTCAACAGTGAGGCTGGACTTCTGTTTATAGAAATAAATCCATGTCTTTGGCTGTGTAGCCTTGTGGTTGAGAAGGCACTTAGGTCAGACAGACCTGGGTTCTAGTCGTCACTCAGTCAGTTTCCATCTGTGCAG